AAAAAAAAAAAAAAAAAAAAAAAAAAAAAAAAAGACAAAAGAAATGATAACGAGAAAAAAGAAGCAAGCGCGTATGTATCCATGTACCGGTCGTGAATGTGTTGTGATGCGTAGCGTGTGCCCCGAAACCTGCATGCACCACCGGGTTGCCGTGCCACAGGCGACGGCGAACCAAATAGGCATGAAAATGCGAGAAAGCTGAGGGGAACGATGCATGCTGTGCACCATTGCGCGGTCCCAAGAGCCATAGGTGTCTGGTTGTCATATACACCCCTGCGATGCGCCCAAACAAGCGACGGAACCGCAGGCACTGCGAGAAAGTCGACGAAGGTTGCCAGCGAAGGAAGAAGGTCGGCGTGCTCATAAACACTCAGAGAACGCTTCTTTCCCGTCGTCGTCACGCTGCGCCCACTACACGCTCTACTCGAACGCGCTCTCCTCAGGCACCATGCCCGTCTCTTCACGCAGCTGCTGCATCGAGCTCTTCTTCTGGCCGCCTAGGTTTGGTCCACCAGCACCCATGTTCATGAGCAACATGCCGCTTTCGCGGCGGCGAGATTTGACGTCGCGCGCACCACCAATAGCACCGTTCAAGCTACCGTATCCGGTGCCCGAACCCGTGTCGTAGGTCTGTTGGTGCATCGGTACGAAGCCCATGTTCTCAAAGCCCGTTGGTGTCGGCGTGTTGCGCCCCTGCTGCTGTTGCTGCAATCCTGCCGATGCCGCGTACAGGTTCGTGTTCGACGGTTGCCGCTCAAACGCCGTCTGGTTGTATCCCGGCGTAGGCAGGTCTGAGAACATTTGGCGTCGTGGCGAGCGAATCGATTCGGGACTGAGGGGCGCGGTTACCGTAACCTCACGGATTGGCGATGACGCTTCGTCTTTTACTGGACCAAAGATTTCGTCATAATCGGTTATTAAGAAGGAGATTAGCGGGCCAGGGATGTTGAGCGTGGGAGAGAAGACGATGCCGACTGTAAATTTGTTAATAAGAGCTAATCAGGGGGAGACTAAGCGGACGTACCATTCCGGATGTTCATCTTGTTGACATCGGAATTGTCGGTTATGTCGGTGAGGAATGACGACAAGGCTTTCAGAAGGTCGCAGTTGACTTCAGGAAGCTTGTGGACAAGAACATTGAAAGCGGCGATTTTGTCCTCTCTAGTGTCGAGATCTGCAGTCTGTCAGTGAACGCGCTCGGGAAATTAGAGTTTAAAACATACCCAGTACTCTAAGGAAATCAAGATGCAATTCCCTCGTCAGTATCGAGACAGGCAAGTCGCGCAGGTACGACTTCAGCAGCGATGCAACGGCATGGACGTCATAGTATTCACCCTCCAGCAATTTGATGTCTCCCTCGGTGTTGAAGCGCTCTCTCAGCCCCTTGATCACAATGTTCGATCCGCTCAGCCGGAAGATGCCCTCTTCGCGGTGCGCGTTCTTGGCTCTGAGGTACTCCAAGGAACGGTAAACAACCGCCGGCAGGAGAACATCGACACCTTCGGGTTTAGTCGCCTCGACTGCCTCCGCTAACGGAATACCCCACACAACTCGGGCAGGAGGAGTGCGCTCCCGTGGCGGCTGGAAAGGGCCATTCGAAGAGGGAGCCAAGTCAGAAGAATTTCTACCTCGGTTGGCCCCCACGTTGAAGCCGAAAATGCTGCGCTTCTTGTCTTTGAGAGGAGTCGGCGTCGTGGACTTGTTGCCCCACGTCGAAGCATCCGTTATCACGGCACCGTTGGTAGGCCCGGAGATGAAGCGGTCCTGGTAAGACCCATTAAAGGGTGGCGATGGTATCCCGCCGCCACCATTGATGCCAGGCCCGTAGAACGGCACATCCCCAGCTGTTGTTTCCTCGTAGCTAAGGGTGTGCATTGGCCGCTTGAAACCCTCGGGGGTTTCTTCTCTTTTCTTTTGTTTTGGATACATGCCGTCGTGATACTTGTCATGGCCACCATGGCTGCCTGCAGATTCAGGTTCCTTTATAAGATCGCCCGAAGAGGGTGGTTGCTGTTGCTCCTCGACATGGTCCACATATCGCAACAGAGCGTCAATCCAAGCGTCCCTCTCTTCATCACTTTCTGCGCACAATATGTGCGAAACCTTCACCGACGGATCCTTCCGTTTGGGTTCAAGGATCAGGAATGCGTGCCTCATTTCATCCTCGGTCTGAGTAACCTTGGTTCTTGGGTTCTGGCGTCCGATCTGAGCACTCGCCAGCTTGATAGATCCAAGGAGTGGGCCGCCAAGCGATTCATAGTAGCGGAAGTCTTGACTCTCTAGTACAAAATAACGCGCTTTCCAGCCGCCAAAATTCTTACCACGCTTGGTCAAGTAACCTTCCTTCGGCATCCTCGGAAGTGGGGATGAGGGGTCTGTGGTGACAGGAAGGGTGGCGGACTTGGGAGGCTCAACCTCAGCACCGAACACATCGGTAGAGAAGAACTCGCAAATGACCAGGGCAGCCCTTTCATTCATTGGAGTGTCTAACATCTGGTCAAAGTAGCTGGTCAGAGCTGCTCTACGTGCATCAATTGTTGCCGGCGCATGCCCTCTGAAGAGGTTGCGATCAGGAACACGACCACTGAATTCGCTGAGATTTTTCAACTTAAAATCGAGGATAGGGAGGGCGTTGATAGTTTTTTCGAGGCGCCAGAGCTGTTTCCCACTCGAACGGGCGTGGACGGCCAATAGAAAGACTGGATCTTCTTCAGTTGGGGTTGGTGCCATCATGAAGCTAAGGCGAGAAGGCCGGAGCCGGGACGAAAACACTTTGACCTCGATGGATGGCAGAGCGTTGGGAGGCAGAAGAAGATCAGGATATTGTTCCGAGACAAGTTCGCGACTGATTGCATCTGGTGTAAGGGTTTCGGCACCGCCGGCACTGTGCTGTTCCGATTCAGCGCTTGACGGGGCTGACCCGGGAACAGCTAGTTTATCAGGCTCAGGGGCAGTCTTTTCAGGCTGGGGGTATGTTTCGGCTCTGGTAAGATGGGGTGATGCAAAGGAGAGAGGCGTCTGAGGAGGCATGGGTATCGGTCCTCTTGGCGCACGCGGCGAAAGTGGCATTCCGTTTGCACCTCGCGGAGACATGGGCGGGGAAGTCAGTTCGGTTTTGGGTAACCGCGGCGCGGGGGAATTTGGGGGTCTGTCTCCAGGGCGCGGGCTTATGGGCAGACCAGGGCTCATAAGCGGCGGAGAGAGCACGCGCTGCGTGATCATGGAGCCATCCGAGCCGGCAGGACTAAGCAGGGCATTGATGGAACCTGGTGCCTGCGTAGCGCGGGGCGAGCTAGGCAATCCAAGTGCCACTGGAGGCGAGACTGAAGTGGGGACGGCCTTTGGTGTGTCTTCGATCTGCGGACGCTCTTCTTGTGCCGGCTTGCTCTTGCTCTTGCTTTTGCTCTTGCTCTTGCTTTTGCTCTTGCTCTTGCTCTTCTTCGATCGGCTCCGCTCCTCTGCTTCTTGCTTCGCAATGTATTCACGCTGCATGTCGTCTTCCTCTCGTGTCTTCTTTCTACCACGTTCAAAAGATGGCATCTCTCGCGCCTCCGGCTCCTCCTCATACTCCGAAGCCGAACCCTCTTCAGCAGCGGCGGGAGCGGGAGCGGCAGCTGCAGGCTGCAGCCGCTCGTTGGCTCTTTCGCTCGGGGAAATAGGGGACAGATCGAGCGGTGCTGGAGGTGCCTTGCGTTGGAGGCGATGCTCAGGGCTGGAGAAACCAGACGACCCCATAACGGGAGTAGCCGCCGTGAAAGAAAGTGAAGGAGTCTTTGTGCGGAGATGCAGAGGCCCTTGCGGAACCGTGGATCTCGGTGATACGGCGTCGTCATAGCTTGCGCTTGTGCCGAAGGCCTGTTCACGGAGTGTTCTGAGACGAAGATCCCCGGGAGCGGGACTCACTTTAGGAGCCAGTTCATACCCTCCACTGCGAGCTCCTCCCTCTGCGGCATTGTTTTCCGATGGAGATGGCTCGCTGCTGGCTGAGTCCTTTTGTGACACGGATTCAGAAGCGGAGTCATTGGGTTGGACGGGAGGCGATTCCGGAAGGGAGGTCAGAACCGCTTCGTGAGATGGCGATGCCGTGGCAGCGTGATCGTGAGTTTCCGTCTGGGCCAAGTTGGACAGGTTCCCGGGCACGGCGTCTTGCGCGCTGTTGTTCCTGCTGCTCGACGGAGTCTCCTGCACATCGCTCATGGCGGGCGACGCGCTGCTTTGCCGCTGCGCGTCTGCTTCCATCCTTTGTGTCGCATTCGGTAGAGGTGGAACCTGTGCCAGGTGTTCCTTGAGCTTCTTCCGATAACGTTCTCTGTCTTTCAGAGCGCGCTCGAGGTCTTTGTTCAGACCAACCACCATGTCCTTCTGCTTGGTCACTATCCTCCACAATTGCTGGTTGTGAGCATCTACATTCTGCTTTTCCTTCCACATATTATACAGAGCCGCCTCTGGCGAGCCTGCTGCTTGTATTAAGGCGGCAAAGTCGGGCACCGGGGACGATTCTTGCGTGGGCTTCCCAGATTGGGCCGTCGAACGGAACGTCTGCGAGCTCGAAGACATGGATGAGACGGCCGAGTCAATCGAGGTGTTCCGCGGCATGGGGCGAGGGTCAGGCCGGTGGTGAGGCTTCCCCATTATGGCGGCAGTAGGCGATGCGGAAGTCGAGAGGCCGGAGGCGGAACGCGGCAGGGCATATGAAGAGGCACTCTTCTCGCTCGCAGGCTTATCGGCGGCGGCGGAGGAGGTCCGCGGGGGGATTTTGGGGGCGGCTCGAGCCACAGTCGACTCTGGGTTGTGGTAGGCAAAATGGTCAGTGGCCAATAGGGCGTCCAACGTGTCCCGGGGCGATCGTGGAGGCCTCTGGTTCGCCGACTCGGCCGTCAAGGCCCTGGAGCGCGGCGGGGGATGGTGGACTTGGTCGTCGACAAAGGCTGAGAAGGAAGTCTGGCGGGCGTGCTGGCGCAGCGGGCTAGGCGCGGGCCGGGAATTGTTGCTGGGGCGCTCAGAGGCTGGGTCGGAGAGGTTGTTCTTGCTGCGGGCGTCTTGGAGCGAAGGCGAGGGGATTGCAGCGACGGAGACGTAGGTGCCGGCGCTGGTGTCGTCTCGCTGGGTGGCATAAGGGCCAGGGCCATCCTGGCGAGCATGCACCATGTCTCCCTCTCTCTCGAAGCAGCTTAGACCGGAGCGGTAAGAGCCCCGATCAGGATATGCGCCCTATGCGACAGCCTGCTGTCTCTGGGGGGTTGCAGGACGGTGCTTCGGCGCGGTTAGACGCTTTGGGGCTGGCCTCGAGATCGACCTGGACTCTGGCAAAAGCGAGCGAGGACAGTCAGCACCGTCGGGCGCCATGGACTTTAGCAATCCATCTTAACGGCTCACATCATGGGCACGGCCGATCTGCGCCAAGCTGAAACACCACCGCACTGCTCTCCCCTGCCTGCCCACCCCCGGGCGCCAACACTGTCCACGCCCCCATTGGCCTCTCGCCAGCCGCCGCGGTGGAGTGCTAAGAAAAGCGCTGGGGGTGGAGCTGATGATCGGCGCCGTGGGAAAAAAAGCATGAAGAAGATGACCACTTAAGATTGTGGCGCAAAGAGGCAAGTCGCGCGGCGATGCCTATCTTCCGCCGTGGCTGTGGCCTGCAATAGCGAATTTCAACCTTTGCCTCCCCTTTTTCTTTTCTTTTGTTTCTCCTCTCCACGCGTCGCTGCCAATATCCACATCAGCAGCCACGGCAGCCAACAGGGAAAAAATTAATTCCCACTCGTGACTCTCGGCTCCTGTCACAGTCGGTCCGCCCCCCTTCTGCAACACCAACCACCTGCCTACGCACGCAATTCGTCTGCTTCGCCGAACCTTAAAGTCCCGTCCCCGTACTCTCGGATCGAGATGCGGCTGTGCGTCCAGTGGCCCTTCTTCTGAGGCGTCGCACGCGCCAGACCTGCGACAGCGTTACTCTACCGCTGCTGATGCCGTCATGCTGACAACCGAACGCCCTCGTATGAGTAAAGAAGAGTTTTCCGCCTGCTCGGCCAAGCCGGCGGCTGTCTTCCTAGAGTACCGTGGATGGTGAGGCTTCTCTAAATATAAAAAAATATGCGCCGACTTGTTTCACCATCTTCTAGTCAGCCTCTAGGCCACCAGACGAGTAATCACTTGCTACTCTTTTGATACTACCTACGAGTCGGCCCCGACTCCTCACAATTGTCTCGCGCATGCCAAAACCAGGAGGCATCGTTGCAAGACGGGGCATGACATTGTACGGCATGGCGTAATATGGACACTAATCTTGATGCCTGAAAAGGCTAGGACATGCTCAGCCTTGTCTAAACTTATGCATACGTTAGTCATGACGGTTGACGGATAACCACGTTCAAGCCTCGCGGGACTTGGCGTCCTCGGTACTGTCGAACCTGCGTCTTGGCAGCACTGAAGTGCTTTTCGTCCACATGTAAGTCGCTCTTCTGGCTATCTTTCGTTCAACTCTTCAATCTTTTGCATGTGTCTTTACTGCAGAGGAGCGATACTGCCGCCTCTATCACAAAATGCCTCTTACCAGCTTATTGCGAACCCACAATTTGCCAAACAAAAATAGTTTTGTCTGCCATGCTACTCCTACCTACTCCATATCTGCTATCTAATCGCAGTCGCGTATCCTGCAGTGCATCCATCTTGCATAGCGATGAGCTGAGCTTTGCGTCTGCACGACTCTGGAATATGCCGCACACGTTTAGCCATGCATATTCGCTTGTCGTTATACTGTCATTTGCTGCTGTATAACTCAGTCTGTTTTTACTTTTGACACCACCGTGGCGGCAGTTAGGTCGGTCCCTGTTCGCCTCGACAACGGCAGCCATTCCAACACAACAAATCCTAGCAAGGAAGCCCCACGACAAACACCCCGAGCGCAACAGCTATTTCGACCCAAAATAACATACCAACCTCATCTAAGCCTGCAGCCGCACCTCCCCAGCCCCCCTTTTCATACTACGACCACCAGAGCCAACCCCAGTCCACGAAGACCAGCAACACCACGCCACCAGCCTCACCAGTGCACACAAACACCGCAGAACCGCGCAGGCGGCCATCGGGCCCGTCCACCGCAGCCCAGCCTAACCCACATCATCCCAACCAGTTCACACAACCCGACAGCCGCGCTTCCCGCGCTACCCTCTTCCTCTGCCTCTCCGCTATGCACAACGTCCCCACCCACTCACCACGCACCACGCCACTCCGCCTCGCGTTCGCGCACGCGCACGGTAGCACGCAGAACCTACGCAGTGGCTGGCCGCCGCAGCAGCCTCTGTGTCACCTGAATAGGTTGGAAACACGGCAGTTGGGCGAATTCTGAGACGAGTCATCATTGGCATTCAGTATCCACAACTCATACATTCTCTTGATTTTCCGTCATTGGTTCGCGGTGTTCATCCTGTTCCGATGAGTGTGGCTCCTGCTTGCACTGACAATCTAACTTTTTCAGCCCTGCCCAGCGTTTTGCACGTAGGTACCGCATGTTTGCATTTTGGTTGCTGACTCATCAGGGGCATCAAAATCCCGGAGATAGCGCATAGTCGGGAAGAACCGGTAGTTTGAATATATGTATCAATACTTCATCTCTATATCATAATTTCGCGCCAGTGGCCAAATACGGAATTGCAATGCAAAGCAGGCCGCTGTATTGTGGGGTTAGCACAACATCCTAATAAACTACTGAGTAGGGATAGCAATAGATACTCCGTGTATTAGGTAGCTTCAGCGGAAATAATTATCTTGTTCCCGTTGCGTCCACTACTCCTAGGATATGCACTTTGGTGGCTCACATGGAGCCCATGATTTTAGCTGGCTTGACCATAACAACCGACATTCTTGCAGAACGACTCTCTGGAATTTATTTCGCGTGTATCAAGCAGACTGTTCAAGCGTGACAATGATGGCATCGGTTCATCGAAAGAGATTGTGATATTGTGAGGCCGTCTGCTGTAAAGGGCAGCGGACATCAGCAGCACTTGGCCTTGACCACGGGGAGCAAATCAACACCCCCGACTGCGTAAACCTTAACTTTTGCCCACTATATCACTAGGGGTCACTGACCGTACTGGCATTAAATATCATATCAGAATTTTAATTTTCTCTGAAAGGATCAAACATGGCCCTTTGACATGGCGCCTAGTATATTTCCAAAATCAGCCAGTTAAGAAAAAGATAACAAATGGTGCCATGGATCAGAAGGAAAATAGTAAACTGCTTCCAACCGTGTATTAGTAAAGAAAAGGTCAAGTGAATGACTTTTTTACCCGAGCGAAGTCCCCCTTCCGCAGCTTAGCATTAAGGCATTCCATGCCCCTATATTAGTAGGCCCCGACTAATTTGCCACCCTTTCTAACTACTTTGTCCACCCCTGTGGTTAATACCTATATAAGTATACGGCTTTCTTACTTAACGTGTCACCTTCGTCTCCGGTCCTCTTATAAGACACCCTTGCATTCTCATATATACTAATTTTCGTGCCGTTTCGAATATTGCCGCGCCTTCATATTTTTATAAGTATTGTTCTATCGTCGTGACTGTTTTATTTTTGTAGGTGTTTGGTTATCGGTTGAATGCTATAGCTTGTTATAGGCATCTAAACAGTACTTTGTAGGTATGGGTGCCTTTGCTAGATACATAGTAAAGAGATGGGCGCATTATCCGGAACATACTAGTTAGAGCTACTATAGAAACTTTTTGAAGGTACCCAGTCACCTGCCACTCGTAACCTTTCATGATGACTTCGTTGCGCGATACCTCGCACGATAATCACAGGCAAGACGAGCTTCATCCTGTGGTATCTGATACCCGGTGTCTTGAGAGTCTTCGGGTGAAGACGCATTTAATTGCCATTTTCCGTCCGACTAAATCAGTAACCAACCGTGCTATGGCTCTGTACGAAGGACTTTCGCCGTCGAACATGGTGTCACATGCATGAAAGATGTGACGCTCACTGAGCGAAAGGTAAGAAAAATGCAGAGGCAAGAAACCCCAAAGAGAAACATAGAAACAAGATATGAACAGGCTGGGATCTGATCGTCAGCCATGGTGTTGGGTGTTGGAGGAGTCTGCATGTAAGCGCTGGCGGCGAGGCTGGCCAATCCCCAAGCATGTTTCTCGCCGATCTTCCGCGGCGGGAGCTTTGCAGCAGCATGCCCGACCACGTCAAGGCATTCCAGTCCCTTCTCTGCTTGGCTCCACCAAACCCCTCCAAAAGAGATCCCTTCACACTACTGCTGCCCGAACGACCGGTTGTCCGCCCAGGATCTCCACCGCAATGGGCGTTGCTTCGCCGCGCTAAGCTGACGTTTGGGTTCCCACACCGCCAATCACCGCCCGCCCAGCGCTGCCTCTAGCCGCTCACGAAATCCTGCCATCTGCCCACGTCGTGTACCACGCCGCAACCACCAAAATGGACTCCAAGGACGCCGAACGCAGGCGTCGAAGAAAGGAGCATGACTCCGACCTGGACAGTACAAAATCAAGGGATCCCGAGAGACACAAATCCTCGAGATCTCACCGCAGCGACCGCCCCGAGCGCACCAAGTCCTCGAGATCCAAGGAGCGGCACCGCGACTCGAGCGACGTCGGCAGCACTCGTTCCCGACGCTCCCACTCCCACTCCAACAAAGTATCCATAGTCCCAGAAATGGATCGCCGTTCGTCTCTGGCCTCGTCCGGCATTTCTCCGTATCCATCCTTCTCCAAGGCGCACAGCAAGGAGTCCCTCGGCCCCAAGGACGACGTCAATCCTAGACAGTACGCATACACTCCAGAGCCTACCGATCTGGGATCCAAGGATGGCCATTCCAAGGACGGCAGGAGCTCGCCAATGCCCAAGCCAAGGCCTTCGACCAGGACTGCTGCAGCGCCTCCAAGCCCGCCTTTGACAGCCGAAGACCCAGATCTCAAGAGAAGCAGCAGCAAAACCAGCATGAGGAGGTCGGGAAGTAGCCACAAGTCTGACAGGGGGAAGGAAAGCGGCAGACGGAGCGCGGATGGCGAGTCACGCAAAGCGGCCGGACCAAAGTCTGCGTCCTCCAAGTCGAGTTTGCGGCAGAGTACCGCAGTCGACGACGGCTCGGAAATGGCTGGGAGCTCCAAGGCTTCAAAGCCGAGCACACTTCGCGAGCATGCGCTCAAATCCGCTTCGTCAGACTTGGGCATTCCAGAGACAAGATCGCAGAACAACTCCACCGTTACACAATCTTCTGCCACGGATTCAGACGCAACGTCCATTGCTCCAAACCAGCCGAAGGTCTCCCAACCTCCAATATCTACGTCCAACCATGACTCTTCGCCTGCTACAATTGTCGATTCTTCTCCGCGGACACCCACGCACCCCGCCTTCCACCCCACTGTCTACAACGTCGAGCCCGGTCGCAAGGAAACTCCGGTTATAGAGGTACTTGGAGGAGGATTTGGCTCACGTATGCCATCTGTGGACCCTTTCGCTGGTGGATTTGGCGCACCTCCGCCTCCACCGCCACCCCCGGTCATGGTACCTACCGACGCCCCTAGGGTAGACTACCTTCTGCAAAACGGCGGCCTTAACCACACCGTACCTAAAATCCTTGTTGCAGCGGTCGACCCAACAGGTGGCGTTCAACAGCAGCAGCAACAGCAACAGCAGGGCGCTCCAATGGTGCGCGCGCCACCGACAGACTCCGTTAGAGTCGTCTTTGCACCGTTTCAAAAGCTGCTGGAAGACTACACCGACGTTGTCGCGAAGAACGGCTCCATAGCGGTCGCCACTGGATACCGCTCTGTGGCGAGGCGATTGCTTGACAGACTCGAAGCCGTTTTCGCTCGCAATATCTCTTCCGAGGCATGTAACTGCATCATGTGCCGGGTAAAGAGGGAACGAGAAGACATTGGCGAGGAGGATACCGGTGTTAGCTGGGGCGAAATCCTGGAATTTGTTTCTGGTCGACGGGAGCTTCCTGCCTGGCCCCCGTTCTCTATCGACAACGACTCCGGCCTTGGCATTTCTAGCGGAGGCCAGGAGGCTCCCATGCAAAAGCTGGACATAGATGTGCCTGAAGAGTACAAGGACCATTACATCAAACAAAGCAAAAAGACTAAGCTAGCAGTCCAGAATTGGTTGGCGAGCCAACCGGAAATCCCTTCTAGTCCTCCCCAGGAGGTAGACGATGAGACGCTGACGTTCGCGATGCTCACCCATTTGGAGCAGGAAAAGAGACCGCTTTTCACCGCTCTGCTCCGAGGAATGTCCACGCTTCCAGCATCTCGCGCCCCTACACCTCTCAACGTGCCACGTTCTGAGCTGTTGGCTAAGACCGCAATGGCGCTACAAAGACTGTACCGTTTGGAGAAACCCCCTAGGGACCCTGAATGCGCTATGTTCCTTCTTAATCACCCGGCGCTCCATGGAGTCCTTGCCACGATGGCAGCAGTAAGCAACGGCGAATGGGAAATCCTTGTCTCGGGTCGGTTTGATGGTTTCCTTTGGAGCGGTGCAGAGGGACAATACGCGCCACCGACTCCATCCATATCCCGTGCGGCTTCTAGAGGGCCTTCGGCGGCACCTATTTCCCGCACGACGACGCCATTCAGCGCTGCCGGAGTTCCGTCTCGTGGAACAACTCCATTCAGTCCCGGAAGGCCTTCTTCCGTCGCATCTTTTGGCGCGCCTGTCCAAATGGACGAGGAAGTAGAAATCGCCACACTGGCTGAAGTCGAGCGGGAGATCTACCTAGGCATGGAAGCGCTGGAAGATGCATTTGAGGCGCTACACTGCAAGGCTGAGTCTGTGCGCAGAGCTCTTCGGGAGCGCAGCGCCGGGCTGGCTATGGCAGCACAAGCGCGTCGTGGCTCGAATGCTGAAGAGGTGGAAGTCCGACTTGGGACACCGGCCTCTGGCGTCGGAAGCTGGAATGGGTTCAGCTGGGAGGCCGAGACGGACGACGGTCTAGATGGCAGATCGGAGCTGGCCCCTGACGACTCGGCCAGCAACATCAGCTACAACAGAAAGCGGAGAAAGGCGGCACGCAAGGAGCGAGCCACGCCGGCGCTGGTCGAGGAGGACGAAAGCGTCTATGAGGAACCGCCGCGGAGGAGATGACGCCCACACGAAAACCCATATGCTTACGAAAGCAGACGACGACAATGATGATGGTTCTTTGTTGATTTTTATCTTGGTTCATTTATTTGCGTGCTCACGGCTAGCGGTTTTTTCCCTCCACGAGTTCTTGTTTGATGAGAAAATGCGTAGTCTGCCTCTCTATTCCCCCCGCCATGGCGCGTTGTTTTTCTTCGTTTGGAAATGCTAGCGGCGTTATACCCGTCGGGCCGGAAGGCAAGAATGAGATACTACATTTACAAAGCCTTGAGGCATGTGAGGGTGAGATGACGTGCGTGAGGAGGATAAGTAGCTTACCAAGGGCCGCCAATGCGCGCAAGCTGAAACACGTCGCCTCTCGCCGACCGACAATGGCAGATGGCTCTTGCGGGACACGTGTGGTCGGTCGGGCGCGCAGGCGCGGTTGAAAAGGCCGGCCGCTTCATCGGTTCACCGAGTGGCCCGGAGACGGCCAGACACCTCCCGCGTCGCAGCCCATGATCCCCGCGGCGCAGCGATAATCGCAGTTCGCCAGACGACTCTTTCGTCATCCGCGCCGCGTTTCCTTGTTTGTTTATCACTCTCCACGACGGCCGTCCGGGGTGTTGCTCACCACGCCCCCCGCGCTTAAGCTGTCGGAGCAGCACCAATCGTGCGTGTGCTCCCTTCCGCCTCGGCCGTCATAAACCTGACCATGCTCAGCAGGCACGCTGCTCGCCTCTTGCTCCCTCCTCGCGCCGCCTAGTCCCGCGACGCCCCGCTCGTTCACCGCCGCCTTGCCGCCTTCCCTCTCCCTTTCCTCACGCTCCCTCTGCTCGAGCAGTCATGTACGACACCGACGGCTCCGTTGACCCGGAGACGCTCTACACGAAACAGAGTTGCATTGGTGCGGCACATCGTGCTTCCCCGCCGCGCCCACTTGCTAACGATCGCAGGCGGAGGCAGCTTCGGCAAAGTATACAAAGGGTAGGTCTGCGCGACTCCTCCGCTCGAAAGCTTCCTGACGCCCCCCCTCCAGCGTCGACAAGCGGACTGGCCAATCCGTGGCCATCAAGGTCATAGACGTCGAAAATGCCGAGGACGAAGTAGACGACATTATACAAGAAATATCCATCCTCTCGGAGCTGCATTCGCCCTATGTCACTAAATACTACGGATCGTACCTAAAGGGCTCGGACCTATGGATCATAATGGAGTTTTGCTCCGGGGGGAGCTGCGGCGACCTGATGAAGCCAGGCCTAATCCCCGAGGAGTACATCACCATCATTCTGCGAGAGCTGTTGATGGGCTTGGAGTACCTCCACGGCGACAACAAGCTACACAGAGACATCAAGGGTGCGCAACACAAACCCCATCTCTATGAGGAATGCTTCGGCTAATAGTGTCGCAGCTGCCAACATATTACTTGGCGCCAACGGCCAGGTAAAACTGGCGGATTTTGGCGTTTCTGGCCAACTGTCGGCAACAATGACCAAGAAGAACACGTTCGTGGGTACCCCGTTCTGGATGGCGCCCGAGGTGATCAAACAATCTGGATATGACCATAAAGCGGACATATGGTCTTTGGGAATCACCGCACTGGAGCTGGCCAACGGCGAGCCACCATACTCCGACATCCATCCCATGAAGGTTCTGTTTTTGATTCCCAAAAACGGCCCCCCAACACTGGAGGGAAATTTCAGCAAAGAGTTCAAAAATTTTGTGAGCATGTGCTTAAAGAAGGAGCCACGTGAGAGGCCCTCGGCGAAGGATCTCCTGAAGCATCCATTCGTCCGAAGAGCGAAGAAGACAACGTATCTCACGGAACTCATAGAGCGGCATGAGCGGTGGGTCGCCCGGAATGGTAACAAGGAGGAAGAGAGTGACCCGGAAGAGGTGGAAGCGCAATCGGAACCGCGGCAGCCCCACGACGATGATCTGTGGGACTTTGGTACGATAAGGCCCGCAGGAAAGGGAGTGCAAGGTGGTTTGAAAGCCATGAATGACGCAGCTGCAAATGCAAGGAGTCGGACAGACCGGGTACCGGGCTCCATACAGGGACCACGAGCGCCCCGCAAACCCGTCCCTGATAACACTGGAGAAGAGAACATGCCAGTCCGGATCCCTTCGAATGGCACTGTCAGAAATGCGAGCCCAGTACGTCCGCAGCGCGACCCTTCACCGACGAAGCACGCTCCTTCGCAGATGCATGTTATGTCACCGCCTCCCGCAAAGGTACCGTTGCCTCCATCGCCAGAGAAAGCCCCATCCCGGCGCTCACCCGTCCGAGAGAACTCGAACCCGCTTACATCTAAGCCGCTACCAACACCGACAAGACTAGAAAGATTTGAGTTTGATGAGTACTTACAAACTTCCAGAGCAGCAGAGATGCCGTCTGGTGAAATGAACACTCCAAACGGTAAACGGGACGCCTCACCATTCGCCAGGTCACCGGTCAGCAAGCCACCGGGCCTAACCGGTTTGCCGTTAGACCTTCCGGAAATCCCACCGTTTGACCCAGACCGCCGTCGATCATCGCACGCCTCTCAAGCCTCGCAGAAAAGCCCCATCGGGACCCCACGCCGCACGACGCCCCAGGGCCCGATGCTATCCCAGCACCCTCTTCCTGCCTTCCCCCCTCCAACGCCACCTGGCGAGAGGACATCACAGCCGCCCACGCCCTCGGCTCCGGCGGTTCAGAAACCTCTCCCGAATCTTGGCTTGGCCAGCCCGCCCCCAAGGAGATCGGATATTCCCCGCTCGATCGGTCGCAGCTTCAGCAGGAATTTGTCGGGCGCCAGTAGCACGGCACCCAACAACAACAGCTCAAACAGCAGCGGAGCTCCGCCAGCAGCGCCCGAGATCACGGCTCTGACGGGGGTGGTGCTGCCGGCGCTGGAAGCGGCGTTGCACCGGCGCTCTTACAATTACAACGGGCAGCAGAAGGCGGCGCAGCAGCAACAGTCGGCGTCGACGTCAGGGGCAAAGGGAGCGACGGGGGAAATGCAGAAGCGGCAGCTTGTGCATGAGAACATTCGCAGGCTGGTGGGCAAGGCGGCGCGCGTCTTTGCCGAAATTGATGAGTGGGACAACCAAGCGCCGGTGGGCATGGGCATGGACGTGCAGGGATTCCTGGAAGGGTTCCTGGAGGAGGTGCTGGTGCGGGTCGAGGCCGAGGACGAGTAGAGTGGGTGGGGGGTTTTTATTATTTGTTTATGTAGCACAGCACATGGCGGCATGCGTTTGGCGTTTTGGCAGGCAGGTTGGCAGGCAGGTTGGCAGGCACTTGGTAAGGTAGGTAGGTAGGGACGGGCGGACGGTCACATGACGTGGAGCGAACGCAGGTCCCCCAAAGTCTTTTTTGAATAATGGAAGATTGGAAGGGCAGCACGCAGCCACGACAAACAAGGCGCGCGCCGATCCGGCACGCGACGGAGAGCACACGGGCCTGCAACGTGTGCGCCAGAGTGGACTGAGGTGTGGGAGAGGGTGTGCGCATGAGGGTGTGATGTGGCGGTGTGTGTGTCGTCGGCGTGGCAGCGAACCCAGCCACTGCTCGCTGACGGCAGGCAACGACAGACATGGGAAGGATTCGGCCAAGCTCGTGTCGAGTCCCTGCGCCTCGATGCTGCGCTCTCTCTCTCTCTCCTCGCGCGCGGCCAAGTCTCTCTCCACTCGCCCGCTCCTCCTCTCGACCTAAGAGAAAAACCTGCGCGGGCGCATGTGCCTGACGATCGCACACGTGCCGCCGTCCGTCGACAGCTTCGGCTTCGCCACACGCGCCTAGCATTAGTCATCCGGCCTTCACAGCCACCCGACATCATCGCGGAACCAGCCTCGCTCGCAGTGCCAACCCTAACCACCAAAGCACCGCCAGCCGCACCGAATCCACAGCCCTCCTCCACCCACTGGACCCACACCCACCTCTGCTCTCGTCGCTCTGTGCTCAACCTCCTCGCAACGGCCGCCGACGCCCTGCTCCTCCCGTCGCATGCCTCTGTCTTCTCGCCCGACCCGCCTCTGCCCTCTCGCGCCCGCATCCTGGACGCTGCTGCGCGAATCACGTCTTGGCCCGTCAATTGCTGCGCTTCGGCCATCTCCACGCCGCCCCAGCGCCGCCACCCGCGCCCTCTCTGACCTCGCCATCCTGTCCATGGCCGCTGCTGTCGACATGCCCATCGTCTGACTGTCGCCGGGGACATTGGAACAATTGCTTTGCGCTGCATCATTGCGTGCACCCGTTGCGCCAGGTACGTGACCTAAGCCGCCCACGCTCGCAGCGCGACGTCGCCTCGCGCCCGCGTTGACGCCCTGCCAGCTTTCTGCGCCGCCTGCTTCTTGAGCGGCTCCGCTCCGTGACCCTCACCACTGCCTGCGAGCTCCGTCTCGACCATCCTATGGCCTCCGCGGGTCCATACACGCCTTCGTCAGCACACTCAGGCCCGTTTCCTCCCGCACCTACTGCCCCAGATACGCCTACCTCCGTATCGCCCGTCCAGCAACCATTTGGCGCCAACGCTTCCAAGAATCAAGCTTCGCACACTCGCCACATCTCCTTCGACCCGGGCCTTCCTTCTCCTGCCGCTGCGCACACGCCCAAACTGCCCGCGTTTAAGCTTGGCCCAAGACTTTCGCCTCCGCCGCTTACAGGTAGAGCTGCCATGGCCGACGAGCGAAGACTGCGGGAACAGAGGGAAAGAGAGACGTCCCGTCAGATTTCGCCAAACCCCGCCATCAGCGCCCTGACGTCTTTGCTGGGCGTCAACGACATGACCAAGGCCCGAGATGCGCCACCCGCGGCCACTACCCTTAGTGAGCCGCTTGCCCAGGCCGCTAAAAAGATATCCATTCCAGACTCGGGCACTGGTGGTGAGAATATGCAAACGAGTCCAGTAAGTGTATCTAGCTTTGGCTCTTTGGACAGCACAACCGCACCGACTGCGACGGCCGGCGCCACCGACACCGCGCCCGCCGGCCATTTCGGCGCCGGAGGCATGCCCGTCGCCGACGCGCCAAGCAACGGGGGGGCCCCGGCGCATCATGGGCCTTCCCCCGGCGACGGCTTCGGCCAAGCCAGTCGATCACAGACCTTTCCGGCTCCGGCGCCGGCAGAGCTGGATCCGCGGGCGCCGGCGCGGGTGCTTAGCATGCCCATGTCTGGATACAACCAGAACAGCAGTCCTAGGTCTCCCAACACGAAGCGACACAAGTGCCCGTACTGCTCCACGGACTTCACCCGCCACCACAACCTTAAAAGCCACCTTCTTACCCACAGTCAGGAGAAGCCCTACGAATGTCCGACCTGTCAAGCGCGATTTCGCCGTTTGCACGACTTGAAACGCCACACGAAGCTCCACACTGGCGAGAGGCCGCACACGTGCCCCAAGTGCGGCCGCAAGTTCGCCCGTGGCGACGCGCTGGCGAGGCACAACAAGGGCCAAGGAGGCTGCGCCGGTCGCCGGTCCAGCTTCGGAATGGACGACGATGGCGACGGCAAGGGCGAAGATGGCATGGACGGGCTGGTGTACCACGGCGGGGACGCTGCAGACGATGACCGGATGGACGAGGACGGGCCGGGCGGCAGGAGAGTGAGCGAGCCGAGCAAGGGCCGGCAAGGGTCTCATTCGTCGTACCATCAGCACTCGAGCACGTACCCTCCGATTGCAGGTCGCGGGATGAGCGGCAGCAGCGTCCGGGGGTCCATGTTCCCTCCCGGGACCGGCACCGGCGGGTCGGGTCCGTCTCGAGATCCATCCGGCCACCCGAGCCCGAAGGCGGTCGGCTCCAGCCTCTCTTCGATGCACTACCCTGGCCAAACTCCCTCGGTTTTTGCCCAAGGCAGCATGACCGAATCCCCCAAGCCCATCTCCCCTGGCCAGATGGAGCCGCAGCATCGCCAAGGGGCCATAGAGGGGGCGAGCGTGCCTGGCGGGCGCTCTCCAAGCATGTCCGGACCAGCCCATCCGCAACAACAGTATCAGAGTGGGGCCGGCACAGGTTCGTCTCCAATGGGCCTGCGCCCACCCGTAGCCAATTCGCATGCACCTCAGTTGCCCTCTCTTCCTGGCTTGTCGTCTAACATAAGGATGCCGATAGAGAACAAGCTGGGTGCGCAGGGTGCGAAGCAAAACGCGCAAGCCAGTCACGCCCTCGGCCCAAGTATGCTGCAGCAGCAGGTGTCCGGCCCCGGCAGTGCCTCAACCGTCGGCAGCCTTTCGAGCCATGGCCAGAGCAGCGGCGGCAGCATGCGCGAGTACTTTGGCGGCCGTGAGACGGACATCTGGAGCTATCTGCGAGATATTGAAGCACGCATGACACAGGCTCAAGAGGAATCCAATAGACGCATCGCCGGCTTGCAAGATGAGGTTGCCCAATTGCGCGCTCAGCTGCAACAACACCAGCAGCACCAACAGCAACAGCAACAAGCGCCACAAAGCCGTTAAGACCCTCCCCGGATCGGCAGCAAAAAGCTTCTCATGCATGTTCCCTGACGAAATTCCCTAATACTGTAATATCACCACTGGCGCCAGAGGAGTTTTCCACTGCTCTCTCGACGGAAAGCAGCGGTATCGGGCACAAGGCGTCATCAGATTGCTGTCCGCATGGAGGTCCAGTACACGATAGCGACTTCTTCGAAACCATAAGCGGCAGGTTAACAAATCATGTCGGGAAAAGGAGGGTGGTGTTGGGAGGATGAGCAAACGGGAATCAATCCGTGTTGAGGCTCTGGCGTTGTTATTGTCCTTTATTTTCGTCTGCTTGATCTGTTTACCGTTCGTTGCTTTGGCCCCTCCAAAAACCGTTCCCGTCTTGCTTGTTCTCGATTTCTCTTTTTTCGTTGCTTTTCTTTTGCTCCTTGCTTATCTACTGGCGACCTTGCTGGGCCATATTGCACGTGAGACGATGCCAAGAGGCAGCGGCCGGCGCACCCTTTCTTTGTCTTGCGCTTTACCCTATTTGCCGCTGACATTGTCTCTCCAAACCTCTCTCCTCCCCTTGATACCAAGGCCTTACTCCGCTCAGTGCCCGCTTTAGCAGCGTTAACAGCCGCGCACCGTCGCTACCAGGGTCTGTACATCATTGTTGCCGCTTATGGCAGGCTGGAGAGAGAGAGAGAGAGAGAGGAGGTGCTACTAAAAAAGAGAGTAGGATGCTGCGCGAACGAGCGCGACGAAGAGACAACGTGTACTGCGCCATAATTTCGGCAGCCGTCCGCCCAATTTTTCGTACTCGCGCCCCTTGTCGTCGTTAGCTCCTAGAGATCTGTTACGTTAGGCCCCGCACTCCCGCTGACACACATTCACACGAGTTTGCACTTACCCGTCGCACCGCGCTCACCGCTGCTCGTGCATCTGTTATCCATCCATACACCCATCTAGCATTCATCCATCCACTTATGTCGATTGCGCGTCTAGTTATTTTTAGTTCTTTTTTTCCTCGTCTAAGTAGGTAGCTCGCGATTTCCACACTCCTCTTCTGATCCCCCCCGCGGCACGTCATTTGTGTTTTGTGTTTTATTGGTTTTCAGTTTTTTTTTTTTTTTTTTTTTTTTTTTTTGCTGTCTCCCTTCTGCGCCGTTATTTCCTCGCCTTTCTTCTCTTTTATCAGATTCTCCGTTGAGCTGGGTTGGGAGAGGACCGGGGTTGAAAGCCAAGCCGATTGCTTGCTTGGTTTGGGTTGAGGTGGGTGGGTGGTCGGTCGGTCGGTTGAAGAGCCCGGGGGGGTTGAGCGGTCGGAGTCGTTGTTGTTGTTGCTGTTGTCTTTTTGCCGCCGCCGTCGTCTGTCGTTGTTGTGTCGCTGTTGCTGTTGCTGTCGCTGTTGCTGTCGTTGTCGCTGTTGTTGTTGTTGTTGTTGTTGTTGTTGTGGCAACCCCGTTCGATACCTATTATAGTTTGTGGCGCGAGCTTCTGAGCAATGAATGGGATTTATTCTTTCTCCAGAGGTCGAGTAGTGAAGGGTGAAGGGGGGTTGTTAGTCAGTGTGTGTACCTCTGTGTCCTTCGTTTTTTCAAAGAAGCCAGTGCCTGGCAGGCAGGTCGAGAGCTACAACGTACTTACCTTGGTGTATATGTTCTCTTAAAAGATACCAATGTATGTGAAAGTACGCAAGCCAAAGTTGATTTCTGCTTTTTGCGTTTTTGATGGTGGTTATCATCACCACTGCCCCCTCCAATCGATGATGACGATTGTCGTCGAAAGCGCAAAATGCAGAAGATAAACCTTGGCTTGCGTGCTTGGGCGTTGGCTTTTTATTTTTTTAGTTTTTTATTTTTTTTATACATACAGTAGATGTAGCTAATCTCACCGACTGACTCTTCGTTCTGTGTAAAGCAAGTGCTTCTTACGGGTTCGGGCTTTCTCGCACCAACGTGCAGTGCATACATGCGGCTGGTTCATTGGTTCATTAATTTGTTGGTTCGTTCTATGGCAGGCTGTGATTCTCTCTAGTTGGTGTGTGGGTGTGTGGGTGGTGTTTCCAATGTCTACCTAATCCTCCGTATATACCCAGCTATGTATGTATGTATTTGATAATCAGATTCAGAGCCGGGGTTTCCTGAAAGTACACGCAGCTGAGTGGGTAGATGCCATCTATCTGCGCCTTCGTCTTCCCGCTCTAGCCTACCTACCTACCTACCTACCTATGAAACTCTCACCTCTAACTCCGACGCCAACATAAGCGACACAAGTGGTCCGCTGCCCTTCAGCATCACGGCCCTCCCTGACTAGCCCCTACTTGTGCCCAAGGACAGCACGCAGTCAGCAGTCGCGCGCCTGCTTGCTAGACCCAGCCAGAGGCTGCGTCGTCGGCGGCAATGGGTGGGTGCGAAGGCAGGGAAGGCGCATGGGGGCTTAGCGTGGCGGAAGGGAAGGCGGCAGCGACGCGCATGGAGTGGGCCGAACGAGGGAGAGGGAAGGTACGAGGACAAGAAAGTCTCCGCGTAGTAGGTACCACGCCGCGGAGCATTTCCGGACAAGCAGGTGTGCGGCAGGCTTCCATCCAACCCAAACCCCGACACCGACTTCGAGCTATGGACCATCAGCACAGCGCGCTCTCCAGCGCCGGCCAATGCAATCACTTACACCACAACTACACCACACACCTCTCGCAAGCCAATCTAATCCAATTTATTTCAATTTGCAAAAACTACACTACAGTAACTACCTAAGCCGCAGCAGTGCGGCTCTGTCCGCATCCGTGTCCGATCATGCTGCCATTTCTCTGCACAGCCATGTCGATTAATCCCGGTGCGACTAGCAAGCAGGGTGCGTAACGAGTCGCGCATTCTGACGCCATGCTCCGCAAGAGCCTGCAGTGTCGATTCTTGGTGATGGGCTGACGGGTAGGGTGGTAAGTAGATGGGGTTGGGGCTTACAGTACATGTATGTGTGCAGGAGGGGGGAATTTTGGTGGGATGTGTGGGCCGAAATGCCGTTTTTCGTGAGTGATGCGTCCATCGCCCCGTGGGGGCCACGCGCGAGGGAAATCGGGGATCAAAGTTTGAGGGTTAAAGTCTTGTCTTCGTCAAGGGAGGACATGTGTTCCCGAGAAAGAAGACAAGTAGCGAAACATCAACTGAAGACAGGGTCTTGGCAACCCGAAATCATGAAGGTCCCTTCATTCATTCAGTGTCGAGCCTGGTGATTGATACAGTCCTGCTCAGAAGTTGGAGTAGATGTCCTCTGCCCGACGAAGCCACGGCATGACCTCCACTGACTGCGCAGGCGCGAGGGGCTTGGGCTCAGGCCTGTTTTTCGAAGGAGCGGCGACCGAGTTGGGGCTATAGGTAACCTGCATTAGCATAAGAACTCCAAATCTTGTTGGAACAGTCTGCACTTACCCGTTGATCTCCCGATCCAGCTGCAGCCATTCCTTGGCAGCCTCCTTGGTGCCACGCTCAAGCAGGTATTTCATGTACAGGAACGTCAGTTCGCGCATGGTGGGTAACGGAAGCAGGCTGTCTGTGCTGATGGCGGTGTGCACTTGCTTGATACGCTCGTGCTGGGTGGTATCCGTCTCAGGAGTGAAGGGCTGCTCAATCTCGAACATGAGGTAGCCGTACCAGAATGCGCGAACGTCGAGGTAGTTGGCCGTGTTCGCCTGGTAAATTTGACGGGCCTCGTCCGGAAAGCCCTTGATCTTCCACAGAAGACGAGCCCATTCGGCGACCAAGGTACCCTTGGCTTGGCTAGGAACCTCGGCACTTTCGATCTGGCCACGAAGCACGGTAATGGCTGCGTCGATGCCACGGTGCCTCCTAGCCAAATTGGCCCAGGAAACGATGGTCTCGACTTGGCCGGGAAGACTGACAAGGATGGCATCGTAGATAGCCTCAGCGACATCGACCCTGCCAGCCTGCTCCTCGAAGATTGCGTACTGAATACGAATCGACGGATGCGCTATGGGCACAAACAGACAGCTAGCGCGCTGATAGATGTTGCGAACCTCCTGCTCCTTGTTGGGCTGAGCTAGCATCCACCGCGCATAACGGAACCAGAACTCCTCGTAGTAGGCAGCCGTAACCAAACACCTTTCGTAAAGGAATGAAGTACGCTCATAGGTGCCATTGGCCTCCTCATAATCCAGGTACTTTCTCCAATTAGCCAACTGCGGCTCGTCCAAATCCGTAACGTGGAAGTACGGCCGCTTGATTTCGGCCTCGTAGACCCAGCGCGCACCGACCTCGGTCTGCGTCTTGTTGTAGACCTCAAGGTAATGGGTATCGATCCTTGCACGCAGCTCGCGCTCCGTCTCGACTTCGCTCTTGGGGCCGAGCGCCAGAAGCTCGGTCTGATACTGCGCCAGGATGTTCTCCGGAACGAGCTCTGTGACCGGGCGCGTTTGCGATAGCTGCCGGAAACGCTCGAAATAGCGCGCGTACTGATGCATTGGGATAAGGATAATGTTCTTCAGAATGACGAAAATCCTATCGAAGGCCTCGAGGCGTTCCTCGAACTCAATGTACTTGTCCCAAAAGGGGTGTGCCAAGAAGTCCAGGCCGACGCATGCCACGCCGCGCTCGAACAGTCTAGGTGAGTTGGTTAGCGGGCCTAGATACGTTGCGCGGGAGAGATATGGGGAGTGGAAGAGGGCAGCAAACAGATTATAGCGGGTTATCGGGATTGTTCTTGGTGTCAATGAAGTCCCAAGGATTATGCGAGATCGAGTGAGGGAAAATACTGCCACACGAGGCACTTCAGAGTGTGCAGTCAAGACAAGAAAAGCGTCTGAAAGCTTAGTGTGAGATGCAGCTTCAGGGGTATGGTTAGGCTCCGAGGTCTCACCAAGCTCCAAGCTACACCCAGACCCAGACCCAGACCCAGATTGAGATTGAGGTTGAAAGGACATTCGCGCTTCGCAAAGTCGCCGTGATGGTTCGTGCTGAACTCGTGATGGTTACGGGGAAGGAAAGCTCTGCCGCTGATACTTACTCTCTGATCACATCTGAGTCGTGGCAGGTGTCGACCTTGAAGGCGCAATAGTTTGCCCAGAGATCAACGGAGCTGGCGATGCTGGCAACGCCACGCTCGTACACCTAGTGACGCGAATCAGCGGGCGTGCCATGGGGAACAAGGCGTGAGTGTACCGACCATTTCCGCGGCCTCGGTGCCTGCGATGGAGAACTCCAAGTCGGCATACTTCTTCCAGTATCCAAAGACCAGAGGGAACTTTGCGAGGAATTTGTCGTAGACGGAACGCGTGGCGGCGATGGAGGAAGGGCTCGAGTTGCGGTTGAGGCCGCCTTCCAGCGACTCTGCGGCGCGCACAACCTTCTCCCAGGCGTCGAAATCATCGGGGTTCTCAAACTGTCGCGGGGTCTCGGTCAGCTCGTGGCCCGTGGCCCTCAGGCATCAAGCGCGGCGACGCACCAGCTTCTGATTCAGGTCCCTCAGCTCAGCAAAGTCGTCGTCCATTCCCAGGAAGCTAAGGTCGGCCATTGTGTCGTGGCTGCGCGATGGAAGACGGCGGGAGGCTAGGAAGCGGGTGGGGCGGTGAAAGGGCGTGGAGGTGGCGGGGGAGACGGGTGCGCAAGAGAGAGAGAGGGTGAGGCCGAGGGGCGGGTTGTGGACGCGGATGCGAAGTTCGTTGCTCGGGGCACTAGGTTGAGCCGCGTCTTAGCTCCCGTGCGTCACCTTACTTAGTCAGCACCGCTTTGGGGGCCCTGGTACATCACATGTCTATTGTGAATACAATCAAGCTGGCGGGGACAATCACAAAAAGCACACCTCGCTAGCCGCTCCAAACGCCCCTGCATGAAACGAACGTGTATCCCCCCCGGCTTACGCGTGCTCTCCCGTCATGATGCCTTCTCTTCCCCCGCGTACTTGGCCGTGTCAGCTGCCGCAAAGGAGAACGGACTCGTCTTCATCTCCGGGCTGCGCGGGCTGATGGGCACCGCGAACAAGTCGTCCTTCTCTTCCTCGTGACTCTCCTGCGCCTGTGGCCGTAGTGGCTGGAACCCTCCCGCAAACGCATCCAATGATCCCATTGCTGACGATTGCTGCTGTTGGATAAACGCCGGCGGCGCGATTGGGGCTGCCACGCGCCGCGGAGCGTCTTGCTGCTGCTGCTGCTGCGGCTGCGAAGGAACCTGCGCCGGCTTGGCCGCCAATTCTGCTGGACTCAGGCCTTTGAAGGTCGCAAACGATGAGACGGCCACATCCGAAGACTCCGGTGACAGGGGGTTGAACGCCGGCATGCCCTCGCTCGGATCCTTCCGCGTCGAAAAATCCTTCTCGGTCGTGTTCAACTTCAGCCCTTTGAGCTTGTCCATCAACCGCCCTCCGCCCGGCGACCTTGGGCTCGATGGGCTCAGCGGCGCAGAGCCTTCGTTCTTTGCAAAGCTGACGCTGGGCCTGGCTGAGACACCAAAGTTCTGTTCGATCCATTCCTTCTCCTGCATAACCATGACGAACCCGATGCCCTCTACATTGCTCTGGCCCTCAGCCTCAATCTCCTTTTGCAGCTCCTGCAGCCTGCGCTTGGCCCAGATGGTGTGCAGGACGCCCTTTTTCCCCGCGGCATTGCCGCTCGCGCCCAGCTCCGGCGGGAAGATGGCGGGCAGCGGATTGGTGCGCCAGGTCGTGGGTGACTTCGAGGGGTCGGCGGGCCGGTGCATCAGGGTGATGGTAGGCGGGACGGCGGCGCCGGGCGCCAGCAGGAAGTAGAGCCTATTGACATTGGGTGTTTGGTCGTTGGCTGGCAGCACGGTGCTCTTGCCCTCCCAGCTGATGTGCCAGTCGCCGCGCACGCCTTTGGTCTTCTCGTCGTCCTCCCACTCGACCATGAGGATCTTGGTGCCCTCCCTGCCTTGGCCGGCCTCGAATTCGAAGCGCGCCAGAGCATTTGAGTTGGAGACGCTAGGCGACTCGACCTCATCCTTGTAGCGGCCGTCGGGCGTGGACGTGTCGACAGGGTCGAAGGGCGGCTGGGTGGGCGACGATGGATCGGACGCTTGCGCCATGACGGGGGTCGCGGGAAGGCAGTTGCAGCACGCGGATCTGCTATATAGACGGTGGCGGACAGGCTTGAAGCCGCAATCGAGTGCTGTCAGGCGATGTGTATCTGGTGCAAGTAGCCGGGCAAGCGAATCACAAGTGCCATTGCCCGTAAGGTCCCAGAGCACTCTTACCGTCTGATTTCCTGTCGATCTAAATTTAGGCCTTATGCTCCGTCTTATGCTTGGCGCGGCGGTCAATGCAGCACATGGAATGTCAGCCCCCCCTCACGCACGATTGGATTTTTGTTCCGAAGCCGGTTTGGCCGTTGATTGTCCGCTCTACCGCCACCCCCTCCCTACAAAGTATTCTGTCTATGGTACAAGGCGTGTGGTGGAAGCTGCACTAGTTCCACCGCCCGCGAAACCGGCCCCAGCGGGCCGTTTGGCACGAGACCGAGTAGAAAACGCTAAAAAGCCATGAAAGAGTCATGAACCCGTCCCACAAAATCGCTCCCTCCTAAAACTCCTCGAAGCAGTATGCATCCGCCGAACCTGTAATGTTCTCTAAGATGATATAAAATAGAAGTGAAAAATAAATAAAGAAAGAAAGAGGAAAAAAGGAAAAGAAAAAAGTGGTATAGTCGAAGAAGTGAAAATTACAAAGTGGGTATAATGCAAGGCGACCAAATGCGCTGCGTACATATATATATCGTGTCGAGCTCGCCGTGTGCGAGTATCGTTGCGTTGCGGCCGTTTCATCGTCGGGACATGGGTATGTAGTCGAGGGCAAGTAGACCAGGATGGCCGAAGGCGGGCTTCTAGATCAACAAGAAGTCCCAGTTCTTCTGGCGCATCACGTCCCGCCAGTGGACGCTCTGCTTGTCACCTCTCCTCTCATTCTCGTCGTTGATGGCCCACACGTCTTTCAAGAGCTCCTTGATACGGCCAAAGGAGCCGAACTCAGACGCCTCGCCCATCAGCTGCGCGCGCTGGGCAAGCATCGTCCGGAACTTGGAGTTGCTGAGCGAAACAGATCCTGCGATCAGCAGAGGCCAGACAACAGAGCGGTCGAAACCCTCGGGGCCAGCCGGGATAAACTCCATTGCCTCGGCCAGTTGGTCAACCAGGCTGATGGTCGAAGCCTGCTCCCGGTCAAAGGTGGGAACAAGGCTGCACAGATAGATGCGCGCGGCGATGCGGAAGACAGCAGTGATGTTCGTGCTGAGCTGCTGCGGGCGGATCGCACCGGTCGAAGAGTAGCAGTTGTCGATGGTACCAGCGTTCTGCTCGGTCATACTGATCTGGTCACCAACATACTTGATGTGCGCACAAAGCGCAACATTCTCCAGGTTCTCCGTGTCGATCTTGTAGGACTCGAGGCATGCGATCTCCGAAATCAGATACATGACCTTGTCTTCGCAGCCCATAAGCGAGGACATGCCAGAGCTAGAGTCGGCCAGCAACTTTTCGAGGTAGGTGCTCGCAAAGACAGGAGACTTTCCAAGCATGGTTGCACCGAGGATATCGATCCACGCCGCCAAGCTCATGTTGAACGGCGGCTGAGCGTGGGGGTTGCCGTTGAGGGCCGTCAGCTGCTGGGGCAATCCAAGCCTCTGGATCAGGTCGGTCGCAGCTTGGAAGTGGGAATGCCAAGGAATGTCGGGCAGGCTGTCACCCGGGCGGCCGACGGAGCACTGGAAGAAGATCATTCCAAGCGTGGCCTCCAAGATCTGCATGTGATCCGTATCGCGGTTCAGGGCTGCGCAGAGCTCAGAGATGGTCTGGAAACGGTGGCGCATAATGTCGTTGTCAATCTGCTCGTTGTCGAGGTTGGCAGTAGTCTTCAAGTGTTGCGCAGCGATGCTCAAGCAGCAGTGAAGGTAGCACTTGTTCGACTCGAGAGCGGGAAGGACAACATCAGAGCGAGTAGGACCATGCTGGTTGACCTCGAGGATGGGGAAAACAAGGCGCAAGACATTGTCAATGAAGTGGTTGAGCAGAGGCTGGTCGCACTCCTCGACCTGGATGAGGGCTTGGTGCGAAGGGGTGAAGGAGCCATGGGGGAAATCAAAGAAGTTGAAGTCAAGAGGCTCCTCGGGGAACTCTTCTCCGTGAGTCTCGAAGTACTCGTGCTGAACCCAGTTGTCTGGCGCAAAGTCGCATCCTGCCGTTGGAGGAGGCTGGAAGGTGCTGAAGGTCGACATGGTGGAATCTCTCCTCGTGGGAATGTCATTGACAAACATTTGGCGCTCGGTCTTGATGTCAACCTCGTAGGGCGACGCGAACGGCGCATAAGGCAGGTAACCAGGAGGAGGCATTGACATGGAGGCGAACATCTCAGGCGGAGAGACGCACTGGAAGTCGGCAGAAAACTGCGACTCAATTGATGCTGCGCGGGTCTTAGGAATGCCGTCGGAGTAGGTGTCGGAGGCCGGGAGCGAGTGGCAGAGGCTTGGCGGAGGAGAGTCGTTCATGGGGAGCGCTTGCGCGGTCTTCTCCGTGGCCTTGGTACGCTTGATTATGTTCTTGATCTGCTCCTTCTGCTGACGCCTCTGCTCGTTGTTGCTCCACCAAACGGGGCGCTTGTAGTCGCATCGAAGGCCAAGGTGCTTGCAGGCCTTGCAGCCAGGCTTGCCCTCATCGCACTTCTTCCTGCGCAGACGGCATGTGAAGCAGCCTGTTGAATAAGGTTAGAAACACTGCGGCGCAGATCCATGTATGTATGTGGGGTTCGCCTACCAGTCCGCGATCTCCTGTGCATCTTGGCCGGAGTCTGTTTCGCAGTTGCCGTAGTGTCCTTGGTGCCCACCATTGTTGCGGTTGGTTTGGAGGTAGAGGCCGACGTGCTTGAAGACATTGGGGATGTGCTGGGGGGGGGTAGTTATAACTAGATGATAAAACAATGCGATGCGCAATACCGCTAATGCACCAGCGGGAGGGATCCGTAAGGGCGAAAAGGATCGAGCGGAAGGCTATTAGATTAATGACAGTAAACCCAAGTTCGACCGGCGGACTCTGGGTTGGTAAGGGAATGGAAATGCTTGCAAATTATTCGCACCGTCGCTGCTGAGTTTCCTAGGTCAGAGAGGGAGAGTACCTTATATGTGCCTGAAACTCGAAAAATGCGGCTAATAGCTCCACATCTATTCTTAGAGCAGAGCTGTGGAAATGCAGAGGGCTTGCACCGGAGGCTGGGACTTCCACGCCCGACTCCACGGTGGAGGGCGGGAAACGGCTGCCATTGGCGGCAGAACCTTGACAGGTTGCAGTCATCCACGCTTGGACCGCATGCACGAGGGCACACTATTTTTGAGAGCCGCCGCAAGGGGCCGGCGTCTGGTCCAAGCTTAAAAGAGGGGTACAGTCGGTCGACGGACAGTTATCGACGGGTCCTCTTCCTTGGGCAGATCGGCTAGGAACAAGGCACGGAGGATTGCCGTGACAGGGCTAGCGCCTGAAATCCTTCATTGAAAGTAAGCCTCGTTCAAGCCCATGTCGTGACATGGGCCCTTCGCTTCGGCGAGAGCAGACGCAATGATGCATCGGCCGGAAGACTTGCAGCTGCTCGAGATGAAGGCAAGCGGGCCGCCCGTTACTCGAGAGGATCAATGGCGATCCATGGCGCACGATTATTGCCAATGCGTCAGCATGGGAGATTTGGGCATGGTCGGCTCGACGTATCACGGCCATGGACCTTGGACCTGTCCTCAGGCCGGAAATATGGCATTTTCTTCACTGAGTCCACTAGGGGTGGCCTGAGGAGCGCTGCTGCGCCGGGCCCGATCGAGGCACGACATCTGGCCATTGCAAGACAGGTTGAGGAAGGAGGTTGGGCTGCTGTGGTGTACAGAGCAGATTGGTGACACGGCAAAACGATATCGGCCATGGTGGTGGATCCGGTAAACTCAGGCGACCGGATGCAGGCATGACAGGAGGGGATCGGCTGGGGGGGTGGGAGTGCGTGGCATGGCGGGCGTCGACTGGCTGCAAGCCGATGTGATGGTGTTGCGTTGTGCACGGCAGGCTCTTTCCCGCTAGTTTAGCCGGGGCCCCTGCGGCTCGGGCGCTGCCGCGTCTCTGCCAATCGCGCAGCCTAACGGATGTGGGGAGCGTGAGCTTCTCGACTAAAAATAATGGCAGCTAAATGTTCGCTTTAGGCGCGCGCGGGGTCAATTAACCTCCTGCCAGCCGCCGTAATTAGCCGCCTATCGCGTGCACCGACGCGATCCACGGCCTCGAGTTTTTTTTTTTTTTTCCCCCAGCCAGCGCTGTGGCCATGGGCTTGATTGGCTGGCGATGAAAATTTCCTAAAATGATCGGCCGACTTTCTCGACAAATGACATGCCCCAGACGCCATAGCACCTGACTCGGCCGCTTCCCGTGATGCTTGAATCTGCCCGATTGCCCATGACGACTCAGGCCCGGTGGGTGTCGTCGTGGCCTCGACGACTTTTTTCTCTCGCAAGCTACGGTCCCTCTCTCGGTGTCGTTCATTTGCCTCGAGGACAAATCGGATGCCAACATGGCGGGGTTGGCCTGCCGCTAGACATGGGAGCCTTTGCATGCTCAATCTCGGCAGCGCAGACCCCGACCATGTTCTTTTTCTCCCCTCGACCGCGGCCGTGTGATGATGAACGTGATTCATGCTGGGCAACCACGACAGCTGCGAAAGTGGACCTCGCCTGCCACATGTACCCATCGACCCGCTGCTGATTCGTCCCCCGCGTCGATAATTCAGCGGGAATGTCGCACAGCGCGTCGCGAAGTGGATAGGGCCGCATGAAGCGTCGGGTCATGTGAGAGAGGGAGACTCGAGGGCAGCACGCAGATCGAAAAACCGGTTCCTCCGTGTGGTGCTCGAGACGGCGACAGGTGCGACGTGAAGGAGCGGTCTGGGCCCGAGGCTCTGGACGCAGGCACAGTCATCACACAACGCGGCAGCTGCGGCCAAGGAGATTGATGGGAACCTAGGATTCTCAGATTGCGACTGCAGCCACGAGCTGCGCCGGAGTCTGGTTCGTGGTTTCCGTCCATCGTGGGAGCGGGAGCGGACAAGCCGACGCTCCAGCTCATCAATCCATCATTCATTCTCTTCACAGATCCACGGCTGGCCTATCGCTGCGGCCCGCTGGCCAAGATCCGCGGACAGGTCACGCAACCCCCGTCAAGGCCGTTTCGCACACGGAGCAGCAAGTGTCATGGCCGCGGCCACGATTTCGGTGCTGGATCGGCTCCGGCATCGATCGCGTCGCGCGGCACGGCGTTGCTGCCACGAGTTGCACCAGAGGCGGGCGCGGGTGCGACGACATACATCGATACATACATATACGTGGTGACACCGGGGTGCGGACGGCAGGAAAACGGGAGCGCCATGCGCTGCTGTCGTGCCGAAGCGAGACGGGCCTTGGTTCCCCATGCTAGCGTGCGAGCTGCAAGGGGGGCTAAACGTGCCGCATGCGGCAGTCGACGCTGTCCGCCTCACCCCGACGCACCAACGAGCGCGTCGCGCAGGGATCCTTCCTGTGCTGCCCTATCTACGCGCCCGCTTGCCCAGTGGGGAAGGGTCTTGGGCGAGGCTTCCGCCGTGTCCGCGAGCTTAACGGCCATGCCTCCAACCAATGCCCAACCACACCGCATCCTGGCCGAGCCAGCGTCTCAGGTATCCTCCTACTAAAACCTCGACGCTGCCCGTCGCCCGCACGGCCGCCCCCCCTCGCCTTTTCTTCATATGTGACCTGTGTAGAGCTCAATCCTGTCCGTCCGTCCTCTTGCTCGTTTTGCTTTGCTGCCATGGTACGTCACTGGAATTTGATGATTGCCTGTACCCCTGCTGATTGCGGCCCACAGGCGACCTTCCGTCCCATGTCGCCGCTGGAAGCCGGCGTGCAGATGTACCAGAGCGGCAACATGGAGCCTTTCCTCACCGTCCGCTCTGACAAGCCTCGGCCGCTATCCGAGGCCACCGAGATCTTCGACACCGACTTCGAGGACGACGACGGTGATGACTCGAGTGACTTTGAAGAGGAAAGCGTCCCGAAATACAGCTTCGAATCGGTGAGTACACCCGCCCGTCCGCCTTCGGCGCTTCCGCCATATTGACAGGTCGTCTCCAGAATGACAGCAGAAAAAGCCAAACGACCATATCTACTTACGAGGAAGTCCCGACGCCGCATTCCAGCCGCAGGATGCACTTTGACTTCCAGGCCCAGGAACGACGATCCATAGAGGGCCCAAAGGGCCCTCATTTGTTCCGCTCTTCTCTCTCATCCGCTGAGTTCAATTACGAGTATGCGCTCCAAATGTCTCCTTTACTCCCGAAGCAGCCCCCACCCAGGATCGACACTGCATTCCGGACCGAAGAAGTGGAGCCTATGCCTTCTGCTCTTGCTTTCGAGTTCTACGCTCAAAATGAACCAGAGCCGCCGCAGGGGCGTAGTTCGAACATCAGTTCGTGGACTGCGCAACAAGTGGCAGACTGGATGTATGAACTGGGATTTGAAGATTCCATCATCGAGAAGTTTGAGCATCATGACATCACTGGTGCAGTGTTGCTCGATATGCAGTTCGAAGACTTAAAAGAGTTGGACATACCTTCTTTCGGAAAGCGGCATCAGCTTTGGAACCACATCGATGAGCTCAGGGGTAACGATGGCCGCATAAGCCCGCAGCCCACTCCATTCCAAGACACGAGCCGTCCGTGCACGCGCAATACCCGATCCAACAGCACCAGGGAGCGGTCACACTCGCGGCCCCGCCGCCGTGATTGCGAGGATGCAGAAGACGGTAGCATGACTCCAATTGAGCCCGGTGCCGGTCGTCGGAGAAGAGGTCGTAGACATCGCAGCAATGGCGACGATATCATCACACCTGCTGAATCCGTCTCGATCGTTGCGATTGAACAACTGCTTCCTAAGCCACATCATTGCTCAAAGGGCGAGAGATGCCACAAATGGAGAAAGCAACAACGGCAACTCCAGCGACTGCAAGAAGAGCATGGTTTTCCCATTTCTCCGGACAATGGTGGCCACATCTTCATTGCTGGCGATCCTGGAAATGCTGCTGCTGCTACAAACCTGGTGGAGAACGTTTATCGCCCAACTTCTGATGCTCTGCCATCTGTTGTCGCATCTTCTGATCTTATGGGTCCAGGGCAGATGCCCGCTGTCGCACTGCAGGAAGACACGCTTCGGACAGTCGAGTCCCGCGATCCTCAGGAGAACGTCAAGCACTTCCTGACACTGCAACACATGGAGCCCCCGCATATACAGCACCTACCGGACGACCGTCCCTCTAGCCCTCTGGAGATGTTCCCGCCCCTTCACCCGCCCCACGAAACCCAAACTGCTCATGCAAACCTGCGCAACTTGCCCAAACTTAACATTCCACGATCCGCCTCCGCCAACGTCTACGGCAACCCTCGGCCGATGCAAACTAACGAGTACTCCAACGCCTTCTCGCCTTGTCGTACTGCGAACGCCTCTCCGAACCTTTATCGTTTTGGCACCCCCGCCTCCGAGATGGACGTTCCCCTGACCCAGGTTCCACTTGGTCCAATTTCTCGCGACACCAGCCAATCAGTACCACCGGGAATGCAGTACCGAGATCCTGTGCAACGTACCGCCTCAAGCAATGAGTGGCGCAGGCCTTCTTACGTGATGCCTAGCCTTCGCGAGAACGAAGTGTACAGCCCGCCGGAAGCCCATCCGAACTCTGCCGACTCTGCCACTCTGCATGATAATGCGTCCACTACGTCGCAAATGAGAAAGAAGTCGACGGATTCGTCTTCTAGTGCAGACATGAAGGCGCATCTGCTGAACCGCTACGAGCAACAGCATCAGTACACGTACGATGGCGTAAACCATGCCGGCTGGATGAAGAAGCGACGCACTAAGCTGCTGCGCCATGAGTGGCAAGACCAGCACTTCCGCCTGGCCGGCACGCGGCTGGCTATGCACGCGTCCGACGTGCCCGAGAGCATGGCATTGGACACAATCAATGTGGACGAGTACGCCGTTGCATGCTCCAGCTTGGCATCAAACAAGCTGGCCGCCAAGCTCAAAGGTCTCAAGCTCGCCAACAGCCACAAGAAAGATGGCAGTGGTAACACAAGCCTCGACGCCGCGGCCTTCACATTTCAGCTCGTGCCGACAGGCCAGCACGGCGAGGACAAGAGCATTGTCAAGAAGACGGCGGCAAACGGCAAGACGCACCACTTTGCTGTCAAGACTCGTGATGAGCGCATCGACTGGATGAGAGAGCTCATGCTGGCCAAGGCCATGAAAGCGAAGAAGGAGGGCTACGAGGTCGAGATTAACGGCAGTGCTGTCTAAGCGCCCGCATGCTTCGAGGCCTGGACGACCCCGTTCTCCACATGCGGCCCACATCCTTCGGGGAATAAAAGCCCCTCACCATTTCACCCCTTATTTTCGTTTTCCATTTCCGGTGCTTAGGGGCATTTGCTCTCTGCTTTTGTTTTTTGGCTCATTTGACTTTGCTCTGATTTTCTTTGGCCTTTCTGTTTCCGTTCTTCATTTCGTTGCATCTGTCTCGTGCAGATCTTCTTCTGCTGGCCAGCTATATACCCTTTCTAGCAACTTCCTTGCTGTCTGTCACGCCTTTTCTTGATATCACCTCATGACGTAACGACCCGAGACTGTCCGAGGGCAGTATGCATTTCTCTTCGCTTGCTTTGGATAAAAAGACGACATTTGATCACGACGGTTATTTCTTTTTTTTTTTTTTTTTTTACTTGAGTAGGGCATCGGTATCCGTATCTAGACATACATATGCCATCAGGGCAACGAGTGGGGAAAGCGGTTTGCATTACATTAGGTAGTTATGTATGTAGGAGCAACAAAGACTTTTCCTTGCGTAGGTAGCGCCAATGAAAGAAATGAAGCGTCAGAAGGCTATGAAGATACGAGGTGGGCGGCGATAGCACGCCTCACTTGGCACGAGGGCTAGCCCGTAGGCCAGACAGGACGAGGTGAAGGAATGAAACGTCGAGATCCTGCACCCCACCGAGCAACTCCACCCCACGCGCACTGGGCGTCGCCCTTCCCGACCGGATCCCTCGGTCCGCAAGCAGATCGTCCACACACATCCCGACATTAACACCGACACTTCCGCGCGCGCCATCCCCCACCCAAGGCCACCCGCCCGCCCGCCCGCCAGGCGAAGTGCCCTGTCCTTCCTCGCGAGTGCTGGAGATTGCGAATTCCCCTCTCCTCCCCTCCCCCAACCCGCTTCCCCCCGCCGCCGTCGCCTCCGTCGTGTCGCCGAGTCGTGCCACATGCTGCCTGATGGGAACTTGTTCATCAATATCGCTGTCCCCGCCTGGCTCGGCCCCGATAGGCGTGCGTGCTCGGGGATATTCGCGCGCGCGCGTGCCGTCGTAGCGCCTATTGCCCTTCTCGTCCAAGGATTGCCCACTGCGCGCGCGCTAGTCGAGTGCTACTACTACTATTACGCCGCACCACCACCACCACCACCACCACCACCACCACCACTACTACACTAAGGAGTAGGGAGTTTCCTTGCTCGAGCGCAACGGCGGGCAGGCGGGCGGACGGCGGCTCAGGGTCTTTCGCGCGCGCGCGCCGGCGTGTGGGCTTTGCTTGCGTGCGTACGTGTGGGCGGGCGTACTCGTATCGCTCGTCGGGTCGGGTAGGGTCTGGCAATCTGGCAGGGGAGCTGTGTTGTGCATGCGCGCGCGCGCGCGCGCGCGTGTGTGTGTGTGTGTGTGTGTGTGTGCAAAGAGTCTAGATGAACGCGCACGCGGCCCCCATGTCGGTGCAGTGCGTATGATTGCGACATGCTGATCGCTTTGTTGCCTGGCGGAGCGAGATGACGGGTGGGGAGAAGGGTGGGGAGGCCCATCTGCGCTTCTGGAATCGGGGCTGGCTGGCCTCGCGGCAGTTGTTGGGAGACGTGGAGGGAGCGCAGTGGCTCTGCCTAGGAAGGGAATTAGATTGTTGGACACATCAGCGCCGGGAGGGGTGGTGCGCGGGTGAGGTGAGAAGCAGGAGATCGCCGATGCTGGGAAGGGGAGTTTTTGTTGTGCTTTTTGCCTCGTCTTTTGCCGCTGGCCAGCAAGGCCTGAAGCAGGCGATTTTGCATCAATTTCGACGGGAAGGACGGGTTGATTCCGGTCTCCCTCTCAATTGGTTTGATATTCCTGGTATGTATGGAATGAGGCTGTTCAAAGATTTTGCCAACTGGATACCTAGCGATTTTGAAAATATTCACTGATCACAGAACCATAGTTTACATTGAAGGTGTTGCATTTCCCTTCCCACAAGCTGCTGCCCACAACCTCATTCAAGTTCATCAATACCCAGTGGCGGGAACAACACCGTTTTCTTGATGTTGAGCTTGGGAGTGCCATAATCAGCATCCATGCCGGGACGCGCAAACTCGAGGCTCCTTTTCTGCTCATCTACGCCCAGCATGTCCAACAACTCTGCCGCTTTGGACGGTATGTAAGGCTGCAGCAGAATTCCAACGATGCGTAACGTCTCGACACAGAGGTATACGGTACGGTCGACGTGACGCGCATGGCGCTCAGGAACGCTAGCGCTGGCTTTATCGACATAAGTCCATGGGGCGGCGCCTTGGAGGAACCGATTCGCTTCAAAGACGGCTTCCATAATGCCTTTTAGCGCCTGGCTAACCTCGAGTCTAGACATCCTTTCGTTGGCTGCCGCGGAGATACCTTGGAGCATTCTGTAATGCTCACGAGCTTTGGCATGGGTTTCGCGGTGCTCGGTAGGCTTGTGGTCCTGTTGAGTCTCTACCGCTTTGCGCACGCTCCAGTGTTTGGGTTTAATGATACGGCTTGCCAAGTTACCAAGCCCGCTTTGGAGTCCCTTCTTGTACCGCTCAACAACAAGGTAGTTGCTGTAGTTGGCGTCGTTCGAAATACCAGCATCATGCGCAAGGTAATAGCGCATAGTGTCCGGTCCAAAACGGTCGAGAGCAAAGAATGGGTTGACAACATTACCCAAGGATTTAGACATCTTCTGGTTAGCCAACTGCCAATGGCCCGTGGTAAGGATTCGTCCAGGAAGCGGGAGAGAAAGTGCCATAAGGAATGCAGGCCAATAGATGCAGTGGAAACGGGTGATGTCTTTGCCAATAACGTGGCAATCTGCAGGCCATCCGTTGGCAGTCATTTGCTCCCCAGGGGGCCAGGGGTATCCTATCTTTGTCGCATAATTGAGAAGAGCATCTAGCCACACGTACACTGTTTGGCTATCATCGTCAGGAACCCTAACACCCCACGTCAACCGGGAGGTGGGACGTGATATGGAGAGGTCTTCAAGTCCCGCTGCTACCGCTGCGACAACCTCATCCATGCGAAACTTTGGGACAATCCATGTTGGATTCTTGGCGTAAAACTCGAGTAGCTGGTCCTTAAAAGCGGATAACCGGAAGTGATAGTTGACTTCAGTCGTCCATTCGACCTCTTTGCCAGTCTCTATGGATGTCTGCGTCTCGTCAGCATTAACTGTAGAGATGGGGCGTAAAGCATGCTGAGTGTTTTACCATGATTTTTCGGCCAGTAGCAGGATCCAACACCAGGTGCAACTGCGACTCTGGATAATATGTCTCGTCGCTAACGGAGTACCAACCCTCATGTTTCGAGCTGTAGATGTATCCACGCTCTTGCAGCAAAAGCTGGGCCAATGTCAGCTGGCATCATCGACGGAGCTGTACGGCTCTTTTCTATGCTTACCCATGCATATTGCACGGCCTCTTTGTGAGAAGGCTCAGTGGTACGGACAAAGTAGTCGTTCGAGATGTTTGCCCGGACAGCCAGATTCTGCAAATCCGTTAGAGACGCTTTTCGGGTGACAGGGTACAGCTTTTTACTTTGAACACCTCGGCGCCCTTGTCACAAAAGGGCAGAGGCTCACTGCCAGCCTTTGTGGCAGCTTGCTGGACCTTCAAGCCATGCTCATCGGTGCCCGTACATAATAGGGCATTCTTTCCATTGAGCACCTGCCAACGTTTGATGACGTCGGCCAGAACCATGGTAGATAGGTGGCCGACATGAGGGGCTGTCTCGTGTCAAAGCTGCAGACGGACCATTGGGTGGCAGAGTTCCACGTACCGGCATTGACATAGAAGATTGGGGTAGTGACGTAGTAAGGTTTTTCCAGGGCGGTGGTTGCTACATGTCTGCGAGGCAACGGGCGCAACCTAGACGAGACATAGGCCGGGCTGAGCGCAGCGCGCGCTCCGGCGCTGTAAATTCTGGAGCGCATTTCCCAGGCTTGCAGCAGACAGACGCGAATGGAAGGAACCTAGAGACGGGACCTAGTGGGCCCGTGGGTTTTCCCGAGCTCCGAGAGCCCCGTGCCCGTTAAGGCAGCTCCAACCTTCCAACCTCTCACTATCAACAACACCATGCTGCTCGGCGCCAAGCTCCCCGGCCCCACGCCCTTTGAGAAGCGTCAGGCTCTCCGACGCGCTGCTCGCTCGCCTTTTGCCATTTTCGTCAATTTTGTTGCCTTCCCCATCTTCGCCCTCGCCTTGTTGTGGAAGTTGCTCAGCTATGACCTCGACTGCTTGTGGCAAGAGTGCAGCTCTGTCGATTATCGAGCCCACAAGATCCTGAAGAAAAATCCCTTAATAGGTCGACTTTACACCGCTTCTTTTTTGCTGTAGACCATGCCTTTCTGACAGTGCACAGATGGCCACAATGACCTGTTGATCATGATAAGAGGCCTTTACGGAAACCATATCTATGATGCAGACTTCAGCAACAAGTTTGAAAAAGGTGGCTTGGAGTATGACATCGACATCCCTCGCCTTAACGAGGGAATGCAGGGCGGTGCTTTCTGGAGCGCCTTTTTGCCATGCCCCACAAATGTTTCTGATTTCTCAGACGAAGCTTATGCACCTAGTATGTTATTGTCTTGCCTATCATTTCTTCATTTTCAGATCAGTCATGGCCGTTCACTATCGCCTCCAACTGCCCTTTAGTTCCTTAAAAACGATGTGTTTTATTACTGACCCTCCACAGTTGTGAAAGCCACGCTCGAGCAACTGGATCTTTTCCACCGCCTCGGTGCAAGATATCCCAAGTATTTCACGCCTACTCCTAATGCTCTGGCAGCTGAGTACGCTTTCAAGAAAGGCCGATCCATCAGTCCAGTCATTATTGAGGGCCTGCACCAAATTGGCAACTCTATTTCTACCCTCCGTCTTTACTACCTACTCGGCGTTCGATATGCCACGTTGACGTGGAACTGTGATAACATCTACGCAGACGCCGCTTGTAGCACAGACGACAAGGGCCGAACTGTCAAGTCTAGCCCTCGATGGGGCGGTGTCAGTACAGACGGCCGTATGCTGATCGAGGAGATGAATCGTATGGGCATGATTGTCGACCTCGCGCATGCCAGCGTCGACACGATGCGCGATGTCCTAGCTGGTTCGCTAGACAGAGCGTGGGGCGGGAGCATAGCACCGCCGATATTCAGTCACAGTTCCGCCTATGCCATATGCCCCCACCCTCGCAATGTCCCGGACGAGATTCTGCACCTCGTCAAGAGGCGTAACTCGCTGGTCATGGTCAACTTCAACCCTGAATTCATCTCCTGCGTCGAATCAGATTCCCCGACAGGAATGCCGGAACTTTATGAACCGAACGTGACCCTTGCGCAAGTCGTTCGGCATATAACGCATATTGGCAACTTGATCGGATATGATCACGTCGGCATCGGCACGGACTTTGATGGCATCGAAGACACGCCGAGGGGTTTGGAAGATGTGAGCAAGTTCCCGGATCTGGTGGCTGAACTGCTGAGGCAAGGTGTCAGTGAGAAGGATTGCGCAAAGATTGTAGGCAGAAATCTGATAAGGGTGTGGAAGGAGGTGGACAAGGTGGCGGAGCGGCTGCAGAAGATGAGACTGCCACTAGAGGATGATATCGGGAAGCTCTTGACTGAGGTTTAGATGGTTGAGAAGGTTCCCGGCATGTAAATATGTACAAGGTAAATAGATCATAGATAGATCATGGCAAAGGGAATTTTGCCATCTGGTTGGGGCAATTGGGGGTTTTACTGAGTATAGCTCAGTCTCGTCGCCTGGAGCGCGCGGCTTTATGAACGACTTCACGTATAGTTGGAATTATCTGTCTCGTGGCAGTATTGTATTTCCTCATCTGAACCTAGAGAGAAGCAAAAGCCAACTTCACGGACTTGAAGGTATCTTAATCCCATCGATATTTGGTGCTTAAAGTATGGTTAGAGTAGGTCTTGCTAGTATGCGAATGTTTTTCTTTATACACCATAATCAATTTTGGCCTCATAAGAATTCCTATACATTCAAAGGTAATTGTACGATGTCGAATTGTACTTCTACAAAGCTCAAAGGCGATAGGTGTTTTCTCCGTTAACTTTCTTGGGGTTTAATGAATATACTTAATAAGCCATCATCACCATAATCTTAGTGCCTCAGAGGATTACGTTTCCGATGATAGTTACTCTTTAACGTCAGCTAATTGGTGGATTAGCCATGCTCATCTTTTAAGCACAGATAGAAAGTGGCTTATCTCAACGGCTCCATATGATTTATTATCTCTAGCGCTTGCTCAAGGCAGTTTATATCTACCATGATTAATAAGCTTGTTTAAGCCTTTTTACTATTTTCAAGGATAATGCAAGTCCGCCATTACAGCGAAGAGACCAGCTTGCGCCACGATGATTATACGTTTGCCTCGCAAGTAGTATCGTTAAGCCGATTGGTCGCTGATGGAAGTTTTTATATAGTACCCAAGGTCATCCAGGTGAATTGCTCTGGAGGAGTCCATGGCTTACTATAATAATTCGTACTGACGTTCAATGGATTGTTTCCGTTGGCCAAAACGTTGGTTCTGGTACTCTCTGCTTTTCCTCGAATACGTTGTTATTACCAGTCATGACAATTGCGGAAGTTCACCGCACTCTTTGTATGAAGGTTGTGTCTGGATATCTCCCGAGCATCTTTTGAGTGACATATACTACATTTTGATACAGCCCTGAATTTAATGCCCCACGCGGTCATGGTCTTTTTTTGACAAATATCTTCTATATGCGGTACTTGACAGTGCTCCTCTCAAGCTCGCCGATGATGCCGCCACTGCTGATGGTCCACTTCTCAGAGACCAGGTTCTCATCGACAACGCGCCTCATCATGCCGCTCGCGGCGTAGTACTCCATGATGCCCCTTGCCTCCTCGCGGGTCAGGCCCCTCAGCCTCTGCACCTCAGCGTCTCTGAGGCTGTTGTAACTGCGCTCGTCACGCGCCAAATACGGGTTCCACTGCGGAACCTCGGCTCCCGGGGTCTGCTGCGCCTCCTTGGCTTTGATGGCAAACTCCATGGCCTCGGACTTGGGCGAGCAGGATCCGGACGTTGCGGCCAGGACCATGCCACCGTTCGGCAGCTTCGTGTTACCGGAAAGGAGGTCGGTGAAGTGCCGGACCAGGAGCAGGTCGTGCGAGTGGATGGGCTTGAAGTCGCGGTCGGTGTACTTGGAGTTTCCCATGATGTAGGACAGGTTGTCCATGCAGACCATGATTGGCGGGCCACCAGGCTTAATGAGCTCCTTCCAGAGCGCCTGGAGGAATTGCCATGAAGAATCGCGATCTTTAGCGCCCAACTCGGCAAAGGCACGGAGAGTAATGTCCTCGGGAACCGGGATTGGGAGATTGTGCTTTTGCGAGAGCTTCATCTTGTCCAGAACAGCCTCGTTGGCTGTGCTGATTTGGCGAAGAAGCTGAGCGGTGTAGTCTTTCTGTACATACTGCGGGGGGTTTGTCCCTGGGGCGTGGTCATAGGCGGTGTGGTTGATGACCAGTTCCTTAGCTGCATTGCAAGGGCTGTCAGCGCCGAATATGGACAGAAATGCTGCGTCGTTACGTACCGTCAGGGAAATTGACAACCACCCACTCCTTCATAAAGGCCATTGACATGGCCTGCAGCAGTAGGGTGGTCTTTCCGCTCGCCCTCTCGCCCGTGATGACCCGCCTGAGCGTGGTCTTGTTCTCGGCCTGGATCGATCTGATAGCCTTGCTCAACTCAATGGCATCTCGCCTCATCAACGCCGCCGGCCGTCTGAACAGCCCCCAGCCTTGGTTTGTCTTGAAAGCCTCAACAGCACGCAGCTGGTCCACAACCGGCCCGGGTATGCCCATGACCTGGTTCTCAAACTCGGCGTCACCGATCGCGCTCGCTTCCAAATCGCGGAGGCCGGGCACCTCCAACGCGTTGGTGTTGCTGAGAACAATGCGCTTGCGCATGGCCTTGCGCTCGCCGGGGGCAGGCTTGCGGCCAGTATCCTGAGTCGGCTTCTTCTTGGCGATCCTCAAGCTCTTCATGCCCTTCTTGGGCGGGCCTGCGGTGGCAGTGGTTTTCTTCTTTACCAGTGGGCTTTTGAAGAGAACGGCCGAGGTGGAGAAAGCGGCGACGGGGACGCGTGGAAGACATGAGGCGAGCAGGCGGCAGGGCGTCCGGGGCAATCGCCCCAGAGCGTGTGTTGGAGGCATTGATGAGGCAAGAGAGGGTCGCGGACAACAGCCAAAGATGATGCCGGCGAATGAATGGGCGGCGCAAAGCCGCCGCGGCGCCCGAGTTGTTCCAGCGCCGATGGAATTTCTTCGCCGCAAGAAACCTCCGATGCGCGGGAAGCTTGCGAACTGCCAAACCACCATCCACAATCACAATGTCCTCCAAAAACGGCGCCGATACTGAAATGAGCGATGCCGACGCCGCTGGCGCCAGGCGCCCGTAAGTCTTCCCCTGCGCCGCAACTTCGCTGCCCCTCCAACTAAACCAACCACAGGCCCGTCACCGTCAACAAGCCCATTCCCTACACCTTTGACCTCGGAAACCTACTCTGCAACGACTCCAACCCCCTCCCCGACTCGCACGATGAAGAGTCTCTCTCCGCGACCGCCCGCGACTGCGCCCAAGTCCTCATCAACCAGCTCCTCAGCACCTGCCCCATTACCTCTACCAGCGACGGCGTCCTGCTGCAACTGCCCGCTCCCGAGACCCCTCTGCCGCGCGAGAAGCCCGTTCCCCAGCCCAAGCCGCCCACCAAGTGGGAGCTGTTCGCCGCCAAGAAGGGCATCAAGGACAAGAAGCGCGACGGCAAGTTGGTCTACGACGAGGCCACCGGCGAATGGGTGCCCAAGTGGGGCTACAAGGGCAAGAACAAGGACATGGACGACCAATGGCTGGTCGAGGTTGACGAGAAGAAGGAGGCGAAGACCGGTGAGGCGGACAACCCGCGTCTTACTCACCGGAAAGAGCGTGTCGAGAGGGTGAAGAGGAACGAGAGGAAACAGAGAGCCAACGAGTCCAGGATCCGGAAGAAGGGTGCTTAGGTGTGTCGTGTGTTGGTGCGGATCTTGTAATTGAACCAAATTCAAAAGTCCTCGGAATTGGCGCTTGGAGTACTGGGATGGCCTATGGAAGCTCATTAGTCGGGATTGGCGTCAGCATTGTTGGTACAGTCGGCTCGGCAGGGTTGATGGGTTGTCAAGTATGCTGGAAAGAATGTCTATCACACACTTGTCTCATGTCAAATAGCCCCAAACAGTCCTTTTCAATTTCTTTTTTGACATAGCTACCCAGACATTTAATGGCTTTGTCTTCCCCCTTCTTCGGCGAGGCGCACGGGGATGAGAGTGATCGAAACCCGAATCAAGATTCATTGTTGAGGATCAATGGGGCCACTAAGCGCAAAGGTAGAAACCGTGATGCCGATGCGGAGGCGGCTCGGCAGCCCGTGTGGAGATGTGCGGAGCGGGCCGGGAAGAGCCGCATCATGCACGCACGCACTTCCCTCTCCCGAGGGCAATGATGCGCTGTGGACCCGTGGTTCGGTGCGTTCAAGAAGCAAGCAGCTTTGTGCATACATATGCGCTCGCCGTATCCCTGAGCCGATCAAGCTCCACGATAACCTTAAGCTGTGCCACCGTGTGGCTTGCCGCCCCTCCCGCATCGTGGAGTACCACATACGTAGACTTAAACCGACGCACCGGGCTCATATTTGGCCGGAGCGCGTGCTTTGCAGGCTTGGCACGTACATATGATCGCTGAACGGGCTTGATATGCATTGCGTTTCTGTGGTCTGTGCTGGGACGCCTCGTTCTGGTCTGCAGCAAGGTACGACATTGACATGCGGGCCTGCATTTTCAATTTTTTTGCGAGCAACTAAGAAAAATTCGTCATTAGGTCATTACTGGAAAGCTAGGATAATAGGTTTCCCGCCGAAGCAATTCTGTGGTTTGATACGTTCCATTCCTGTGTGACAGCAATCCCTCCGAGACCATCTGCCGGATGATCGTGTCGTTCCTCGGAGTCTGCCCTGTAGCTGTCATCGTCTCCTAACGAACCCCCCTTGCTGGTCGTAATATTAATGGTCGTAACTCCCTCCTCTATCCTTGTAAGAGGATACTCGTCATGCACTCCCTGGTACTTTGAGGAAGAAGGCCCCCCCTGCCCGATGGTCCGGAGGTACCCCGAGGTACCTTTATGCTCGGAGGTGCCATTGCCAGATCCCCAGAGCCGGGAAGGCGAGATTGCTTTTAAAAGCGGCCGTAAAGTTGGAATGCAGGCGTTAATTATGGCAACTGAGGGTTCGACAATGGTCCAGAAAACTCCAGCGGGCATCGAATAAGAAAGATCATTAAAATCTATAAGGGAAAGAACGCGGATGCGGATGATCGAGATGGCCGTCACACTATAGGAGTAACGAGTGCGGTTAGAAAGAATCCGAACTTTGTATGTTAGAATGGAGAGGCTGGAGTGCTTACAACAGGCCAATCAAGAATATAATGTAGAGACCAACTTTCGCGCCGATAGCCATCTGCAGGCCACGGATGAAAGGGATGGGGAGGAACATGATGATCAGGTCCGTGAACATGTTGACGATGCCGATAGTCGTGAAAGATACGTTGTAGCTCGCACAATGTCCGCCGGCAGCCGGGTTCCAGTTCATCTCGAAGGGTGTACACAGGAGGAAGACTTGCATCATGCTTCCTGCCCAGTATCCAAAAACTATACCCATGCAGACCCAAGCTGCGAGGCGGAATTTTCGGTCGATAAAGATACGTAGATAGAAGAACAAATAGGACTGTTTGACAGTGACCATGGAGGCGTAATAGACAATCTGGTAAGCTATCAATTGCTGAAAAACCATAGTCAGTTTCACGAGCCCCCATAAAGAAGTGTAATGGCAAACCTTGGCAACAAAGACTTGGTTTTGTGGAGGAATCGTGGCTATATGGTGCCCCATTCCGTGTTGTGCGTATGTAATTTGCATGATCTGCATAAAATGAGTATCCCAACCGTAAACACATGAGAAGGTAAATAATGTACCAATAGTCCATATGTACAAATCTGTGGTTGTGATCAGTACTGGCACTCTGTACTTTTCGCACTCTTAAACTCACCATGGAAGCGACAACCCAACCGTCGTCCCACCAAATGGGATTGTTTCTTATTCTTCTGGCGACATACCGTAGCACAACCATCACCGTCGCCAGAATGACCAATATGATATTTGCGACGATTTGACCGCGCACAGTGCTGTCTCCAAAGACATCATAGTCTGCTAGCGGCGCCATAATAACCCAAGTACAGACGCGCCTCCTAGCAGAGAGAACGAGACCCGCTGATGGCTGATAGGCGGGCTGTTACAGGAGACCGATTCGAAAAAGAGAAAAGAAAAAAAGTGAGCGGATAACTTCAATTATTGCATATGGTTGTGAAGTTGCCTCTGGGCGTGCGGGGAATGAATGGACGGCCTTAGATAAGAGATCTAAGAAAAAGCGGAGACGGAAAGAGAAGGGACATGAAAATCTAAAAAGTCCTGCATGAATGCTCGAGCGATCTATATGGATGCTGTAACTTGGTAACAGAGTTTCTGTTTCATCTATGGACTAGCCCCTTGAGGGCGTGAGATCATTCTTTAGTGCACCGGCCCTGAATGCCGGCTGATCAAAAGAGGGTCCGGATTCGAGGTATAGAGCGGTCAAAGATCTAACATCTCCACGGTCCGCGCTGTTGTCAGTGTGCAGTTGAATGCAATATGAACGGTTTGGCGAAGTAAGGCGACCAGCGAAGGATTCATTGCTTAGAGCGCGCCGGAAAGTTGCCACTTGCGTCGGGGCGGTCTCGCTTAAGAAGGTCCGTTTCCTTGAGGCTGCGCCGTCTCGTCCCGAACCACGCTGCGGCGCTCGGCTAACTCTTGGTTTGTACACTTAACAAGAGCCGGCGTCGTGTTGGGTCTCGTGGTTCGTGAGCTTGTCATGAAACTGGAATTCGCTCGTGGCCACCTCCTTACCTTGCCGCTTTGCGTTCTGTGGCTGAAGGATTTGGCCGATTGATCCGCCCGCACTTCCTTTCGAATCCAAGTGCACAGGTTGGCGCGGGGGAAGAGACGCCACAGGGGTTTCGGTGTATCGGCAGGGAGTCTGACTATCATCCGGTGGGGCATTTCCGCATCTGGGGCCGTATGCAAAAAGTCTCGCACGTCTCGGGCTTCGAGAGGGCAGAATGGACCTCTGATGGATACTCAAGCAACACCATTTCTACTTTCTCCGATGCCCCTTCTGTCTTCCATGTCTCAGAAACCCCACAGCCGTTACGCAGAGCCCGTGGGGACTGGAAAACAGTCGTAGCCCCTCCTAGCTCTGCTATAAGGGGCCGTAGCCCTCTGAGAATGCCTTGTTGTATCCGCCTAGTTCGCATCACTCGTAGTCTTTTGTTTGCTCCCAATAAACTGTTATTGCATGATGGCAGGAACTAGCTGCATCACTTCTGTTGCATCCTTGAGAATCAAGGAACCTGATTTCATCGTTGTAGGCGGTGGTATTACGGGTCTGGTGGTTGCTTCTCGCTTGAGCGAGGATGCTGATAAAAGCGTCCTAGTCATTGAGGCTGGTGCAAGTCGTATTGGAGATCCTCGTATCGATGTGCCTGGTCAGCTCGCTACCCTGTACGATGATCCAGACTAGGATTGGCAATCCATGACAGTCGCAAGTGAGCGCCTTTTATTTATCAGCTACTCTATCAATACCGGCCGTGTATGAGGCATCATGCTTGGATAACTGGACCATTGGCAGAAAGTAGTGGACCGGAAGACTGCTTCTGTATTCTTTGAAGGCCATTTAATTTGAAGCCCAGACCCACGTTAATGGCAGGCAAATTCCCCAGGTCAGAGGAAAGTTCCTAAGTGGATCTTCGGCCATCAACTTCAGTGCGACTGTGTATCCTTCCAAGGGCAATTTTAATGTCTGGAATGCACTCGGCAACGATGGATGGTCCGGAGACGACATGCAGCAAAACTTCCGGAAATTCGAGCATTACATCCCGGCGACACAGCACACGAAGGAGCTGCTGTCGATGAATTGCATCAACGAGAAGGTTCACGTTCGTGACGGGCCTCTTCCGGTAACAGTTGGTGATGCCCACGGTCCGTTCAACGAGGCATGGGCGGAGATTATGAAAAATCTGGGTTGGTCCAACCGGGACGATCCCATCGAAGGCGAGAAGCTGGACGCATTTGCCTGTGGTTTGTCACTGGATCCGAAGACGGAGATGCGGGCATGCTCAGCTTCGGCTTATTACAACGCTGAGTCCGGAAGAGGCCGAATCTGCAGGTGTTGATGGAAACCCATGTCGAAAAGGTCCTTCTGGACAACTCCGGGACGCCTCCGCGAAAGCGACTGGAGTTAGAGTCTTGACGAAAGATGGGAAGCACCACAACGTCTCAGCGAAACGAGAGGTGATACTCGCCGCAGGACCTCTCCAGTCTCCGCAATTGCTGGAGTTGTCCGGAATCGGCCAGAGTAAAGTTTTCAAGGAGTATGGCATCCCTGTTATCGACAGTCCCGGAGTCGGTGAGAACCTTCAGGATCATGCAATTTGCGCCACCCGCTTAGAAGTTGCGGATGACCAAATCTCCGGAGATGTCATGCAGAATATGGATGTCGTGCAGCGCCTATTGAAGCAGGACCAGGAGACGCAAACGGGCCCTTTTGCTGGCATGCCTATCAGTATCGCCCAATTTCTTATGGTCCACACTGAAGGAGCCGCAAGTCGCGATGATATCGAGCAGTTCTTTCGCGAATACCTCGAGGACCCGAATCCGAACCCGCCTGCCTATCAGAAGAAGCAGTATGAGCTTCTCAGCCATCAACTGGCCGATCCGAAGGAGTCCACTGGTGTTTGCCTCTATCTGCCATTCCAGCTGCACGCGTACCCTTGCGAGACGAAGATGCATCAGATATTTGCATGAACCCCAGGAGCTTTGTGACCATCATGGCAGTGATCAATCACCATTCTCGCGTGGTGTTGTCCACATCAAATCGGCGGATCCGAAGGACAAGCCTCTACGATCCACGGTACCTTCCCCATCCTCTCGATCTTGAGATCATGGTGAAGCACATGCAATACATGGAGAAGATGTTGCGAACTGAGCCTTTTGCTTCTCACATCAAGGTACAGTCGTCTTCCCGAGGGATATGATGCCACGACGATGGAAGGTGCCAGAAAAGTGGTGAAGGAGCGCTTGTTGAGCAGCTCCCACCCAACTGACACATGTGCGATGATGCCCAAGGAGCTCATGGTGTAGTCAGCAACAAGCTCAAGGTGTACGGAAAGAAGGACCTGCGAGTTGTCGACGCGAGCATTTTCCCGATGGACACTGGGCAACACCCAAGCGTCAGTTTACGCGGTGGCGGTGAAAGCTGCGGATATTATCAAGAAGGACTGCCGGTAATAGTTGATGGCTACCTAGGTAGTGGAGGTACCTAGACGTGAATCCAACGAATTAGCGTGACTCATGCTCGTTGATGGAGGTGAGGGGAAGAGTGTCAGGGAGGCGTGGGAGGGACCGCCAGGCCGCTCGGCAGATGTTCGGGAGCCCGCCCGTGCTCAGTCGCGCCTCCCAAATTATTTCCAGGCGGCAACTCAACATCCTCGTCCTTGCCCACCTCTTTCTTCGGCCTTTCCAGTGGCATGCTCCGCTGGCTCTTACGCACTATGGCTGCTCCCACCCCCAAGCTCGTGCCTATTCCCAAAAATGGCGTCGACTACCGCAACAAGATCGTCCTTGCCCCGATGGTCCGCTCCGGCGAACTTCCCTCCCGTCTACTCGCCTTGAAGTACGGTGCAGACCTCGTCTGGGGTCCTGAGACCATCGACAAGGCTCTGATTGGTACTACGAGACGCGAGAATCCTGCTACCAAGACGATCGAGTTCACCCGCTTCTCCAACAATGGCCTGAAGAATCCTACGCCCAACCCGGACCAGCGCGAGAGCGTGATTTACCGCCTGGACCCCGAGCGCGAAAAAGGACGCCTCATTTTCCAGATCGGCACCGCCGACCCCGAGCTGGCTGTCAAGGCTGCAACACTGATCGCAGGCGATGTAGCCGGAATCGATGTCAATTCGGGCTGTCCTAAGCCCTTCAGCACCAGTGGCGGTATGGGCGCTGCTCTACTCCGGACGCCGGATAAACTCTGTTCGATCCTGGAGGCTCTGGTAAAGGAAGTTGGGCAAAAATTCAAGATTGGGATAAGCGTCAAGATCCGTATACTGGAAAAGCCCGAGGAGACGGAGGAGTTGGTTCGTAGGCTAGTCAGGACGGGAATAACCGGACTGACGGTCCACTGCCGCACGACCCCTATGCGTCCCCGCGAAAGGGCCATACGGGAGCAACTCAAAATGATTAGGGGTGTCTGTCACGAGGCGGGCGTGGCATGTGTCGTCAACGGCGATGTAGAGGACTATGACCACGGTCTTCGACTCATAGAAGAATTCGGAGTCGACGGCGCAATGATTGCGACTGCTGCTGAGCGTAATTCCAGCGTTTTCCGTCGTAAAGCTGAGGGCGGCGTTGCTACGTGGCGAGAGGTTGTCCACGAGTACCTTAAATTCTCCCTTGAGGTCGACAACCGTTGGGGAAACACCAAGTATTTGCTTGGCCAGCTCATACCTGGCAAGGACGGTTGCAACCAGGAGATGAACAGATGCCACTGTTACCAGGAAATCATCAAAGTTTTGGGCTTCGACGATCTCCTGGACATGGCGAAACAGACTGATGAACGTTTGGGAATTCCGATCGTATCTCCAAAGGCGCAAAAGAGAGCGCAAGCAAGAGAAGAGAGAGAGCGGTCAGAAGTGAAAAAGGCAAAGATTGAAGACAAGAAACCTGAAACTGCCGCGCCAGCTACGCAGGAGCCACCCGAGATCCTTCTTCCCGCTATTACTGAATCCACCCAGACTGTAAGCGTATGATGGGAATATCCATATGGAAACCAAGACACCTCCTACGGATGTTTGGCCGAGCTCCAAGCGCCGATACCAGCAGCTTGGCCATCGGAACCGCACTCAATTCAAGCTTTGGAAGAGAAAGCCATTACCACGCTTGTTGCGAGTTGTCCTACACGTGGCCTCCGTTAAATGGACCAAATGCTTACCAGTACTCAGCACATATCAGAAGTATATATCTGAGCATTAGTTGCTGAAGTGGCATTAAAGCCGAGCCGCCTCAAGCCTCTCATTGTCATGTTTTCTGAGGCATGCATAAAACGAGGATTCTGTAGCTTAATATGGACCTGATCTAACCTATGATATGTCCTGGTATCAATGATGCAAGTATAACGCAGGTTTCATATTTTTATACGTAGATACTCTCGGCAACCCCGAAAGCTATGTTACACCATCATTAAGAAAGGACACTCCCATCTCCTCCTTCATTTTATCTTGTTTCCGATCTCCATCTCATTGTTTCTCCACTTTTTTGATCGTACCGCTCCAAAGTCTCAGATGACGCATCGTATATTCTTTTAGCAACCCATGAAGACAACACGTTGCGGGCCTTAGCGGTTTGTTTTTGGACGTCCTTGCAAGCCTATCCTGGCGACGAACTTACCACTGCCTCAAATCTTTCTAATAAAGCTTGTAAGCTCTGGTGATGGTAATGGTCGGAGTGTGGGTTACGTTTAACGCTGCTGAAACAGCCATAGCCGTTGCACCGACTGGGACGAATAAAAATCTTAAAAAGGTATGGAAGCTATGGCGAAAGTTCTGCAGCGAAAAGCATGGCTTCCGAACTTTGACGTCGTTTAACTTGATCAATCCCAATACCAAGGTCAGGGGATTTGGATTGGTACGTCGCCAATTAGGTACTATAAGGGCAGTCTATGTATTGAGCAGCGCTTGTCTCATCTTGAGGGAGATTTGAAGTTAAGGTGGCGATGAACATTTATTTTCCACGATTTGCTACCTACTTGAACACAGTACATAAAACCTAGGTAGGTAGGTTGTAGTTCGAATATCGACAGCATCACAAATAGTCCAAGCAAGATTTATTAGGTACGCATATTGCAAATGATGCCCAGTGCACATACGGATCTGTACGAATTACCTGTGGCTAGAGTTTAGAAAAAAGAAAATGCACTTGCATTCCACAAACTGTAAAAACCGGGGCAACCCGGGTAGTTTCGGTGCCCCTGGGTACCCACAGACGTGACACCCCGGAACAGACAGACGTGGGTTCCCCAGTCATATCTTCTTGCCTGACGTTAATTAAACCATGTGTCTGTCATAAATTATCCAAGTCTCTTGTATCCCCATATCGCCTTGCTCAGCCTGGCCAGACCCTACGGAGATTGCGTGCAATCCTTTGATCTCTGACAGTCTTGCATGTTATTTTATTTTCTGGGGTTGTACCACATGGCTTGCTCCTTCAATGTATTTAGGTCACGCGGGCATAGGTACCTAGGTAGTCATAGGACTTAAGCTTCTTTTCTTGCCACGCGCGTGACGTAATCGCGATGCGTTCGTCGCTGTTGGCGTGCAGGTCTGGTTGTGGTGGACGGGATTCTTTCATACTTCATTCATTTGTGGCTGAAGGGCACTAGGTTCACCCAGACCGCTTTGACCATCTTGGAGTTTCTTTTATCAGACAGTACCTACCCACCTACCTGGCACACTCAGATTGTGGGTCTGTGGCATCAAAACGTCGACAATGGGAAGATGCCAGATGGAATCTGGAGCTTGGGTGTCACCTTCTCGCCAATCCCAGATACCCATAGAACCTAGGTACATAGGTGAGTAGGTAGATGACGGGCATGGTGATCGTACATACCTACCTAGTATTATTACCTATAGCCAGTAATATATAGGTTCTTACCTACCTATCTATGACTTTCGACCGCGGACAAGTCAATTAGGTATTCCGTTACTGTATTACCTGCCATTTTTTTCCGACAAGATCCTCATGGATCGCAAGCTCCGTACCTACCTAGGTTAGGTAGCAGCTTCGGTACTGTACCTAGGCAGGTGGGTTCTTCGAGCTATTGTCCCTCTTCCTTGGAGGGAGTGATTGTTGTGGAAAAGAGGAAGGAGGGGAGAAGAATGAAATGAGGGTGGGTTTATACTCGCGCTAGCTGCATGCTCCTTTCCAATAGGTGTTAAGGTCGAGCGCACCTGACTTCCAACCTAAGTAGGTACCTAGGTAGGTACGGATGGAGGTTCTTTCCTTCCGCTCGCACCATCCATTCCCCGCGCAGACGCGAAAATTGTGCCTGCCCAGGCATGGATGATGGGTTGGTACCGAGATATCCAAATCCAGCGACCCCCGCCTCTCCGCCTTGGAAGCGGGTTCCCTGAGCTCCCATGCTGCAGGGCTCAATGACCAACATGGCCAGCCGCATCCCGAGGAAGTCTTTTGAAAAATGTCTCTCTTGCAGGACTGAAATGTTGGGTCGTCGATAGTGTCCACATATAGCGATGATCTTCGTCAGCACAGCTCCGCCTGGTTACTCTTTTAGACCTTTTGTGACAACCAACTCTCCCATGCAAGCACGCTATCTTCGATTTATAGACGCAACAGCAGGAAGCGCGAAGAGGAAATCGCGCCATACGCGGCCCTGCAGGACCGCGCAACATACCTGCCTCGCCCTCTCAGAGAGGCAGGTGGCGATGCTGTGGGCCCTTGCACGGGCTGCGCCCGCTGTTGTGGGCCCACTCAGTGATGACATGCATAGGTAGGCAGGTACCTAGGTAGGTTCGATGACCTTCATCAGCCGCAGCTGGTACAGGGGTGAGAGCTGGGGGGTAGGATGATGGGGAGCATGTGGGGTCCGTATTGTCTGTGGGGTGCGATGGAGGTCGAAGGGAGAAAAGGTGGGGTGGTGCTTTTGAGGGTGGGGGATTCGGGTAAGCGCATTGCCGACCTATCCATGTCTGACTGCCTAAGCGGACTGCACGTGTTTTGAGTAGATAGAATCACTAAATGTACATGCCGATAAAGATTAAACACTACCTAAGATTTCCCCCAGACCTCGTTGTAGAGGATACGGCTTGTAAAACACATATACAAAAGTCGAAGCCCATGCATGATAAGACAGAAAAGAGAAACAGAAAAAGGAGTGCATTGCTCAAAAAAACGCGACACATCCACATTCTACCTTCAATGTCACATGCCACGCACAAGAAAGAAGCTATAAAACCGAACTCGTCAGCCAACAAGTATGCTCAAGCCTCCAACGGCAATGAGCCCTTCTCATCATGTTCACGGTGCCCCTCTTCATGCTTATGTGCATGCTCCTCCTCTTTTCTATGGGTGTGGACATCGCTCTTCGCCTCCACCATGCCCAGTTCATACTTGTTGTATGGAAATAGGGTTGCGCGCTTGGGTGCAGGCTTCTCGGACGCAAACTTCCATACCTGCAACGTGATATCGCGACCGAGGATCTCGATGATAGGCGTGATGATTGGCAACGACAGGAAGATGATGGCGTACGACGTTAGGCCTACGATCAGCATCATTGCCCAGTATGCCATCGCCCGGTGCGCCAGGAAGATGCACAGCCACGAGCCCCAACTCCAGAATACGAAACCATGGATCAGGTAGATGGTGAAGATGTGCGGGAATACCAACACCAATAGCTTGAACGATAGTAGCTTCTGCACAAATGTGCTCAGTTCCACAATCGCTTGCATTCCTACCGCAAACAGCAGCATGTTGAACCGCGGCTCATAGTAGTTGGGATATGCGAACCGCGGGGTATTCTTGATCGGCTGCCCTGTCTCTTGGTCCGGGTGGATACCGTTCTCCTCGACCGTGAAGTTGTACGAAATCCAATTGGGAAGCAAGTTCATGGTGAAACCCACACCGACCATGCCGGCACAGAAGCACATGAGTGGGTAGTATGCGAGCGGGCGACGGTAGAGCCACTTTCGCCACTTGTAGGTCACGTCCAAGTCTGTGAGCATGAGACCGAGCCAGAAGAAGCTGCCCCAGTTCCGTGCATACCAATTGTTTAAGACACAGAACCAGTAGTAGCCGAATCGTTTCCATGGCGTCTTTATCTCACGGACCACGACCGCGCCAAGAAGGACAAGCCATGACCCTTGCAGTTGGACGGCTATTGTCCAGAGAACACCTGTGCAATAGTTGAAAGTGATTTGCGGCACGGCGTTGGGGATGAGGTAGATGAGCTCAAGGATCTCGCTGATAAAGTGACCCGGAGAAGGGAATTTTGAGACGTAAGCCCAGGTGGACCATGTAACCGATGGCAGATATTCCAAGTACTTTGTCGCGCCAACGTCGATGAAGAAGTACTCCAGCATAACAATTGCCGTGACGGGGATCAGCAAACGAGGCGTACGCTTGACAGCACGCTCGGCAATGACTATGAGGTTACCTTCTCGAAAGTACCTGGCTGATAGGAAGCGAGTAGACGTGGTGAAGAAGACACCAAGCCACATCTGATTCATGATGAACGGTGAAATGATTTTTCTAGCCCATACCTCGCTCTGGTAATGGACAGGAGATCCTGGAATGACGACGGCAGGAATATAGGTAAGATGGAAATGGATCAAAGTGACGAAAATAGAACAGAGGGCAACAAGGCCAGCTAGGTAGTCAACCCGCTGCCTCTGTTCTATGGGAGCCTTCTTCGTTTCGGTAGCAACAGCATTGGTCGTCGACTTGATTGGCTGTTCGTTGGTTTCCTGGATAGTTGGGTCTTCCCGGGACTTGGGCTTCACGAGGCTGTTTTCCTTATCTCTCGGAGACCAAGGCTCCTTCATCATTGATACCGGAGTGGCAGGCAAGGGGACGAGGGTTCGGGATGAATTCCTGGCAGTATCTGAGAGAGCATATTCCGGAATGACCTGACCATCGACGTAAGCAACTGCATTCCTTGGCGGCGATGCAGGGTATGCGGTAACGTCAGGGTTGACGCTAGGCAAGGTCGGAGGCGGTATGGGACAGATAGCGTCCTCTTCGAACCTTCTGCTTGTGGATGGGAGGTACTCGCGGCTTTGATACCTCGGCAATGGTGTCGAGGCGCCAGAAGCAGACGGTGTCCATTCGGACCTCCGGAATGAGGCATCCGCGCTCTTTTTCGTAGGAGAGGAAGGCCTGGTTTGGTTGAATGGAGTGGTACTGGTAGACTCTATGACACTCGCTTCGCTTGACCCGTACAGAGGAGCCGGAGAGGAAATGCCGGATGACTGGTCATGTGACTGCGAAAACCTTTTCCAAGGTGCCTTCTTGATGATTGCATGTAGCAAGAGGAAGGAGGTGAAAGATATAGAGATGACAGAGATCCAAATGGCCGCCCACCTACGTCCAGTGGAGACGGTTTTGTGCTTAAACTTCTTCGTGGCTGCGACAGTGTACTCTGAGGTCTCACGGAGGCTCATGTCATTCACAGAACATGCGTCGGTGACGGTGCACCTGGAATCAAACTCATCGTGGGCGTCTGCTGTCATTTCTGACGAGTTGAAGAACATGCGCGCCCAGCCAATATTGGCGACGTTTCGCCAGTAAGGGGGTCCTTCCATGGAGTAAGTGTTGCCGGTCGACCAATGACGGAAGTACAGAGGAGCAGGGGTCATGGGAATAGCGTGATGCTTCTTCTTGGTAACAGTACGGCTGTTGTTCTGGCCAATGTAGTACCGGACTTCCTTGTCGGTCCAGTCAAAACGGAACTCCATGAAGTCAAACGGCCATGCGGTGCCATTGGCAATAGAGCTGTTGCCCAAGATGGTGTAGTTGACGCCAAGCTTACGGTCGGGCCACTCGTTTTGCATGAGGGTGCTGACCCAGGCGTTGGCATACGTTTGGGTGTTCATGGCGTTAATCTCGATTGACTCGGTCTCGTTGAATTGCACTCTCATGGACAACGAACTACCGCCCGTCCCTTCCTGGGGCGAACGCATGAGCGAGCGGAAAGTGCCATACTGGATGTCGCGCCTGCGGCTTCTGACGCTGCCGCCGTTGACGAGGTGGAGCTTTGTCGAGGGATCGCAGAAGAGGCCAAGGGTAGTTCCATTGGTGACATTGGAGTTCCAGATGGTGTAGTTGGACTGGACATTTTCGACGACGGCACCTTGGCGCCATCCGCCATTCCAGGCCTTTTCGGACCTGTGCTCAAACTCCTCGATGACGAAGTCGGACAAGTCTGACGTTTCGTTGAAGTAGGTGATGAGGGACTCGGTGTACAAGTCGCCAGTGGTGTCATCGTAGAAGCCGCACGAACAGCCAGGAGCAGCAGCAGCAGCAGCAGCAAGAGGAAGAAGAATGGATATTGCAACCGTGAGCCAGGAAAGGCTCTTGCGGGGGATGGTCATAGTGGCGCAGGAGGGCTGGGGGGAGAATAGAGGGTGAATGAGCATCGGCTCCAAGCGGGTCTCAGAGTTTAAGAGGACTGAACGGCCGGAAGAGGAAGAAATAAAGGCAGCGTCGGAGCAAAGTTTGATGACACAGGCGTCATCTACCTACCTTTGGCCCCCCTCTCCCTCCGCGCGCCTCCAGAGAAAAGAACCCGACCACGTCCCACGTCCCACGTCCCTGCGGTTGCGCAGCTGCATGGCGCCTCGGCCAGGAACCTGGCTTGGCGTGACAGGGGCCTTATCAGCCAAGGTAGCGAGGCAGAACCCAGCGCAGCGGGCCGACTGAGCGACAATCGACTAGGCGATTGCGGCAGATCGTCGTGGGCATCGGATTCCCGAAGCCACGTTTGGTTCGTCATGGCGTGCCGACGTTCACGTCGACGCCAACGGCCACCCCACGCCCGCAGTGCACAGGCTCAGTGCGCAATCCAATATTGCCTGCAAACGCTCCGCCGGGGCTCCTATCCGGGCTGCCGGGGGCGTGGCACTGCCATCCTTGCTTACCCACGCTCCACCACACGTCCGTCCATGAGCACCCAGCCGCAAGGCTTCGCAAATTTACCCGCACTAGAGAACGCAGCAGTCATGGCCCTTCATTCTGCCCCGGCTCCTCCGTCTGTTTTGGTCTGTGACTTGCCTCGCCCGTTGCATATTTCAACCCTGCCCCCACCGCCGCCCGTCATAGCCGTCGTCGAGCCAGCCTTTCCTGTCGTTTCTGTCCATCCCGTTCCCCTTCTCTCTCTTTCACCATGTCGGACACTTCCAAGGACTTTACCATCGCCATTGATGAGGAGCCCAAGTCCTACTACAGTCCGGCCCCGTCGACCAATGACCTGCCCGAACGGGACCAGCCCCAGACGCGTCCGAGCTTCTGGACCAAGCTGTCCGATTTCATCACTGATTGGACTCCCTTCGGCCTCGTTGCTTCCTACTTCGTCTTCTCCGTCTGCATTTACATGGTCTGCACCGAGACTCTCATCTCCGTCTTCTGGTTCGTTTACCTTGCCACCAACTTCTACATCTCTGCCGCCACCGTGCTCGAGGCTTTCATGAGCCTCGAGCCGTGTAGGCAGGCCCGAAGTGTGGTCCAGAAGGCTCAAGAGGCCAACTGGAAGTTCCCGACGCCGGACGACCAAGTTCCCATTCTTGATCTCCTCGTCGTGGCCTACCTGCCCAATGAGAAGGACATCATCATGGATCGGGCCATGCATGCCCTGACACGGGTCGTGTATCCCGTTGATCGCATCCGAATCAACATTCTCTACAACACGCCCAAGCCAATCGAGCCCTTGGAGACTGAATTGAGGGAGCTGTGTCTCAAGCATTCTCAGCTCAGAGTCATCAAGGTGCCCAACTCGACGTCAAAAGCCGACAACCTCAACTATTTCTTCAGTCTTGACACTGGTGCTGATATCGTTGCCATCTACGACTGTGACCACTACCCGCATCCTCATGGCCCTCGCTGGGCGGTCGAGCGCTTCTGTCAGGACAAGAAGGTCGACATTGTGCAAGGCCGCTGTGTCGTCTTCAACTCTAAAGACTGTTTGTTGGCGGCCATGATTTCAGTCGAATTCGACAAGATCTATGCCGTGTCTCACCCGGGCCGTGCAACCTTGTGGGACTTCGGTCTCTTTTGTGGGTCCAACGGCTACTGGCGCGCTTCGCTGTTGAAGGACCTCAAGATGGACGGCGATATGCTCACAGAGGACATTGACTCCGCTCTGAGAGCCGTTTCCCGCGGCGCCAATACCGTCCACGACCTCAACGTCGTTTCTTATGAGCTTGCTCCAACGACACTGCAGGGCTTCTGGAAGCAGCGTTTGCGGTGGGCTCAGGGATGGTGCCAGGCCAGCATCAAGCACCTCAAGCTCGCGTACAGAAAGTCTCCTGATGGAACTCCGCGCAGCCCCAAGGTTCGATTCGGCTTGTTGTCTCTGCTGCTCATCCGCGAGCTCAGCTACTACCTGGTCACCCAGTTCACCTGCCTGATGATCGGCTTCATCATCACCAAGTTTCCCAAGGACCCCGTTGGGCTTGCGCGCTTGATCTGGTTCGGGTACTCGGTCTCCGTCTGGCTCTTCATCATTAGGTATGTTCCCGTCCGCGCATCTGTCGTGAAGTAATCGACTAATCATGGCACAGCGTCGTGTGCTTGATTGCCACCTTGTGGATCACGATGCGGGTGCGGTCTGAATTCGTTAATCTCAGGATGATTATCGTATTCTCCATCCTGTACCCGTTTTACCTCGTCATCAACGCCACGATAGGGTTGTACGGGCATGCGCGGCAAATCGTAAACTACAACTCGTGGAATCCAACGGCACGGTCCTAAGGGGCGGCCGTGCAGTCTTGATTTTCTTTTCTCGTTTATGCAGGTCTGCAAGCAAGGCGGACACACCCCTGCGCATTGCAGGGTGCGTCCGGCGCATCATGTACATGGTTCCTAATTTGGGCGTTGCGGATGGAACATTCCTGAAGCCGGCTTCGATCGCACAGCATATAATTGATGGTACTTGGGCCAGCGTTTTAAGATAGATGAGCGATGCAATCCAAAACCGCCACGGACGTGGCTGAGAACGGCGTGTTCCAAACATCAACCGGAAAATTTGCGTGCAGCCCAGAACAAACACGTTCCCGCCAGCCGGGGCACGACGCCCGTCAGATGATGTCAGGCAGCGGCACTCACGATGAGACGGGGCGTACATGACGGGAGTTTTGCATGCTCGCACCGCATCGGGAGGGCACTGGATGAAGAAGCGGCTGGCCGGAGGGACGGAGGCTAGAAAATCGACGTGGCTTAGACAGCGCGCCGGCATGCCCGAATCGGGGGCCGCCAAGCTCGCGACAAGCTCTCTCCCTCTGAAAAAAGCAACGAAAACGCAAGTGAGATCCCGATCGACGCGATAGTGCGCGTTTACCTTTCGTTGGGCCCAAGAAAGGGCAACGGCGTGCACGGGGCGGGGCGGGGCACGCGCGGCGGGAAGGCGGGCGTTGAAACAGAACCGTTGCACACAGCCCGTCGCCCAGCTTCAACCACGGTTCGTGCAGGGCCTAGTCAGGCACCCTCCCATCGGACATTCCCTCCCCCCACCCCGCGCCGCCTGACGACATTCTCGCCGGCTGAAGATCTGTCAGGTGGCGACGAAAATGCTGCCTGCATCCCTGCTGTGTGCAGCCTGGCCCTTGCCGCGTTGTCATGGCGGAGCCTAGCGCCGCTTGATAAACATAGCTGCCGTTGTCCAGCCGCACTGAGCAGCAAAACACGGCTGCCACGAGCGATAGCTGTCAACCCCTCCTCTCCTCCTCTTCCTCCTTCTCTTCCTCTAACCACCATGCTGTTCCAACGGCCGGATGAGAAGACTGATTCCAGCCTGAAGCCCTCCAGCTTCCTGTCTTTGCGCTCGCCTCCCTCGCCTTACTCTGACCATGACTGGCTCATTGGTCTCCGCGGCCTGCTGGCCATTGAGACCTTCGTCTGGGTCTTTCTCATCACCTTTGTGCCGGCGACGGTCAAGGACGCAGAGACGCAGGACGGGCCTCTTTACCAGGTCGTCTTGCGCAAGACTCTCTCCGTCCTCTTCTGGAACCAGTCTCTCATCTATTCGTGGATCATCCTGCTCTCTGCACGCACCATCTGCCTGCCATTCCTGAGAAATCCGAGTCGCACCGTTGTCGCGAGCAGTGCCTTCCGCCGCGGCATCCGGCTTTGGATCCCGACGGCCGTCGGATTCGCTTTGCCAGTCATCATCCTCGGCCAAATTGGACACGGCTACCTCGACGAATTCAAATCGCGCACTGGCAATGATTCCATTGCCACGCCCGACCGGATTCCAAATTTCCTCGTTTGGTTTAATTCGCAATTCGAGCTCTTCTGGGCGACTAGGGATTATGCGAAGCAGATGGGAAGCACAGCGTTCCCTACACAGACTCTATGGAGCGTCAACCTCATCTTCCAGCAGAGCTACACGGTCTATATGACCATGGTCTGCATTCCGTACACACGCAACTCCTGGCGCGTCAAAGCTTTCATCGCCATGATCCTCACGGCTTGGTGGGTCCAGTCCTGGGCATGGTACTCAGTGACCGGCCTTCTGCTCGCTGACGTGGTCGACAATATGGATTTTCGGACGAAGGCCAAACAGGGCGTTTTCGTCCCGCTTCCAGGCCGTCGGCAACTGCGCATACCATCGTGGCTCTTCTACGCCGCCATCTTGCTTGCTGGTCTCATAATGGAGTATATCTGGGTTGCGTGGCGCCCGCAGTTTGCAGGTGCGGAGCTCAAGGCCCACACAGGGTTGTACAATGCCGGATCCCTGAATGCCGAGCTAGACCTCACTCAGCCGCAAGCCCGAGATGACAACTATCTCCTCATCCTGGGCTTCATGCTCGTGATAGAGACCTCGGAAATGCTGCAGTGGGTCTTCTCGAACCGATTCCTTATGTATTTGGGCCGTCGGTCTTTCAGTAAGTCCAATCGACTCAAATCCAAGCTCTTGCCGATGTCGCAAAGTCGATAGCCTCACTCGAATGGTACTAACGAGCCCGCTCATCAGGCTACTATCTCGTGACCCCGACGATCGTATACACGGCGGGCATCAAAGTCTTCATGCACCTGCGCTTTGCCCAAAACTGGCCCTTCCCAGCGAGCACAATCCTCACGTTGTTTGTGTGCTTGGTGACGACAGTCCCTTCGGCGGAAGTCCTTTACCGCCTGGTCGACCGACCATCGCAGGCCCTTGCGTACGCCGCGTGGGACTTTATCATCGCATAGTGCTGCGTGGCCGGCGGAGAGAGCCAAGCCGGACCGGAAGGTGGTTCGGGCGAATGGGGAAGTGTCCATTCTGGAGACTGTCGAATGCCTATGCGCGGGTTGTCAGTTGGGATTGCGGATGCAGATCTTCTGCTAGCTAATGGGAAGCCAAGCTTGAGTGTTATCGCGCGCGAGTCGGCTGGACGGGGTCAGTGGTGTAAGCATAGACAGCGACTATGATTATCTTGTTTTGTTGTGTTTTTGCTTGTACTCGGATAGACGTCTAATGGGATATTGTGACACCATACCATGGATGCGACGTTAATGGCGAGGGTGCAGAGTGCAGTGTCGTCAAGACAAAGTTTGGTGCTTTGGCGGCGGGTCCTTCGCGCCGCCGCCTAATGTCTCGGCGCACTGTGCGCGTTGAGGGACTGTCGTTTCCGACGACTTCGACTTGCTTGAGTGTGCAACGTCGTAGTAGGTAGTTGTCACACGGTGCATTTATTTATTTTTTCTCTTGCGGGTGCAACGAGCGCCCTTCCACTGTGTTGGAAAGAGACACCTAACGCCGGCACGTCAGTGTCAGTCTGTCGTTCCATCCACTTCACGATTCCGTGCCGGAGCGGGAGTCACGACATGCAACAAGCCGACGTTCATGCAGAGGCGGGTCATTGAACGCAACCTAAGCACCGATCGACGCTTCACTTATCGACTTCCCTGCTCCTGCACGCCTCGTTATCTCCCGCTTTCTCCTGCATTTCTCTCGACACCACCCGCCATCATGTGAAAAGCAAGTCCCGGGCAACGAGACGGCACGCCGCCTATCGTCCCGATGCCGTCGCACACAACTGCGTCGCTGCCTATCAGCATGCAGTACTAGCTTAAGAAGCCGCACTTCTCAACTCCTCACCTCCCCGCATCTAGGCATGCCGTCTTTTCCATCACCGCGGGCTTCTTGATACTGCATTGCTACACTTCCCGAGCCATCACCAGCAACGCCCAAGCACAAACCTCCATGGCAATCGCCACGTCTACCCCGCTCGGACACGACGTCTCTGCGCAACAGCCCATCCCAGGCACAGTTCATCTCGTTGACCTTGAGGGGACTCTGCGCGCAAAGCACGCCGTCGGAGCACACTCACGAGACATAGTTTTGGTGCCCGCGCCTTCGAGTGATCCCGACGACCCACTGAACTGGAGCCCGCGCCGCAAGGCTCTCTCGACGACGTGCATGTGTGTCTACACGCTCATGGTCGGCATCTCTACGGCTGCCATCTACAGCGTTCTCGGGCCCATCGCACAAGACACGAGCCTGTCGCTCAACGACCTCAATGCGGGGACGGGCTATCTGTTTCTTCTAGCTGGTTGGGGTTGCCTGTTCTGGCAGCCATTAGCGCTGCAGTACGGGAAGAGGCCAGTGTATCTCAGCACCATCTTGGCGACTTGCGCCATTATGGTTTGGGCGCCATACACCAAGACGAACGGCCAGTGGATTTCAAACAAAGTCTTGCAGGGATTCTTTGCGGCGCCCATCGAGAGCCTCTGCGAGATCTCCGTTACAGATATCTAGTAAGTGGGGGATTCCTTTGTCAAGGGTGGGGTGACCCCGCGCAGTCTATGGGACATATCGCATAGTCGTTGGACTTGGTGAACAGCAGAATGGAGACCATAAAACAATACTCCAGCGAAGCAGGCCCGCTAATATGGCTCCAGCTTCACCCATGAGAGAGGACGGTACATAGGATTATATGCATTGCTGCTCGCAGGCAGCAACTATCTTGCGCCTGTGCTTGGTGGCTTCATCAACGATGGCCAGAGCTGGGAATGGGTGCTCTGTTAGTACTAAAGAGTCCCCACTGTTCAGGTGAGCACAAGTTGTGCTGACCCTTGTAGACTGGTGCGCCATATTCAATGCCCTGGGCTTCGTATTTCTCTTCTTCTTCATGGAGGAGACGAACTACGTCCGGCATACGCTAGGCAACACGACACCCACAGAATCAGAAATCCCCTCAGCCGCAGGGAATGATACAGAAAAGAAGGGCTCTTTGCCACAACTATCGACCAGTACGGTTGAGGCAGGCGAGCCCCAGCCCCGCTCCCACAAGACGTACTGGGACAAGCTAAAGCTCTTCCAAGCAGCGGACCTGCACAAGAAGAACGAACTGGCCAGAATGGTACTACGACCCTTGATCTTCCTAACCTTTCCCGTCATTTTCTACGCAGGCTTCAGTTACGGAAGCAACCTAGTCTGGTTCAACGTGCTCAACGCGACAGCCTCGCTTATCCTCGGCGGCACGTACAACTTCCGCGCCTCGATGGTGGGCCTCTCGTACGTGAGCCCGTTGATCGGCGTCGCACTCGGCAGTGCATACACAGGCTGGTTAGGGGACCGGTGGGCAATGTGGAAGGCGCGACGCAACGGCGGCGTCATGGAGCCCGAGCATCGGCTGTGGTTGTTCGCACCCAGCCTGATCCTGGTGCCTGGAGGGCTGATTCTTTGGGGCGTCGGCGCGGCTGAAGGCGTGCACTGGTTCGGGTGCGTGTTCGCCATGGGCGTGGTCGCGTTGACCAACACGCTGGGGATCCAACTGAGCTGCTCGTACGCCATCGACTCGTACCGTGCGCTCAGCGGCGAGGCCATGGTCACCGTGATCCTGGTGCGTAATACCATGAGCTTTGCCATTGGTTATGGTATCACGCCGTGGGTCGACGGCATGGGCCTGCGTGACTGCTTCGTCACGGCGGGCCTCGTCGGCTTGGCACAGTGCCTGACCGTGTTTGCCATGATCAGGTGGGGCAAAGAGTGTCGCCGGAGGAGCATCGTGCGGTATGCAACGTACGTCGAGGAAATGGTGGTGCACTCGTAGCAGTGGCAGCATCCATCGGAGCACGATGTGGGGAGGCGATGGGTGCGTTAAGCTTTCGTGTCCTTTTGCTCGAATCATGGCGAGTGTAGAGACAACGCGCGTCCAGGCGGTAGTGGTGTCTTTTTACCTTTCCCGTCTTCTGCACCCAGGCAAGTTCGAGTTCGAGACCATGTCTCAGGCCTTGCATACACAACCATGCGCCGAGCCCCGAGCCAAAAACGATTCCGGGCCGCTTGCGCGCCAAAGGAAATGTCATGAGCGTGGGCGGCATCGACGGCGCCGGCGCCACCTCCCAAACGCGGCTCCTCAACGGTGCGTGCCTGGGGAGCCGCGGGGCACGGTGATTCTCCCCCGACCATGAACATCAACCCCACCGCGTACGTATGCACGCTCGAGATAGGTCTCCCCATCACCGTCACCGCCGACAGACCGACAAACCGACAGGCCGACAGACCGGGTGACTGGCCGTTGACGACAAAGGCAGAGTAAGTACCTAAGCACCCAAGAACGCGAATCACAGCGCGCCAGACATGTGCCACTTTGAAGCTTCTTCAGCCACCCAGTGCACCATCGTCCCGCGCACCTCGACTCTCGAGTCCAGACCAGCCCTTCTTCTCTCCCTTCTCCATCTATCTCTCAACTCGACCATGAGCCCGGAGCCACCTCGAACCAGATTGGTGCGCGCGCACGCGCACACTCCAAAAATACGCGGACCTCAAATGCTTGGATCGACTCGATGCGCGGTCGAGCGGGCCAACGGGCGTGTGGGAGGACTGTCACTATCCCACAGGCATTGGCTCCGTTGGGCGTTGCCCTAGCCAGCCTTAACCAAGCTTTTTGTCCATAATTCGCGCCTCTAGACTCTGAAGCGCCCTCTAGAGCGCGGGAATTTGCGGCCTGCAAGACCACTCCGTGCGATCCGATCGGGTGGGGTCGATGGCAGGTGTGCCGCGCGTAGGTACGGTGGCGCTGGCGTGGTGGCTGCGTGGCGCGAGCCGGTCGCGCTGGCGTGGGGTGCAACCTTTTTCTTTGCTGGTGGTGGATGTGGGTGTGGTGGCTTGCATGGACTTCCCTCGGGTTGAAGGAGGATTTGGGTTATTGGTGAGTGGTGGGTTAGATGGATGGGTGGGCTTTTTATGAGGGCAGTGTGTAACTGAGGTGGTGACAGTGACGAGAACGACTTTGATTGCCTGAGGGCATTGAAGATAGATGCCTTCATAGGAACGAGCAGTAATGGGGCGTTTTTGTGAGTAGATCAATTTGTCCTATCTAATGCTTGAGTGTTCCGTAAGAGTAATAAGAGCAACTTCCCCTGGATCATTATTGGTCAAATCTTTGACCATTTCAGTTCCCGACTGTAGAGCAACCAGATGCCTGACTGCTATACTCCATGTCGTGTCTCATAGCAATGTTGCAAATGAAAGTCTGAAACCAACCCAACTCCGCAATATACCACCAGCAAGATGTTTTTCACCCACCGAGAACGCCCATAAAACTTATTCAGGTTGCCGAACGTATCTCGTTCAAGTCGTAGCAAGAAGGCATGCTCATTGCCTAATTCTCCAAATCCTTCAATGCCTGCTCATCCTGCAGACAAGCCTCCTGTAGTTTTAGTCAGTGTAACATCATCAACAGTGTTGAACAACTGGTCCAAGACTACAAACGTACCTCATCGTCCATCGCCAGATTCTCAAGGTCTTCGGTTTCCCTCTCCACGTCTTCCAGCTGCTTGCGTAACGCGGTCTGCAGGCGTTCGTTGGCCTCACGCTTCTTCCGCTGTCCTTCTTGGACTCTGAGCTGCACCTCGGCCCTCTTGCGCTTCTTCTGTGTAAGCAATTGTTGGAGCTGAGTGACAGACATTTTGGCAGTGTCAGTGCCGGTATCGAGCTTTTGACGCTTGCCATCCTTACTACAGGATGGAGTGGACGTAGCGGTGCGCTTGTTTGAGCTCGAAGGGATGCCGTCCCCCTTCAGTAGCTCTTCTTCCAACTGTTCGGAGTCTGTATGGACACGCTCTGAGGTCTTGATGACGTTTTTATCCTTGCTGACCAGGTCGTCAGTTGCCGAACTCTCCATGTCTACCTCAGTGTCACCCTTGACTGCCACCTTTTTCTCTGCAATTTCATCGTCTGTCGTTATAACCCTGACCTCTCTACTGTTCTCAACGGATTCAACGATGGGAACGAAGGGACTGTCCAAGCGTGCGGTTTCCTCCGGGATAGAGCAATCGTTTTGCCTCTTTTCAGCTAATTCGCTACCATCTAACGTCGGAGAAGACCGCGGAATCCCTTGGTGTAAGGCGTGAGTGCCGTCGTCTGCGTTCACCTGACTGCTTTCGTTCATCTGAATGTGCAACTTCCGACCTTCACTAGACGACCGTGCAAGGCGACTAAAGACACTCTCGGGGACTGTTGACGCATGGTCAGTGGCAGTGACTTCGTTGTTGGCTCGTGTGTTGATCTCGCTTTGGTCTTCTTTTGTGACGGCCTTTAACTGCATGTGAAACTCTTCTGGCTGCTGCTCTAGCTCTTCGGGAACTGTCTTCAAAGTTGTGTCGGTGATGCTCTTGCGATCCATTGTGGTATGGAGAGTAAGTCCAGGCAGCTTGAAGGCAGGAGGATCTGCTCGGATTCCCTCGTCCTTCGGCAGTGTGTTGCCGTCAGATGAGGGTGCGGGGCAAAGAAGGCGCTGGGGCGAAGATCGTGGAGTGTATGTTGGTTCACTTGGGTTCGCAGACTTTTCTGTGAAAGAATCTACAGTGGTGGCGCGCGAAGGTAGTGGATGGCGAGGTGAGGGCGAAGCAAGGGAGTCAGCGATGCTGGACGAAGCTTCACGACTGAACTGCGACAGAGCAGAGGTATTGGTGCCGTTTCTGGGGCGTTGCGGGAGAGCGTGTGAAGACTTTGGCGCAGAAGAAATTTTTTTGGCGACGATGGCGGCTGGATAGAGGTTAGCTACTGAATCACTGTGAAGTAGAGTGACCGATTGCGCATTCCGAGCCGGAAACAACTTACCTTTGGATCGATAGAAAAACTTCATAATCGCCCATGGCGAGCTACCAGGACGCTTCCTCTTCATCAAGCTCACGATGCGATGAGCTGCGCCTGACTTGATCACAGGCTCATCTGAGTCAATCATCTCGATCTCGAAGTCGGGCACGAGAGCGTGGACACCGGGCCTCTTGTTCCCCTCGCGCCAGTTACCCATCTCGCTGAAGGTATCAACGACATTGAGGCTTGTGGCTTGGTCATCCGCCTGAATGGCATGTAGGAGCACTTCTATGATGCCCACATCTTGGTTGCCACTAGGAGTGCTAGTCTCCTCAAGAGCCTTGATACGCATCAATGACTTCTTGACCGTTCGGCCTTCCTTGTGGTACACAGTATCGAAGTGCTCAACTCGCTTCGTCCTAGTTTTCTTGGTATACGATTCCTTGGTGTTGCGAAAGATCCCGTCGATGGCGAGGTCAACATGGCCTTTGCTGAAAAATCCCTTCAGTGAGGTATGGATCGAGATTGTTTCTCCTTCGACCACAGGAATCCAGCAACAGAGACTGTCGTCGTCCTCGTCCTTCCAGAAACCATACTCTTCAGAGGGATTGTCACCACACTTAACAGTAACTTCGGCTGCCAGATCTGAATCGGTCTCATGGCACTTCATAGCTTTGAGAGGCCAGGGTTGACTCAGAGGCAAAGGTGAGAGAAGCAAGAAATTTCGATGGAAGTGACCAACTAGGGCAGTGACAAGAATTAGACAATTCCTGTTGTTCAACGAACGATAAGGTACTGGAGCGAGGGAAGATGTCGAGGGGTGTGTTGAAGATGGTACGCAGACGGAGAAGAACGATCTTTAAATATGAGGCAAGAAGGTCGATTTTGGAAGGAAACTGCTTCGTAGTTGTTTCAGAGGTGAGATGTGAAAGAGCCGCGCTTTTATAGGAAACCACGCTCAAGAAAATGTTCAGTGCCGACGTTCAGAGCTTACTTCGGACACACCACCTATGTAGATAGCAATAGTATCATATAAACTCACATCGCAGACCGCATCCTATCTAAATTATATGAGAAAGCATGTCTTTTGTATATAATCACATCTAATTAAGGGCGTGCTATGCTACTTCTCAGAATTGCTATGCTGCGAAAACTTGCGCTCCTCCACGGATATCGGCCCAAGACTATCTTGCTTTTGACAAAACAATTGGAGCGAGGCCAAATAGCAAGAACATTTTGCGTTCACAAGAAAACGATGCTCAAAGTGGAAACGAGGTGGGACAAAAGGGGTGCTGTTAGCTGTAAAGAGTAAAGGAACTGACGGTTCGCGACAACGCGCTCGATATACTCCATGACGAAGAGCTTCATCTTTTGTTATCCACATAGATGCTTCCGAATTTACTTGGCTTATTATTGTGGGTCGCTACCTCGAGGTGAAAACCTAACATGTACACCGTAGACCGTCTATCCAATGGAATGCAGTAGACGAAGTCGATAACTGCTAGTGCCCAATATCATTTTTACAATTGCCTTGTAGAGCACGTGCTCGACCGGACAAGAAGCCCAGGTATTTGGATCCTGAAATTAGTCCGTGGAGACGTTCCTGGGTATGAAAAACTTCCATAAGTCCTAAGCAGAGATCGTGCGTGAAGTTGGCCAGCCCGTTTCCTAGGGTTCTGTCCCAGATGGAGAGCAATGTAGTACACTCATACGCTCAAGAAGAATCTCAGCGCAAAAATGCCCCAACCTCTAACCAATGCACCATGCTCTTTCCAAATATCCCAATTTTCTGATTTCTTGTTGGTTTGGTTTCAGCTTATCAAACCACATACCTGAAGTTCTGAGTCTGAATCAACCATCTCTTTCCTTCATTTGCTTTGGTGACGTCCATGTTTGGCACAAGTATAAACACCTCGCTGAAACCACGCTGAGGGCCTTCACTCCTCTCCTCAAGCCTGACGAAGCCGTTGACCGTCACTAACATACTGGTGATGATGTGCTCCTCGTCCTTCTTCCCCTTTTTCGCAGTAACGCCAGCAGGCCTGCTCTCACTCGCATCTACCTGAGATGCGGCCGCCTTCTCCTCTTTGCTTTGCGGCGGATTCGGGTTTAATACCTGGCAATCGAGACACTGCACTTCGAAGTAGGAGTATGAGGGCATTTGCTCCTCCCACATCCTCTGGTAGTCGTTTGCATCGTTGAACACGTTGCCGTTCCAAGTTATGCTTGGCACCACTTGGTCATCTGGAAATGTCTCTTTGGCGACGTAGTAGCTAGATAACGTGCGTCGCGCTGCCTGGAGCGCAGTGTAGTAGGCGTCGGTGAAAGTTTCAGCGGCTGAGTAGAACTTCGGCATTAGTCGGAGGAGCTTCTTGGAACGTGACGGGGTATTGCAGGTCTCTGGAGCTGATGGTTTTTGTTCTGCTGCACTGCCTTCTTGGGAGGGGGTGCTACCGGAGGTGGTTATCTTAGTGATAAGGTCAGCATTGGGTTGCTGCGCCATGGTGGGTGTAATGCCGTGCGCGCGCGAAGAATGTGTGACTGTCGTATTGAAAGTCGTCTTAGAAACTCGACATGCGCTCGTGGGGGGGCTTTGGTGAGAGTAAAGTTGAAGTGGGTATCTGGGGGCAAAACTTTTGAACAGCTTAGAGATTGTGTTGTTGAGTGGAAGTGCGGGCAACCAGAAAGTTGGATGTTTCTCGTCACCGTTGCCAAGAGCGCAAGGATCAAGCGGAAACGTTCCGCAGATGGATCCCTGTCAATGATCGCACCGGTACCTGAATGACGTTTCGCCAATTACTGGGCTGAACCTGAAACTAGGACACTAGTTAAACCCTTCGAAGCATTAAATGGACGTCGCGGTAGCAATAAAACAGTCGCGTGGCTGAAGAGAGCATGCCGCAACCTCCTAGGATCGCTCCTTCCTCCAATAGGGTTGCGATGCACGCCTCTCGGCCCTAAGTATAAGTCAAAGGTAGTAAAATTCATTAATATGGTATATGCCTAAGGCATGAAGTACATAGGGAGTACCAAATCAAAGTATTTTGACCAAGAAAATATGGGTATTTGTTCCAAAACGGAAAACACGAAGAAAAGCAGGCGCAGAAACAATGCTGACACGAGTCTCGATACACGAGCCGCGTCGGGTATCAGCCGCCGATGGGGAAGAACATTTCAACTCCTAATGAGCTTGAGATGGCTCACCGCCTTCGTCCTGACGAGCGCCAGGTCTGTGCGCGAAGTCCTTCAAATGGTCCATCTTGGCAGTCTGCTTGCCCTTAGCCTGATGACCCAGAACATTGAGCACATGGGTGTCTCTAGTCCTGGCTTCATGGGCAGCAACCGCATCGTCCAAGTCTTCCTCATCGCTTGAACTGATGCTGCTTTCATCGTCGCTGGGCTGCGTGTACACAATTTGGTCGCCTTCCTCAGCCTTACGGTCACGCTGCTCCTGTTTCAAGCGGTCCATCTTCTCTGCGTCGGCCTGGCTATCCAGAGTTGCAATCTTGAGGCCTGGGAACGACTGTTGTAAGAAGCGTTTGAGAAGAGGAAGAAGCTTAGCGTTCGGACGGTAGGTTCCACTGTCGTTGTCAATGACCAGTTCGTAGTGAGCGGGATCTTTCGGTGGCTCTTCATCCGGGGGCCCGCCAGCCATATTAGTTGGTGGATGCGTGTCGTTGTGAGTTGATTCACGAGTATTTCCGTTCTCATCAGGCGACTTGCGGTGGGCGTGCTTCAAGCGGCGAATGAAAAATTCGCCACTAAAAGCAATGTAGATGGAGACGTCGCTATGCATCGTGTGCTTGCTTAGCATATCAATGCCAAACTCCTTGCCCGTTTCCGTGAAACGGAACAACGCGTCCAGCGTCAGCACGTAGGTAAATATCCTACCGCCCTTGTCGTAATGGACGAGGTCAAGGAACTTCTGGGTCAGGTCCTCGGACGGTTGTTCGAAAAGGCCGTATTCCGTGCTGCTATCGAAGTTGTAGACGCGCGAGTGCTGATGGTGCAGTGCTTTCGATAGCAGGAACCCTCTAATGCCCGTGGAGGTGAACATGCCTTTCACGAACGGCTTGAATTCGACATAGCGATGATAGAGCTCTTCAGGGACCGGACCGCTGAGCTGCATTTGGTTTGCTTGAAAGCTGAACACAGGTCAGTTTCGTTGATCAATCTTAAGTGACAGTTTCCAACATACTTGTACCGCGAGACTCTCTGCCCGTTGTTATCGAGGTTTGGGTTCTCATCATCTCCAGTATCCTTACGGTTCGCAAGGCGTCCAAGAAGCGGAGAATAGTGTTTCGTCCACCAACAAGGGCCAATAGTATAGGATCTGCCACCCTCTTCACCCTGGGTTTTACCCAGCAACTCAATACTGACGACGAGCTGGCCATTAATGTGCATTGACTGATTTACGCAGGTAAAAACGGCGTGCGCCGCATATGCTCGTTTGCTTCCGGCACGCTTCCTGAGTTTGTAACTCTCCTCTTTGACCCCCGGCCAGCCCTCGTACAGGCGGTCTACAAGGATATGCACATTGCCTAATCTGTCGTCGTGGTCCCGGGCGTCCTCATCGTAGACTCTCGCTTTAAGCTTGAAACCTGAAGCCGGTACATTGGCGATGATCCACTCAGAATTCCATTCGGGCTCGGTGGTACGCCTGCGAGTTGGGGTGCGGAAGCGCAGTGGTGGATCCTCCTTGTGCCTTGGCCTCAGATCGGTATTGATCTGGCAGAGGACAAAGGGATCGGAGGAAAGACTGCTTATGTCCGCCATGGGAAGGTTCGTTGCGCGGTGGAAGGTCACCTTAATCGTGTAACCGGGCGGTGCATGAGGAATGGGCGTGCTGTCGTAGCCACCAGCGGGCTCGTCATGCTTCGAACTAGAGGTCGAGGGTCGCTTTTCACGATGCTTCCTTTCTTCCTCTTGTTGCTCCTCCGAAGGGGCAGCGGCGTAGCCATCCTGCTGCGGCTGCGGCTGCGCAGAGGGGTCCTGGGCCTGCCCGTCAGCGGTGGGTATGTCTGGGCTCATGGCGGCTTAGCGGCAAGACGAGAAGAATCGAGGGTGGGAGAATCTGGGTGGAAGAATAAAGGAAGGTGAGAGGGAGACATGAGAACAGGAAATAGGAGGGGTAAAAAAGTGTGGCAGGATTGTAAGCAGGCGCATGAGGCCTCAGCGCCGCGGCGCCCCCATGCTTATTGCGGAGAAGTCTTTCAGCGTAACGCGCCAGGATTGGCGCCCGAAGACAAGCTTCGATCGACACCGCCTAAGCGTGCCGGAGCCCGCGCAGTCCAGATCGTGCAGTAGCCTTCGCGCCGTCTGTTTTCGGGCGCCTCGAGGATTTGGCATCTGCCTTACTCCTATGTAGGGACCTACTTCGTTTGCTACTCTACGCTGTCAGCTGCGAGTCTGATCGTCACCATACTGAGATTGAGCAGGACCCGTCAAACGATTCATATCGCCCTCTTCACATGGCTTGCCGCGGTCCGATTGATCCCTGTCTGCAAAGAACATCATCTCGCCGTCTGTGCCGACCGCGCCGCATTCCGCGGCGTCCGCCACAAGGCACAACCTTTCTTCACTGCCTCCAGACGTCATGGCGCATGCACGCGCCTACCATGAGTACCCTGCTTCCAGTTCACGTTGGCGAATACGGCATTGTGAGTCCAATCACACTTTCCGCTAGCGGGCTGACGCGAAAACATTGACATTACACGTCGGAGGCTTGGGGCCAAGAATCAGCCTGACGGTTATTGCGGCACGGCGTGGCTGGAGGCGGAAGCTTGGCTTTCGTACCCACCCTCACCCACGGTCACGATACCGCTGCGGCGGCGCACCAACCACTATGTTGTCCGCACTGCCATGTCGTAGTGCTCCATTGTGACGGCATCGCGCTTGGCCTAGCCAAGGACGCTGATATCGTCCTATGCATTCTGTGCTACACTTGGAACATGCAAGAGACCGCAAGGGGGCACGATTGGAGAGGCCGTTTTGCGATAGTATGAGGCTGTGTAGTCGCGTGAGGCGGTCTATTACGTGTGATGAGGAGGGCCATACGCTATAACTTCTACGATAATTGATCGTAGGACACGCAAAGCGAGCATACGAACCGACTCGACAATGGCGACCGTGTGTACTCACATGCTCAGCCATCAGCTGCATGGGCACAAAATGCCCCTTACACGATTTATATGGCGTGGTGCGATATTGCATCTGGCATCGCTCTTCGAAGTGCACAAGTGCACCACATAGCTTGGTGTTTAGATAACAAGTAAGATTATAGATGGTTTCGTTAAGTCCTTAGTCGCCTAGGAGACGAGATGACTATATATTGACTGCTTGGCTACCTGAGTGTAGGTAGTCCAAGACTAGCTATAATCTCCGAGTTGGACAGAAATACCGACCATTAAAAAGGCATTTGTCGGTATATCCGGCTAGATTTTGGGTAATAAAGAGTGAACAATATAACCAGTCAGCGCTAAAAGGGGATCGGACTGCATCGATCACCAGGTGAGTCTATTCTGGGGCCCCGCGATCAGATAAGCATGTTGCTTCAGCCCTATTTTACGCAAGTGGAAACAGACGCCTCGCATTAACCACCAACGACGGCTTGCGAAAAGCTTGTCCCGGCATCGGAGGTGTGGCAGTGTAGATGAGTTACAGCGAGCTGTACGCATAGCTTACTGACCTTGAACAGTGATTTGTGCCCGCGAGTAACAAATCCCAGTCTGAAGCCTATTTAGTGCAATGCGAAGTTTAAGTACCCAGGGAATCATTGGGCCGTAGGAGTAAGTGAACTCGCTTTAAAAACTGGCTACGGTTCTATGCTTCCGTGCTCCGGATTTGGCTGGCTGCTGGTGGTTACCCGAACTATAATGGTCGTGACAGGTGTCACTTTTACCATTTTGCAACCAAACAAGCCGCAAGTGACGGCTGAATAGGGGTTCCGCCGCCAAAGCAGAGTCTGGGGTGTTCGCGCTGCCAGCACAAGCAAGGTAACAGATTTTGGCAGACAGCGTGCAAGCAGACGCATGCTCCAGAATACTCTGCATTTCGTTCTTTGGCTGGGATGGAAGTAGAGAAAGCAATTGGGGCAATGGCTAGGCAACCCGTGTCATGAAATTCGCTTGCCCTCCAGCATGCAGGTGCCCTACCCGATGCGGCGGCTTTCGTGCGGCCGGAGCGGATGGCAGCGGTCCAACCCTGATCTTGTGATGGGCGACGTATCTGTACTTGACATGGGCGGCACCGCTCGATCGCCTGGATCAAGGGTTAAAAAAAAAAGCAAAAACAAGCTGAAGCGGATGACCATGACTGGAGGATGATGTCCAGCGTTCTCCGCGATGCCCATGGCCGCGTGCCAGTGCCGAGCGGTCGCCGAAAGCATCCCGGGGCGGACTTGGGCACCTTGGCAGCTTTTGCTTGCTTCTTCCGTCGATTGCAATCACAGCCGCAACACCAGCAACCTCTCACCTCCATCCCATCACCGGCCCTCTCTCCACTCAATCACCCTCGACAATGCTGGCACGGAGCTCTCAGCGGACGGCCCAGGTATACCACGCCCATTGCATTGCGCCGCCCACCAAAGCCGCCCTGCCCTGTCTTTATCCGGACCCGTAGCTAATGCGCTCTCTTCAGACCCTCCTGCGTGGTGCTAAGCCTGCCTCGCGCGCCTTCGCGACCGTCCAGAGCGACATCTTCAAGCCCACCAAGTTCGGTGGCAAGTACACTGTCACTCTGATCCCCGGTGACGGTGTCGGTGCCGAGGTGTCCGAGTCCGTCAAGCAGATCTTCAAGGCCGACAATGTGCCCATTGAGTGGGAGCAGGTCGATGTCTCCGGTATGGAGACTGGCGACAAGCACTCCGAGGAGCTCTTCCGCGAGGCCATTGCCTCGCTGAAGCGCAACAAGCTCGGTCTCAAGGGTACGCGGCGCATGCCCTATGCTTCACTGAAGCCTAGCTCGAGCTCACCCACCATACCGCAGGTATCCTCCACACGCCCGTCGAGCGCTCCGGTCACCAGTCTTTCAACGTCGCCCTCCGCCAAGAGCTCGACATCTACGCCTCGATCGTCTTGATCAAGAACATCCCCGGCTACGACACCCGCCACAAGAACGTTGACCTGTGCATCATCCGTGAGAACACCGAGGGTGAGTACTCCGGCCTCGAGCACCAGTCCGTCAACGGCGTCGTCGAGTCCCTCAAGATCATCACCCGCGCCAAGTCCGAGCGCATTGCCAAGTTCGCCTTCGCCTTCGCCCTGGCCAACAACAGGAAGAAGGTCACTGTCATCCACAAGGCCAACATCATGAAGCTTGCCGACGGTCTCTTCAGGAACACCTTCAAGAAGGTCGCCGAGGACTACCCCACCCTGGAGACCAATGACATGATTGTCGACAACGCCTCCATGCAGTGTGTCTCTCGCCCGCAGCAGTTTGACGTCATGGTTATGCCCAACCTTTACGGCGGTATCCTTTCCAACATCGGCGCTGGTCTTGTTGGCGGTCCCGGTATTGTCCCTGGTTGCAACATGGGCCGTGAAGTGGCTGTCTTCGAGCCTGGTTGCCGTCACGTCGGTCTTGATATCAAGGGCAAGGACCAGGCCAACCCCACTGCTCTGATCCTGTCCGGTTCCATGCTTCTCCGTCACCTTGGTCTTGATGACCACGCCAACCGTATCTCCAAGGCCGTTTACGATGTCATTGCCGAGGGGTAAGTCCCACACATGTCTCTGTGATTGAATATTGCTAACCCCCGGACAGCAAGACTAGGACCCGTGACATGGGTGGCAACGCCACCACCCAGGAGTACACCCGTGCTATCCTCGGCAAGATGGAGCAGGCTTAAATACAAGGCTGTAACAATATTAGATTTACTTAGAACCCAGGCATTGGAGGCTGTGACATAGGTGTATTTCTAGCCGTACATAGCACGCTTCATTCAGATTGATATCATCCAGTTCAATATCCACTAACGCCAGGGTAATGCCTATAACTCCCTTGGGTATATCTCGTGTGAGAAGTCCACTCCCTGTCCTGCGAACATTCAACGGCGCAGGACAAGCACCATAAGATTCCAACTCCAATCCAGTACCCGGAGGATGATTGGCGACAAGACCTATCGATCAAAAAGCGGTCTTCCTCTTCCTTCCGGTGTACTTGGAGCTAGCCTTGACCACCTTTCCTTTCCGTTCCATTTGATCCTTTTTGCGCATGATCCATGCCTTGCTGCCCTTCACCTCCTCACCCCTCTTCCTTTGCGCCATCTTCTTTCTCGAGTCCATGACATCGACGTTCGACATGCCCTTCACGACACCAGTAATGTCACCTTCCAACTCGCCACCACCGACAGTAAGCACAAGATACGTCTTAGCGCTCTTAGTGCCCGGGTCATCCTCCAGCAGACCTGCGCCGAAGCCTGCCCTCATGGCGGCACTACTGATCATGCCCTTCTGTTGGTCATTCTTGGGGTAAAATTGGCACACCGCCCTGCCGCCACGCCTCAAGCTTGCATAGAGGCCGTTGAAAAACCTGCTCAGTCTGCCCTGCGCCGTCTCCTCGCTGCTTTCGGCATTGCACAGCCACTGGACAGCCGAGATGCTTATAGCGGCATCGAACGTACCCGGCCGGAACGGCACGCCCTGACCCGCATCTGCCAGGAACAGATCGCCCTCGACTTCGCGCTCCAGCGCCACGCCCAGCATTGACGCGCTGATATCCATGCCGATCCAGGTGTGCGGACCGCCGTCGGCGGGCTCGGTCGAGGACAAAATCTGCCCCGAGAGACCGCTGCCGCAGCCGACATCCAGGATCAACGAGGGGTACTTCAGGTCAAGAAGCTCGAGGGCGCGGTTGGTCATCGAGGCCTGGATGTGCTGGATACGTGACGAGGTGGTGTATTTGTGGGATTCGCTGTCATTGTAAAACAGATCGGGAGGGCTGACAAGCTGTTAGACAGGCATATCCCTTTGGAGCGGTGCGAAGCGCAGGCATACAGGATATCTTCGGGGCGAGACATTTTTGCGGCGGAGAAGCGGTGTACGTGTGTTATAGCTGGCGGTTGATATATCGAGGGAGGTTTCACCGGAGGTTGGCGTACAAGCAACACTTGGCGAGTGCGCAGAAGAGGTTCTGGTTCTGGTGGTAAGTTGGCTGCGGGGGTTGTGCGATTCGGCGTCTACCAGAACCTCTCGAACTTTTTGGTGTTGAAGATCGGTAAAATGACTCGCGTCGAAGGCCGTTAGCAGCTGTTGACGTCGGCGGCCTGTCCGTGTCTCATCTCCAGGCCACATGTTCCTTTCGCAATTGACTCTCAGGACTCCCTTTTGACAAACATGTGGGTTTTACCGCTGATAGGCTACCTAGGCCTCATCATAGGCTTTGCCTTTCTTACTCTGGCAATCGGTACGGTCACCCGTCGCAACGACGCACTATCCAACCAAGGCCGCCCTGCTAATCCATCCATGGCACGCAGCCTCCGGCCTGTACTATCTATCAGAACTCGTCGAAGAGCACACTGTGTTCGCCAAGAGGCTCCTCACGCGCATGATCTCTGCTGTGATAGCGCTTCAAGTTCTGCTGTGGCTCATTGATGGCTTCCCTCTCGGACTGAGCCTCCTCAGCGTCGCGTCGCATGTTGTATACTCGCAGAACCTCAGGCGCTTTCCGATCGTCAAACTGTCGGATCCCATCTTCATCCTGTCCTGCAGTACGCTCTTCCCATGCGCTATTCCCGCAACGAGCTGACAGATGTTGCCCACAGTTCTCGTCCTTCTGAACCACTACCTATGGTTTCGCCATTTCTCCGCGCCACCTCCGCGCACCGCAAACTACTACCCCTACAACACTTCGCTTGACCCGAACCTGCCAACATTCACGGAAATCGCTTCGTACTTCGGCCTTTGCGTTTGGCTTGTGCCTTTCGCGCTTTTCGTGTCGCTAAGCGCCAGCGAGAATGTGCTGCCAAGTATGGGCAGCGAGTATGCGACGGGTGAAGGAAGCAGTTTCATGGCTGGAGGAGTAGGCTCAGGGAAGAAGGGCGGACAGGCGAACGTAGGTCTGGCGAAAGCTCTTGTTGATAGGGCTCGAGAATGGGTCAGCGAAACCGGCGAAGCCGTGGGCCTTTGGAGAGGAGAGAGGGCCAGGCGGTTCTGAGACATGGGGAACAAGTGAAGTTTTACTTGTCAGCTGGTAGAGCTCGAGCGACGTAAGCATGATTGCATCCACACGATTGTATATGTCTCGATAGTATATATATGGAGTCGAAGCGGAGAACTTTGGCGCAACTAGGCAAATTCCCTTAAAAGCAACTGAGCAAGCGCAGCTTGGCAGAGCGGGGTGTTTCCGCTCCTGGTCCCCCGCCATCCGCTCCGTTATCGCGTCACAACCACAACAACCTAACCTATCAAGGGAGACCTGCCCTCTCCATAACCCTACAATATGCGCGTATCTGCCATCTTCTCCGCCCTTTGTGCTCTAGTGCCATCGCTCGCCTTTGCGGCGCAGGTTCCGCTGTCATCTCAGCAGCATGGAAAGCCATCCGCTTTGACCGGCAACGACCACATTCTGCCTATCGAAACGCTGCACGAGCTGCTGACCTTGCATCGCGAACTTGTTAAGATCGAGTCCATCTCTGGCAATGAGTACCGCGTTGGCTGGTGGCTTGTCTCGTATTTGAAGGAAAATGGCTTCAATGTTGAGGTTCAGTACGTCGGTGAGGCTGAACAAGGCGAGAATGAGCACATGATTGGTGGCCAGGCGCAGAAGAGGTTCAATGTCTTTGCCTGGCCAGGAGAGAAGAAGTTCACAAAGGTGCTCGTTAGCAGCCACATTGATACTGTAAGTCTCCCGCTTTTACCAATGTCACGTATTGCAACCTTCTCTAACACCTACAGGTCCCTCCCTACATACCCTATTCGTTCGACACCAAGAAAGACGAAATTTGGGGCCGCGGCACTGTCGACGCCAAGGGCTCGGTGGCCGCGCAGGTCATTGCTGTTAAGTCTCTGTTGGCCAATTCTAGCTCTTCCGTCTCTGCGGATGACGTGTCACTGCTATTCGTTGTTGGCGAAGAAACGGGCGGTGAGGGTATGCGGTCATTCTCTAATTCCTCCCTCAACCCCGGCAACTACAGCGCCGTTGTTTTCGGCGAGCCAACGGAAAGCAAGCTAGTTGCTGGTCACAAGGGTATGCTCGCTTTCGACATCAACGTCAAGGGTAAAGCTGCGCATTCTGGCTACCCTTGGCTGGGTCTTTCGGCGAACAACGTGCTCGTTGAGGCTTTGGGCATCGTTATGGCACTTGAGGCGGGCCGTGTCAATGGCGCGGAATTGCGCTGGAGCGAAAAGTACGGTAACACGACGCTCAATATCGGCAAGATTTCTGGAGGAGTTGCGAGAAATGTCGTCGCCAAAGAGGCGAATGCCGGTATCACTGGGAGATTGGCTGCCGGCACTCCGGATGAAGCAAAGGATGCTCTTCTGAAGGCGCTGTCGCCTGTTATCACCGCGGCGGAGAAGGCTGGCGGCGAAGTTACGATTGAGTTTGGCGACGAAACGTACGGACCAGTTGACATGAGCTGTGATGTCGAGGGCTTCGAATGCATTACGGTCAACTATGGAACCGACATCCCCCGGCTGAAGGGTGACCACAAGAGATATCTCTATGGTCCGGGTAGCATTTTGGTCGCGCATTCGGACAACGAGGCAATTAAGGTTCATGACCTTGAGAGGGCTGTAGTGGATTATACGAAGCTCATCTCGGTCGCTGTCGAGAACTGAGAGGTTGTTTATTGCTGAATCAGACAAAAGCAGCGGGAATGAATGACGACGGAAGATACCAAATAGATCAGAATATATATGTTGCGAGTCATTTGTAGGGGACTTTTTGGAACCCACTGACTCACAAAGTTCAATTTTCCTCGCCGAGCGGGACTGACTGCCCGCCCTACAGCCCGCAAATCACGCATCTGGAGCAGCAACCTACATTGCTGTGGACGTTTTTACTGGTCTGCATTCCCAGTATTCTTTCTCGCGATAAATCTCTCGTGCCGCCATTGCGAATACATTGCCAAGCCGCATACGCACACTACGCACTCCGAAACTCGAAACTAGACACAGAACCATGGCACCGCCGCGCAAGCGCGTCAAGACCGTAACGGTTGATGAGATCAACTTCGACGATGCAGCGCGAGAGGAGTACCTGACGGGCTTCCACAAACGCAAGCAAGCGCGCATCAAGGCGGCGCAGGACCTGGCCGCGAAGCGGGAGAAGGAGGAGCGAGTGCAGCAGCGCAAGGAGGTACGCGAAGCAATTTCACGAACGCCATGAAGCAGAAAAGACTGCCAAGGGTGTCTCGCGCGGCCAGGCGGGCCAGGGAGAGCCTACCTCTATGCCTACCTACCTAGCCTGGCTTCATGATACACGCACGCACGCGCTGAGGACAACTACTGACTCTATCGCGCAGATCCGGCAACAGCGCAAAGAAGATCTGGAGCGGCATGTCGCGGAAGTCAATTCGATGCTGAAGCAGGCGAACCCGGACGCTGACGACGACGACGACGACAATGATGACGCAGACGAATGGGACGGCATTCAGGAAGAGGAGCAGATTGTGGACCGTGAGGACGAGTACGTCGACGAAGACAAGTACACAACCGTGACGGTTGAGACGGTGGATATCGACCGCGACGGGTTCAGCAAGCGAAAGGCAGCCAATGAGGCATCAGACGACGAAGATGAAGACGAGGAGGAGGCGGAAGTGGACGGAGATGAGAGTGATGGGGCGGAGGAGACGGAGAAGAATGGGGCGAAACCCGCGAATGGGAAGAGGGTGTGGACAAAGGAGAAGCCCAAGTCCGCCAAAGCCAAGCCCAAGAAGAAAAAGGAGAAGTTCAGGTACGAGAGCAAGGCGGAGAGGAAGTTCACGCGGGAGAAGCAAAAGTCGAAGAATAGAGCGCAGGCCGAGCGGAGGAAGGGCAAGAAGTGAGGATTTATGGACGAGGTGACGTAGTAGGACAGGTGGCGGACAGTACCTAGTCTCTCAAATACCCCTGAAATTGGATTTTGGCCCAGAGTCCTCCGGAAGCACGCGCGCGGAATGATAGGTAGAGGCCACACCATGGTAGAAATTCGTTGTCACTGAGCTGCAACTACCAACAGAGAAGTGGAAGGGACGGTGATGAAGTCCCACATTGCGACCGCATTGTGCATGCACCCCCCCATGTTTCTACCAGACAAAGACGACGTTTCTTTTCGCCGCCGATTAAACTCGAACAGAGGTAAAGAGAGAGCTCGGGACAGAGGAAAAACAGCCTAGATGTTGCCAATCTCGTTGACAAAGTCGTCCAACTCCTTCTTGGTGTCGGCGTACTTCGTGGACATCTCCTCGTACTTGGCCTCCCACTGGTCCCGCTCGGCCTCGAGAGCCTGCACCTTGCGCTCGTAGTGGCCTGCCCGAACGTCGGTCTGGCGGAGCCTGCCAAACGAGACTGGTCAGCAATGGCGACGGATAGGGGGTTTGAGTGGAGAGCGACGCGGGAGCCAGCGGCGCAGTGAATACACACTTGGGCAGCTGAAAACGAGACATGGGCAGCGGTTTCAGGAAAGTGATGTGAACGTACTTCTCGTTGACCTCGCGCAGGTTCTTGTCCGCCTCCTCGGCCTCCTCCTCGAGCAGCTGCAGCCTCCGGGCCAGCGACTCGTTGTGGGTGCCGGCCTGGGTGCTCTCGTCGGCGATGGACTTGGCGTCCTTGATGCCCTGCTCGAGCTTCTCCACCTCAGACTCCAGCAGCTGGTTCTTGTGCGTGAGCGACGTGATTTCCTGCTCCTTGGCCAGGTTCTCCTGCTCCAGGCGCTTCTTGTCGGCCTGCAACTCCTCGACCTTGGCGGCGGACTCGTCGGCCTCGAGGCGGAGGGCGTTCATGCGCTGCGAGGGACACGTCGTTAGCGGCGCGGCCTAGTGCATCGTGGCGTGGCGTTGTGGTGTTGGGCGGAAGGGCGTCGCGGGAGCTTGCGGCGGGCGTGGAACGAGGGGGAAAGACCCTGGAGGGGCAGGGCAGCAGGCAGAAAGAGGGGTTGGCCTACCTTCTTGATGGCGTCCATGGTGAAAGGTGGAGTGTAGGGGGGATTGCTGGGGGGTGAGAGGGATGGAGTCGTGGTCGAAGATGCGGGAGATGATGCGAGATGTGCGAGCGTGCGAGAAGGAGGCAGAAAGTAAGGCGGCGGTGGTGGACAGCTGGGCTGGTGGAGGGAGGGAGCAGCGGCCGACAGGGGCTCGTGCTGATCGACCGCTGTTGTCCGGCACAACCAAGGGTAAACATGCCAATTCCCGTGCCACGGCGACGGACTACGACAACGATTAACTTACTTAGCTACTTCCCCAACAACAATCTGAATGTAACCAACTCCACTCTCCACCAACCACCACTTTCCCTCCGCAATGCTCGCTGCCCACGCCGACCAGGAAAACCTCGTCGCCTCGCATCAGGCCGCTGCCCAAGCCAAGCCGCTCAATCATGGCAGCACCATCAAGCCCTTCGCGCCCAAGACGCCGCTCAGACTGCCCTTGAACGACGAGAACGTGACCAAGAAGACTAGCAAGACGGCCAAAAAAGGCCATGATAACGCCTTCGTCACGCCTGCCGGTCAGTCGTGGCCCTCTTTTTTTTTCCCTCTTACCTTCGTGCATCACCCGCACATAGGGCTAACGCGCACAAGCAGGTCCCCGCTCGCGTGCCCCGCTGGGCATGAAGACGACCAATGCCAAAGCCAGAGCCTTTGCGACCCCAGCGCTCCAGACCGCCGAGCCTGGCTCCGAGCGGACCGGCGTCAAGAGCAGCGGCCCCAGGCTCCGTCGCGCCAAGGTCAAAGTTCACCAAGCCACCCCGGTCAAGGACCCCACCGCCGACGAAGAACGCGACATCGAGTACATGCCACCGCGCGGTGTTCGTAAGTTTTCCAACTCCTTCACTGTTGTGTAGCGCAGTTACTTACCGTGCCCGCTAGCCCTCAATGACGATCCCGAAGACTGGCCTCCTCTGAACCTCTCCATGCTTGAAGGCAGCAACTTAACCCGCGGCGTTTATCTGAACTACCTTAACCCCATCGGCGAAGATGGCTTGACTCACTCTGAAAGACGTGACAAGGAGCTCTTCGCCAAGATAGACCAACGGAACGACGAACTCATGGTCAAGTCTCTCGAGGAGACCCTGGGTCCCTTTACCGACGCAGAGCGCCAGGCGTTCGGCATGCCTCTCAAGACAATTCGCAAACCCAAGGACCAAGATACTCGCCCTGCTAGTGCTGCTAGCAACAAGAGTGCTCAATCAAGCTCCCGCAGGCCCGCCTCAGCTATCGGTAGACCCGCTTCAGCTGCTAGCACGTCCAGGGCCCCGCTCCCCTCTTCTCGCGCTGCTGTCTCTGCTCTCTCTCACTACTCTAATCCGACTGCTTCTGTTCGTGCCCGTTCGCGCTCGGTTCTTTCCGACTCCACTCCATCCGCACCGGTTGTGTCTCGCAAGAGGCCCGCTGCCACTTCTATGGCGGCCCCTAAACCTTCGGATCCTTACGCTGTACGCCACCAGGCTGCCACTGCTGCATCCAAGACTACTCTCGGCTACGGCAAAGGCCGCGCCGTTTCTTCCTCTATCCGCAAGCCTATTCCAAGCATCTTTGGTCACCAACGTGCCGTCAGTCAACCCGCAGCCAAGGTAAACAAGACGGATTCTACTTCTTCAGCTAACGGTGCTGCTCCCACTGGCGCCCGCCCCTCTGTTCCGACATTTGGTCGTTCCCGTTCTGCCTGGAGCCGCCACGACTCCGACGTCACGCTCACGCCGTCTATGGCTGACAGCCAGGATGAGCAGGAACCTGACGTGGAACTGGAACTCATGCGAGAACTGCACAGCCAGACGATGAACACGGAGCTGGATGACTGCGATTGGATCAAGAGTGGTTCCAACACCGACGCCCTTGACTTTGCCCTCGATGACGAAGAAGAGGAGTTCCAGTTCACGATTCCTGAACTCCCTGAGCCTGAGCCTTGAGTTTGCTACTGTGAAGAGCAAATCCTTGCGGGGAGAAACTCCCAACTAATCCGGTGGGGGATTAGATTATTTGAACTCTTGGATTCGAAACACCCCGACTTGTAATACGAGTCCAACAGTCTATGTACTTTAATGCTTGAACGACACAATTAGCCTTCTTCTTTCTTCTATCTGTTTTCTTCGGACTCTAGGGAGCGGACTGGGTTAGGACAAGGACGGCAGGACGGACGAGAAGACCGACGCTGGACCGTCGGCTATGAGAACACACTGGTTGAAGGGGTAATTGTTGTTGTCGTTGGAAGGAACCTTATGAACCCTCGGCTAAGCTTTCTTTTGTCTCCTGCTTTTTACCCTTCTTTCTACTTCCCATCAGACGATTACGTCGGCCGAGCAAGAGCGCTCTTGACCGCACGCGCGCATGCATGTATTATCAACGAATTTTCAGCGGCGTCGTCGGCCATGGTATTGGCGTGGTCGATCGGACGCCATATGCGATGCATTCGGAGTTTGTTTGTTCTGGGTGATTCATGTTGTTCTTGGATGGAATAAAGGGCACCAATCGGTGCATCTACCGCTCATCCATCCATTCATTCAACTCACAATCTAGCTCGAAGACGGTCTTGTTGTTTCCGTCACATGCAAATCGAGTTAGTCGATTCATTGACTGACTGACCAGCTGGTCTGGCCGTCTGCATGATTCGGTTGACTGATTTGACTTGATTTAATCTGATCTGATCTGATCTGCTATGCTCCTTCATTCATTATCTGGTCGTAGTATTTATCCGCCTGCCTGCCTGCCTGCATGCATGCCCTTCTGCGTCCATGCATGCATGCGTACCTGCTTGCTAGGGTGCTGATTGCATGACTGTGCGTACCGCCAGTAGATAACCGCTGCTGCAAGAACAGACAGTGTAGGCGCGATATGATGCGATATAGTTAGCTAGGTAGCGCCCGTCCTCCCGCGGGCAATCTCTTTTTACCGGATGAAGATGACGATGTTGAGGATGACGATGATGATGATGATGATGATGATGATGATGATGATGATGATGCAAAAATCCATGCAATATAAGAAAGAGAGCAAACGAAAACCAAACAAGACAAGAGACGAAGAAGAGGAGGGATGTGCAAGTGATCGGGTGCTTGGATTCGTCCCCGATGTTGGTGGGTAGGTAGATAGGTACCCTAGCAGCAAAGACAAAAAGCAAACGTGCGCAAAAGGAAGCACCCTGTATCGTTCGACTGGACCCAGTCCAAAAGACCCCCTTTGGACTACCTATTTCCCTGCAGAACCCTCCAAATGCATTTGGGAGCTATGTAGAACCACCAGTAACAAAAAACTCCGTGCCGTGCCAGGATCGCCATGCTGCATTGATGGTATAAAAGAAAGCTTTGAGTTGTTTTTCTTTCCTTTTTTCAGTTTTAATGAAAGTAAACGAGAGAATATTTTTTTTGTTGTTTTTTTTAATTGGTTTTGGGTGTGCAAAGAAAGCGTTGGTCGGCTCTGCTTGGCTTAATCCCTGCATGTTGGGTACATGAGCATATCCGACGATGTAGTGCTTCGGCCGCGGGATCATGCTGCTATTTTCATCTGCTTTGAGCATTCTCGTGAACGTGGCGAGGAAAAAGACATTGGGAAAAGAAGTGGGGAAAGAAGAAAGAAAACGCGTCGCACAGATCAGTCACTTTGCGATAGTGCTGCGCGGAACATCACTCGTCCTGTGCGTACAGGTTCTGGTTCAGTATCTTGTTCATGGTGAACATGTGGACGCGGTCCTGCTTGAAGACGGCGCGCATGGCTTCATCGCAGCGAATCTGGCGCTTGTCGGTCGGGTCTTGCAGGTCGCGCTCCTTGACGTACTCCCATATCTTCTTGACACACTGCGGGCGCGAGAGCTGGGTCTCGCCTAGGAGGTCGGAGAGCGGTGCGGACAGGGTCATTGGTTTCTGCAACATCGTCCAAGTTAGCCTTATGCGCGGGGGTTGTCGGTCAGCGCTTAGGGACGCGGGGAAGTGCTCACATGGAAGCCGCCGGTCCGTTTGACCTCCTTCTTCTCGTCGCCGGTGCCGAGCTCGCTGTCGTCGTCGGAATTGACCTTGGCCCGGCTCTTCTTTTTGCGGCTTTCGGTCTTCTTCTTGACGGGCGTCTTCTTCCTGCCCGCACCGCCGCCCCGTGTAGACCTTGCTCGCCCGTTCTCCTCGGCCTGCAGCCTGGCTGCAAAAGCTGCGTCATCCTCGACAGAGGCGCTCTTCTTGTGCTTTTTCTTGGGAGGCGTCGACTCGACGTCTGACAGATCCGATTCGCCGGCGCTGGGCTCTGCACGCTTCTTGGAGGGCGAAGACGAGGGACTGGATGCAGCAGAGCCAGTGCTCTCGTGCTGGCCATTGGATGTGGTGGGTGCGGGCTCAACGTCGCCAGGCTGTGCGGCGTTGCGGTCGTTGTTGGCCTTGTCGAAGCGCGCCATGATCAGCTCGGTGATGGCATCCTGGGTAGAGGAAGGGCCGTGTTAGTAAACACTAGCAGGCGCGGCGAACAAGAAGCATAAACCCCACTGACAATGTACCTTTTGGGGCGTGATGTCGTAGTCGACCTTGGCCTGGAGGCCCTTGCGAATGCGTTTGGCGGAGACGGTGTTGAGATCGCTGTGGGCCAGGATATCGTCGATGATGGCCGTGTACGAGGCCTCGACTTCCGGGGGAACTGGGCGGGGGCGCGCGCGTCAGCATGCGGTCAATTGCAGAGCTCGAGGCGACTCACGGGACATGGTTGCGGTGGTGTAAGTAAAGAGAGAGCTATGCTGGCCGGGTGCGTTGAGGCTCGGCGCAGCGCTCTACGGCCAGCGGGGCTATCGGCGGGCAGGGAAAGTGAGGCTGTCAGGAGAGGAGAGCGGACGTGCAGAATCGCGAACAACAACGGCCGAAACGCGCAACAGATGGCGCGCGGGCAGGAGAAGCACAAGGCGGGAGCGAGCGAGAGGGAATGGTGATGATGCCGAACCGACTGACTAAGCGGCAGCCCGCATCGCGCATGGCATGCTTGGGTATATATCTAACTATGGCTGTATTCACATCATGCAGCATCCAATCCCGTACATGGCCCGCTCCACCTGGTTCTTCACCACAAACCAGTCTGCCCGCCGCTCCGCAAACTCGTACACCTCCTCTGTCCGGAAGATGCCCGAGTAGCGATCGCCGTCCGCGATGACCGTCGCGATCTCCTTGGCGTGATCCGCCGAGATCAGGTAGATCTGCGACAGCTCCCGCAGCGCCTTGAAGTACTGCGTCAGCGACTTGTTCTTCAGCGTCGCTATGTATGAATAGTACGCGTTCGTGTCACTGTTGTCCGTCAGCAACTGTGTGTTTGCTTGTCAAAGGGCCGTCCGTCCTACCTGATCAACTTGATTGCCCCGTCGACGCTGATGCGCTGGCGCTTGACATGTTTGCACAACGCCGTGAACAACCGCAGCCCGACCTCTTGGTTGAAGACGTCCAGCATGTTCTTGTCGGTGCTCCCAACGAGCATGCTAATGTGTGAAGACACAAGCTGCGTGACCCGCTGCGCCGTCGTCGAAGGTCCGACATCGCTCACCTCCGGAGCTGCATCCCCGACTGCACCTGGGTTGAAGTCAGTGGGCAACTGCGTCGTCGCGCATATGTACTCCACTTCATCCATCAGCACGTCTATTCCTTTGTTCAATCCGGCCGCCACTCTCTCATCCAGCATCTGCTCGAACCGTTTCTTCTCTTTGATGGCAGGACTCAGAAAATCATCTCGGTCTGCCAGCCTCGCTGCTACCAGCTCCTGGCCGTAGAACACATCTATCATCTGCTGGATCAGATCACCTACGTTGACCAGTTCCAGAAATGTGACGAGCGGTTCCACGCCTGGTTGGCTGTGTTCCTGGACCTCTCGTGGATTGTACTTGGACAGGTGCTCGATGGCTTTGTCGAATCCTACTTTGATGTGTCGGCTTCCCAGGATTTGTAAGAGCGCTACGAAGATTGCTTCGCATTGCTCCCGCGACTCTTCTCCCGACTGGCCGCCAATCCGTACTAGAAGCGCCACTCGCTCCAGGCTTGCCTTGGCTGTGTGGACCAAATCCAATGCCACTTCGATACTGAACAACGACTTGATGCCCTCAAGACGAGAATTCATAATAGCTGCTTTCGCAGCCAACTCCGAAGTAGGTGCTTCTGGCCGCGGAGTACTTGAGCGCTCCGTAAGGTTTGGCGTTGAGGATCGAGATTGAACCTCGGCGCCATCTCCGTTGACACTTGGCTTTTCGGCCGGCTTGCTAGTAGAGAATGGCATGACGTTTACTGGCATCATGACGACTTTCTTGAAGGATGTAAGGAAATCCCTCTTCACTGCTTGCCGATTGACGTTGGACATGAAGAAGGATTCGGTTGATGCCTCCTCATCCAAAAGTCGCTTTTCCCACGCATCCACCTCTGAGTCTGCCTTTCTCCGGAAGAAGTCGAGTTCATCCTGCAGATATAAATCGATGTGTTGCTCGAAACACCGGGCTATGACTTTATGAGCGTCCTCTTTAAATGTTGGTTCAGACACTTTGGTAGGTTGTAAAGATGCTTCGAAACGAAGGGCCTGTTCGAACAGCCCAGCAACAGCCTTGAGATAACACTCAATGTCTCTTTCATGAGCTTCATCGAGCAGAGCCGTCATGTATTCCGATATGACATCTTCGCCAACTCTGTCAAGGAAAGGGACCATGACGTTGATGGAAGGTGGAAAGACACGGTCAATGATGGATGCTTGTTCATTGAGCACGACGGCGAGCTTTTCGAAGAAAGTTTGAGATGGCCTGAGTGAGACTTCATTAGATGGGCCTTCCAGGCAGTCCAAAGGGTCCCCCAGTTTCTCCTTGTCAATCATCAAGGGATGGTTGTGGATAAAAGTATCGATACCAGAGGCACCACCGTTGAGAGTGACCAAGACATGCGCATACTTTCTCATGCGTCCATCGATATCTTGGAGTTCATAACCCTGCTCGAATTCACGGAGAACCGCATTTTCAAAGACTCCCATCATAGTGTCAAGCCTCTCCTCTCTACCAAGACACCCTTGCGAATAATCGCTATTGGCAAATGTTTTCAGCTGCGCTAGCATCTGTGCTTGTTGCTCAGGGTCGCGGTATACCCGGAACAAGATAGGATCCATGTGACTCTTGGATTTGGCCAGGTCGAAGTAGTAAGGCGCGAGAGCTCCATACACTCTACCGTATTCCTGGCGCGCAAAGCCTCTAACTGAGCGAATCTTCTTCAAAGCGACCAGCGCGTATTCAGGATCCCGGTATATCATCTGCGCAGTCTCATGGCCCACAGGGCTGAATCCGCTCTCGATCGTCGACTTTCGCGAGCGCGTCAAACTGTCCGGCAAAGCCCGTTGCCTCTCTTCTTCTATTCCAGCATCGAAGAGGGTCTGGCCGGCGCCACCCCCGGCAATCCCGTTGATGCTGCCATTCAGCATGGCCCCAGTCCTCCTTGCTTCTTCCGCTTCTTTGGCGCGCTGTGCTTCCAGCTTCCGCTTCATGGCGTCCTCGAACCGTTGTCTCGCTTCGACATCATTCCAACACCCCATGCTCTTCAGCCGTTGTATCCACCTGGTGTCATCGTATACCATCTCCTGCATGCGTTTCGAGGCGCGGGCAAAGCGTAACATGTCGGGGACGGGTAGGTAATCCAAGATCGTGGCAATGAGTTCTGGCATCATTAGGTACAGTATATCGAGCCCTCATGCTGACCGTACCTGCTGGCAGCACTGGCTTCGATGTAGCCATCTGCGTCGCCCGCAGCGGTGCTAGTACATCTTGCCGCGATGCGCCCACTGCGGGCGCTCTAGTAAACCCAGACATCACCGTGAGTGATCGATATCTAGAATGCTATGTCGCTCATTTCGAGCCTGTCATGATGCTTCGGCTCTAGGGGGGGGGGGGGGGGGGGGGGGGGGGGGGGGGGGGGGGGGGGGGGGGCACGGTCAAGGCAGGGCTAGTTGATGGTTTGAGTTGGTGAGTGCTGAGGTACACTGCCCGGGGGTCGATCCGGGGCAGCAATGACATAAGCGAGCCGCATGCCCAAGATATTCCCCCCGCTACGAGTACTCAATCTGCATGCAATTTACATTCCTCGTTGTTCGCCAGGAAAATCAAGACAACCCACACAAACACTCTGTGTCTCCAATAAACATCTGCTCAGAAACCACTTGTCGAGTAAATGCTATTCGATTGGGTTAGAAACATAGCTTCCCAGCGTGGTATCCGAGCCCGGTGACTAGCATAAGCAAAAACTTCCATGTCATACAACAATGCCCAACCACTCTATGTACCTATAGTGCCTCCGGTCTTTACTCAAGCGGCAAGACATCTCCTGCCCATGGTTTCATTGCCGTGTAAGTTCCTTGACGCCCGCATAAGATGGTTTTGTTTCCGTCAACCGAACACGGCATATCGTACGCGGACTTTTAGGCTTCCTCCGTTTAATGGCTCAGAGTCGTCCGTCCCTTTGCCTTCCTTCTCTTCAGCAGTTTCTTGCCCTTCTTAGTCCGTATCCGACTGAGAAAGCCATGGCGCCGCTTCCGGACGAGATTGCTGGGGTCGTAGGTATCTCTGGGACCATTTCTAACTTGAATACCGGCGAGCGCCGGGTGGGAGGAGACCTTGGGAAGGATATCGGCTGTTTCCGCATCGGCGGTCGCGGGCGCAATTGACAGGGGCTGCGGGACGGAGGCGTGGGCAGGCAACAGCTGCGGGCGCTTCGCAGAGAGGATTGAGATTGAACGGAGCCTAGAGCATTCGGTATTAGCATACACAAAGTCCATTTCAGGAACTAAGGTAGTCCGCTTACTGTTGGAGCGCGGAGATGGGGGCCCGCGGCACCGAAAGCACCGGCCTTGGAGCTACAGCTCTCAAGCAGCGGAAGCACTGCATATTGGGTGGTCCTAGTCCTTGGCGAAGAACAGCAAAGTGGCCAGGTGCAGAAGGTCGTCGGGAATCGTACAGTGAGGCAGCGCGACCAAAGCTCTCGCCGAAGGCGGTGAGTGTGGCAGAACGACGTGAATTTCGAAATTTGAATTCGACTTTGAATGTCCACAGCACCTTCACATCACGCTGCAAAAATGGCAATTCACTCATATCCCCCACATGTCGCCGTGGCCAACCGGCCCCTCTCTCTCGAAGAGGCTCAAAAATCCATCGCGAACTATCTTGCTACCTCCGAGACCTCCGCGCACTTGCATCCCGACGCGCTTCTCAGCACTTCTGGCGTCCAATTCGCGACCGCAGGTGGCCCAATGGGTGGTATTGTCCTGCACAACTTGAGGAGGGTTGAAGCGGGGTTGAGAGGAGAGGTGATCAAGCCTGAGCCTGAGGCGTCTGACGACATGGTTTTGGACGGCATGATCGAAGAGACGGAACAGACCATGCAAGCAGAGGGTGGTGCGTCCAAGAAAAGCAAGAAGGGGGCCAGTGGAGCAGAGGAAGGCTGGCAAGACATGGGAGACTACCAGCGGGAGCAATTGGAAGAAGGAAATGAGGTCGGGGAACTCGGCCAACGCTCGAATTTTGTCGAGCAGGGTGAAGAGCCAAAGATAGCCGAAGGAGGCAAGAGCAAGGTTGACAAGGAGGCTCGTAAAAAGGCCAAGAAAGAACGCGAGCGCCAACAAAAGCTGGAGAAGGAAGCAAAGAAGAAGCAGGGCGCAGAAGCATAGTCGCCGAACGAAATCTTGACTTGACCGGAGGGGTCCAGCGTGGGTATCCTACTCACGCATTGTGGGACCCGGCTAGTCCTTTTCCATCACTAATACCCAAATTGTCACATCACCGGAAACCCTGACATTCTGAGACTTCCATGTAATGATCAGCAAGTCTACGTATGGGCAACCTAGCGGCCGTCATCGACAACTACCTACAAACGGCCCACGTCAGGCGCCACCATATGTAACGCGATTATTGCTTAAATCATCATCACCATCGCCATCAACCTAGCGGCTTTACAGTTCTCGGTCAGCGGCTTTGACGGGCTCTGCGCTGTCATCGCTCTTCGACGCCCTTTCGCCCTTGTAGCCGATTGCTCTCAATCTCTCCGTCAGAATGGGATGCGAGTAATGGAAACTGGAGTACATCCAGTCTGCGTCCATAGCAGAGAGATTCTGGATCTGAAGCTTGATGAGAGACTCAGCAAGCTCCTGCGAGTAGCCATGCTGGACGGCGAAAGAATCTGCGATTTCTTGTTAGTCATAAAAGGAACGGAGAACGTGGGCTCATCTCATGGCTCACCAGCTTCGTATTCAAACTTCCTTGTCAGGACGTTCATCATCAGCTTGATGACCGAGTCCGTCGGGCCCAATACTTCGTTGAACAGGAGAAAGCCGATGAGGATTGGTTGCTCCTTGTAGAAGCCAAAGGATTCGAAGAGAGATTGGTTGTTGATAAAGACCGAGAACAACGCAAACATGTAGAACAAATGGAACTGGCTGATCAAGAGCAACTTTGTGGTGTGACCCATACTCCAGTGACCAAGCTCGTGGGCCAAGACAGCTTCAACTTCCTTGTTGGAGCTCTTCTCTAAAAGTGTGTCGTAGATGACAATCTTCTTCTTCCAGGGCAGACCAGTGAAATAGGCGTTGCTGTGAGCACTGCGCTTGCTTCCGTCGATAACTTGGAGCTCCGTAAGCGGGAACTTCAGCTTCTGGGCAAGTGCCTCCACGCCCTCCTTCAGAGCACCAGGCTCCAATGGCGAAAGCTTGTTGAACATAGGCACAATCAGAATCGGGTAGATCGTAATAGCCGAGACCTGGACCGCAAGCATGAACATCCACAGGTAGTAGAAGAAATTAGTGCCCGTCTTCTGGATGATTGCCAAGAACGCGCTCATGATAGGCACGCCGAAGACGACACCAAGAGCCTGGCCCTTGAGCATATCCGTAAGCCACAGCTTGACCGTTAACTTGTTGAAACCGAATTCTTCCTCCAACACAAAATTATGGTAGTATGTGAACGGCAAGCTGAAAACGGTGTCGACCAAGCTGAATGTAAAGAGGAACAGCAGCGAGTGTCCGATTTCGCCAGAGATAAACGTGGGAGCAAAGCGAGAGAGCCAGACGCCAGTGATTGCCCAGATTTGGGGGTACCAGTTGTACTGAATCGTCGCGAGAGATTTGAGCTGATTGAAGATGGAGGAAACGAAGCTGAACTTGGCTTTGGCGCGGCCATAAGCCTGGCTCTTGTCGTAGGTAGTTTGATCTACCTCATTTTCGAGCGCCTTGGGACGAGCATTGCGACGATAAACACCGTATTGGCGGTAGAGCAACCAGTTTTCGAGGACGAATTGACCGAGCGAGAAGCCCAGAACCAGCTTCTTCCATGGGAAGAACGGGCGGTCCAGGAAATGCGCCAGGCGCTGCGCAAAATAGTCAGTCTGGTTCGGTGAAGCTGTCACACCATTTACTGACCTGCAGGAACGCCTGGATCATTTTGGCAGTTACGTCTGGACAAGGAAAAACACGACGTGTCAGATGGAGGTTGACAGCTTGAGGACAGGTAGATGGGGCTCGGAGGAGTAAGCACCACCAGCCGAAGCTGAGCCACACGGCGGGAACAGCCACCCACACCGGCGGGGGCCGGCGCCACACAGCAGCCAACGCCTAATTTGCGAAATCACCTGCAACCTGGGCAATTGACACACGGTCTTTTATTTGGTGTGTTGAAGCAGATCAAATTCCAAGGCAGTCCCATCGCCGGACTGCGCCAAACTCCTCTACGAACCTCATTACTCCATAAACGAAGGACATTAAGCGCTGACGACAAAGACGTCTCCATGAACATAGCTCGCAAGTACAGAAAGACCCCACAAAAGGCGCAGAAGCGGAAGCGGAAGCAAGCGACAATGAAGACATCGAAAGACGGATCAAGCTGGGTATAGTTGAATGGGCGCCCCTACGATGATCTTGAGAAGAAGCGAAGAACCGTTGGCGCGGGAAAAAAAAGTAAAAAAAAAAAAAAGTTGGAAGAGGACAGTGGCGAGAACAAAAGAAGGCCAGAGTCTATACGGTATGGTCATGTCTGACGCCCCTTCTATGCAGGACTTCTCCAAGCCCAAGATGATTGCGCGCTTGGCGTGGTTGAGGTGGCTGAGCAGCTAAGCAAGCCGAGACGAGCCGGCGCAAGGCCTCCGATCGTCCGTTCACTCACGCCCTGACTCCGTCAACGAAGGCCTTTCGTAGTGCGGTTTGTTGATTTGTCACACCAACAATTTCTCCGACGTATTCGGTAGATGTATCAACAGCTCAGGCGGCCACAGCAGGCTGGGCGCTACCGTGGGATTGAGCATTGAGGGTGCCGTACATTAGTTGCTGTTGCTGTTGCTGCTGGGCAACAACCTCCCGAGCATAGAATTCCACGAGCATGGTCCCGTACGCTTCCATCTCCTCTAAAGGCACAGCGAGACGGAAATCGTTCAAAAGCAGAAACTGAAGTTCCAAATGATTCAGTTCAACAAGCGGTAGCCCACCGACCTATGCTTTGTCAGAATGGACCAATTCGATGTGCTTTTGATATGCAATGAAGCGGCTTACCTTTGCATATCTCGAGTTTGTGTAAAAGATATCCGAGAAGAATTTGCTCGCGCAAGTTACGCCAGCGATGACTAGGCGGTGGATGTTGAAGCTGTCAACGACGAAAAACTGGGAGAGATTGTAGGGATCACACTCCAAAGGAGGATCTATGTGCTGGGGAGGCGACGGTGGGTGATCTTCTTTCACGGTAGGCTCTGTAGGCTTGGTTGTTTTGCCCAGTGATCCTGACGGCGGAGGTGTGGCAGCTTGAACCTGAGTAGTGATCCTGGCAGGCGAGGAACTGCCATGTGTGGTGGCGGAGATGGAACTGTGCCGACTGCCTTCACTCGCGGCCGCTGCACGTTCCAATGACTGCTGGTTGGCCTGTCGCAAGCTCTGCATTGGCCCCGAATTGACCCGCTCAGTCATGCGGTCGAAATACACCAACAGACTGAGAAAGACCTCGTAAGTAGTGGGACAGTACTTATGTATCCGGCTAAGATAGCTCAAGATGGATATGGTAGGCACGTTCTTGCCATGGAAGGCCAGCACGCTGCTCGTCTGCTGGCTGAGTCCCGAGGCGCCTTCTGGCGGAGGTATTTGGCGATGCAAATGCTCGTGTTGCCTGTCATTGGTGGTGGTGATTTTGGTCAAAAGGCCTGCAACCATCTCTATGATATCCGTGACGGGCATTTCGCTAATCTCGTATTGCGGCCCAACTTCGTTGGGATCCTGACGCGCACGCCGTGCAGCGCGCGTCTGGGAGAAAGGACTCGACTCATCGTTTGCAAAACTCTGTATGTGAGAGAGACTCCGGACCTTTATGCGGCGCGGCTGAGCGGCCGACTGGTCGGTAGCCGATCGCGACTGGGGCGACAGCTGGGATGACGAGCTGGAGGAGGATACGAGCGGCGGCCGTTGCGCGCTGGCAACAGACTGCGTGGGAGTGACCTGGGAGGCATGCGGCTTGAAGCGCGGGCTGGGCGGAGGATGCGACGCGGCGCCTTGAGCATGCGGGACGGAGCGATATTCCGAGGTGGTGGAGTGTGGTACTGCGTCCGACATAGGCGTGTCTACGGCGGCGGAAACGCGAAGGAGAGGGTTGGTCGAGTCGGAGTGGGTCGATCTGGGTTGGACAGGCGCAGCGGGAGACTCGTGGTGCGAGCTTGCACCGAACATATTACTCTGGTAAGGGAAGTGGTTGACCACGTCGCTGATCACAATGGATCCCATACCAGCGTGCCGCGGGTGTGGAGGATCTGACGGCAGAGAAGCGATTAGCCAACGGGCGCGGCCTCGAGAATAGACTGTGGGGAGGGTCTCGGGAGGGGCGGTCAGCGCTCGACGCAGGGGGGTGGGCGTTACGAGTCGTCGACGGCAAAGGGCGATGGCGACGATGCGGCGGGCGTTGCTGCTGCTGCACGGGGGCCGGTCGGGCGGGCAGTGGGGGGAGGGAAAGCGAGATGGCTCTTACCGGCACAACGAGGCGCAGCCGCGAGGGGACGTGGATGGGAAGCGTGTGCAGGATGAGCCCGCGAGCTTGTGCAAAGACAAGGAGATGGCCGACGACGACGGCGACGACGACGATAATGGTGGCAAGCGGGCAAGCGGGCAGATAGAGCGGGAGAGTTTGGGGGAGCGTAGTGTCAAGTGTCGCGCGCCGTGAGATGTGGGCTGCCCGGCGCTTTTGTCTAGGCTCTTCGTCACCAGGCAAGCCCGCAGATCACAACTTGCTTTTCGATGGAGATGCCCCAGGACAACGCAGCTGCACATCTTCGCCGCATTCCACTTCTGTCACTCGATGGCCTCCATGACGCCACCGCGCTGCATTTCTCTATGTCTCCACTACTTGCTGCCCGGTCCCTGGTAGTCCTGGTCCGGCAGGTACAGATGCCGCACCGCGCCCTTGCCCGTCAACACCACCATGCGGATCACACCGCCCGAGCTGCCGTCCCACTTGATGGCCTCGCGCAGCGCGCCCTTGACGAACTCGATGCCCTCGCCCTCCGTCATGCCTTCCTTCCACTTGGCGTCGCAGTATCCGTAGATGTACGTTGAGCCCGAGCCGGCAATCGCGTACGCCTGCTTGTGTAATGAGCCGCCCAGCGGGATCGAGTAGACCTGCCCGCCGTGGCGGTCGTCGTAGCCCGCGATGATGATGCCCGCACTGCCACCGCGTTAGCACGCTTGCCGTGACCACGCCTGCCTGGCCGGCCTTACCTCAACTGGTCCTTGTTCGCGTAGCAGAGCTCTTGGAACAGCGCCGCTGCCGTCTGCGTCGTCGGCTTCTCGTTGTTCTGGATTCCGTACATGCTGAGATGGTATTGGACAATGTCGGCCACGGCCTGCGTGTCGGCCGCCGAGCCTGAGCGGCAGCACCATATCGTGTCGTGCACTTGGGTAAGCTTGTCGGTGACGCGGTTTGCGATGTAGGCACCGGTGGTCGTCCGGCTGTCGGCGCCCAGGATGACGCCGTCCTTGAAGTTGATTGCCATGCTGCGAGGAAGTAAGTAACGAGGCTAGAAGGCGACGGCGAGGGATGAGGCGGCATACATGGATGTTCCGAGGCTGCGGCACAAGGTCAGCGTGAGCAAGGCGGCGGCGGGCTACAAAGAGCACTTACTTGACCTCGCCCTTCTTCAGGTGGTTCATGTCGACATGGATGCCATCTGGGAGCTAGTCAGCGGTGGGAAGGAGGAGGAAGGGGGGTCGAAGAAGGCGACGGAGACTTGCCTTCGGACAGTGCGCCGGTGGGCTGCATGGTGATGGGGTTGGGGAAGAGGATGGGGGAGAGGTAGTGGGTGGTGATGCCAACAGGTCAGGTAGATAGAGCTCCCAAGCATCCAAGCACCCACGCAACAGCTCCCGTCTTAGTCAGCGTAACTTTGGCTCGCGCGGCGCGTTTCGCGCTCTATGCATCCCCACAGTCTTGCTTCCGCTATGGACTGGCGGCACGCCTCGGGCGAGCCATAAACAAAGGGGCGGTGTTGCGCGCAAAGCTCTTCCTCCTCGTCCGCCTGCTCGCTCGTTCCTGGCATGAAGTCTCTCAGGTCTATGCTCGGCATCTCCCCGCAGCTCTTCTCCTTCCCCAAGCAATCCGTGTCGCATGCCAACTCGGAACCCAACGCTGCCATGAGTCCCACAATCATGGACGGTCTGATCTCCTACCTGCGCTACCCCGTCCTGGCCTCTTCAGGCATCGCCGCCCTCCTCAGCGGCGTGCTGTACTTCAAGCAAAAGTGAGCCCGCTCCCGCCGCTCCGCCCCGTCGTCCCGCCAGCTAACCGTCCCACAGCGAAATCATCTATCCGCGCAATATCCCCGCCGGTGCTCGAACCGACGTCCCTCGCCCCTCGCAATTCGGCATCCGCGACTTCGAGGAGCTCATGATCCCCACTCCGGATGGCGAATCCCTCAGCGCCTTCTTCATCCGCCCCTCGAACAAACAGCATGCGCGCAACATAACTTTTCTTATGTTTCACGGAAATGCCGGCAATATCGGCTACCGGCTGCCTATTGCCAAGATTATAGAGGAGGAGCTCGGCTGTAATGTTCTCATGCTGCAGTACCGTGGCTACGGTCTTTCGACCGGCACGCCCAATGAGAAGGGCCTCATGATCGATGCTCAGACCGGCCTTGACTATATCAGGCAACGCGCAGAGCTCCAGGGAACCAAGATCATTTTATATGGTCAGAGTTTGGGCGGCGCCGTTGCCATTGGCCTCAGTGCAAGAAATCAAAAGGAGGGAGACATTGCCGCCATGGTCCTCGAAAACACTTTCACCAGCATCAGGAAGCTGATCCCCAGGTCGGTAACGTTCGATATTTGCATGCTATGAGGGAAACTGACAATTTGCAGTGCTTTCCCGCCCGCCAAATACCTTGCGCCCTTATGTCATCAGATTTGGCCTAGTGAGGAGACGATGCCACAAATCACGGCTGACATCCCGTTTCTTTTCCTCAGCGGTCTGAAAGATGAAATTGTTCCGTAAGTCTCTTGATTTCGCAGTCAATTTTTCGGTGACCTAGGATGTTTTGGGCTTGTGCTGACGCGAACACATAGACCGTCTCACATGACAAGACTGTTTGAGCTTTGCGTGTCAAAATCGAAGATCTGGCGCGAATTCCCGAATGGCAGTCATAACGACACAGTCGCCGAGCCCCTCTATTTTGAGTACATCGAGGATTTCCTCCGCAGCCACGTCCTGAGGAAATCCGTACCAGAGAAAACTGGTCAACCCAGTGTCTGAACGCACGCTCTTACGGACTAACTATGATACCCCGGGTCCGATCTAATTATTTAATATAGGGGCAAGGCCGACCCCATACTTTCCTGAGCAACTTAACGAGCCGGCTCTGTCGAATGAAATACGACGAGCGTCTTTAAGCGCGTGCAAAGACTTCTGCCCAGGGCCGAAGGAGGCAATTGCGCGAAAGCTAGTTGTGGCTGTGAAACCACGGAGGAATGGAAGCATCTGCTTACATTTATGTGGCTTATCGCCGATGCACCAATCTCACGCTACCGGGTGCCGAAGTACATACGGCCGTATGCCGACCTAATTTCGTATACATACCCGAAAGTCGCTTTGGATTTGGCAACTAGGGTCAGCCTTATAGCATTGTTCTCCCCGGCTTTTCACCCGATGATCCTAGCCGGAGTATGTCGATGAGTGCCAATAAAAACCCAGCACTGGTCTAAGCTACTTAAAAGAGCTGGGTAAATGGGCTGTTGCACGGTCCGCTATTAGCGTAGTCGCTGGCAGATTGCCGAATTTTAAACGACCGCTAGTTGTATACCTACTGCTTCATCTGTTAGCACACTATGTACCAGGGAGTAAATACTTGGATCATTAACGTCTTGCGTACGCCTTTAAAGACAATGTGTAGTTCAGATTAAAGATAGACTTTGTACGATGATTAGACTGAGCCACAGTCGCGACTGCTCTCATCGTAAGGAACTACATACGACAGGTTGATATAAGCGCTATTTGTATTTACTAGGTATTGACAACGACTTCATTATTATTTATATTTCAATGATTCCGAGAGATATGGAGGACACTCTACCTCATAAACACCCCGCCACGTGAATCTCCCAAGCCGACTTCCACTTCGCGTGCGTTCTTGACAAGGATCTTATACACGGTATCCGTAGAAACCTGATACCCGGTCTTTGCCCAGCGCTTGTTGAACCAGTCAGCAAGGGCGTCAGAAGACCGATCAAACTCACGGGAATCGTACTCTTTAAGAATTAACAAGACGATCGGCTCATCCGGAAGAGGTTGGGAAGCTTTGCGCGGCATGTTGACAACAGTCTTGTTACAATCGGATGACTACAAGACGTTAGTGGCGGGAAATGGAGACTTACCTTGGTGTTTCGGTACCGATTTCTTTGGACAATAAAATGTACGTGTCGCACAGCGAGCAGTAGATTCGTATGTGCCAAAGTAAGTGAAGTCTTGTTGTCGGTACCGGGGAAAAATCAGGCTCTTCGGTAATGTTAATATAGTCCTGATGTACAGCTTCTTAATCTTGAAAAACAGAATGTCGAATAAAGCCAGCTTGGTTGCAAGTGAACTAGCCCATTGTCTTCCCGACAAAGACAATTATAACAACACAGTCGAAACAAAGCGTGAGATGCAAAGTGACAAGAATAGATATCTTGATTGTACGTCTAGAGATGTACGCTTGGTCTCTAACCAAGATCTGAGCATCAGTTGTCTAACAATGGCACAACAAAGACACACTTGCGCAAAAACCACCAACGCCTTGCTGAATGCAGTGCCCGACAGGACTATGCCTGTGCTTTAACCATGAAAATCTAGACAATTTTAGCTTGTACCGGAGCGGGAAGAAGAGACTATACATACCTCTTTCAGCGCCTGGGGGTCCATGGACGCCATTTTCTTCTGGCGAATGTACCTTTGGCGCACAGCAAGGCGCCCTCCAGCAAAACTAGGAGCAGCCTTAGTCTCCTCCAACGCAACGGCAGAGCCGGCCTTGGGGGCAGCATCTTCTTCGTCTGACGAAGAATCACTGGTCGAATCGTCTTGTGACTTGTCGCGGTTTTTGCGTTCTTTTTCCGCCCGCCTGGCCTCCTTCTTGGCGCGCCTTTCGAGCTTTGCTGCTTTTTTCGCCTCCTTCCGAGCCTTCTTCTCCAGCTTCCGTTTCTTTTTCTCGGACTTCTCATCGCCTGATGTGGCTGTTGATGTGACACCGCTGCTATCTGCTGACAAGGCATCCTTGCTCTTCGAGCGTGATTTGGACCGTTTCTTGGAACGAGCATCGCTGTCTTCCTGGCTGCTATCTTCGGACTCTGCATTCAGATCCGACTTCTTCTTTTTATTTTTCAGCTCCGGTGCCTCTTCTCCAGTGTCTGCGCCACGGTTGCGCTTCCTCTTCTTTGCTGGCTCATCAGTGTCGCGCGCTTCTGATACCAGCTGCATGGCCTTTTCCGTTGAACCAGCACTACTCTTGGGCTTCTCCGACGGTATTTCAATTTTGTCCCCAACCAGGAAACCACCACTGACGAACTGGATGGTGCCCCATCGTTGGCCTTGATATATCTTGAGCTTGAGATCTCTTTGCTGCCCCTCCTCCTTCTTCAGTTCCACGTCACTCTTGCCGTTTAACCTTCCAAGCAAGCCTTGGAATGCGTTCAGTCCAAATGTCTCGGCCTCGGCTTTTCCCCGCTTCGCGCCTAGTCCAAGGGTGTCATCCTTGACAGCGACCCTAATATGCGAGGCATTCGCTGCGGTGTAGTGTTCAGAATGCGCCGCGTCTTTAGCTCCGAGATAGGATCCAGGCTGCCAGCCTTGCGCTACCAGGATTTTATGTCCAAAGCGGTCCGTGGAGCGGCTCCATGCTGTGTTATTCGGATCAGCCGAGATTTTCGTGCGACTAAAAGGTGTCAGTAAGATGGCGATGGGGACGCGACAAGAGAAACCCACTTCTTTGGTCCGGCGAGGCCCATGGTGGTGTGTTAGTGAGCCTGCAGAGCGACGTGAGCGCGAAAGGAAATTTTGGCGGCGAGATATCCAATGGAGGTACCTACATTGGCTTCCGGACTAATATTTTACCCGAGCGCCCCGGACCCTTGAGGTGCCCGGAAGGTTCATCCCGCTTTCCACCGCCATCTAACTCTACCACCTACCTACCCACATTCCAGCTTCAACCCCGCGAACAGTGAAAGCCAAAGATGGCGCCGCGCAATGTCATTGATAGTAACATGCATGGCGCCAATTCCGACGCGCAGGAGCTAGATTCTAGTCAGGTCTTAGATGACATGTTCATGGCCGTACGTCTGTTATCTGTCTACGCGCCTCAACACGTAACGTCGCTTGTCTCTGTTGACAGAATGGATTAGGCAAGTCACCGCAGAGCCGTGAAGCGCGAGCAAGCGCAAGTCAACTACGAAAAGCGCAAGCTGCGTCTCCGTGCTGAGGTCGAAGCTGCCTTCTCCCAACATGAGAAGCAAGTGTAAGTCAACAGTATCGCCGCAATTCGCGCGTTGTCTGGGCTATCTACCGCTCGATTCCTGCTAATTTTCTTTTGAAGTCGGGAGTCTCAGAAGACGCAGCTCAAACGTCTGATGAGTCTTCTTGAACGGAGAAATGAAGTTGAGAAGCAACTCTGGGACAATGTGCAGACGATACAACGAGCTTATGTTGCTCACACTCACGAACTCCAACTCGTGCTACGTGAACGGGTTGCCGAGACATTTTCGGGCACTCAGTCGGTTGATGAGCATGGTCCAGTTCGGCACGATGATCAATCGGAAATCCCAAGATGATCGCCTCGGCAACCCTGACTTGAAACTCGCGGACCAGCGTGATTGGTCGTTGAGCTAATTTCAAAGGGAGCATGTAATCCACTTGGGGTACTGGCGACCCGCTGCCTCTCACCGTCTGTTCCTAACATGGGTATAACCAAATGGCTTGTTCCCGGCATGTCGCCAAAAAGGGCAACAAGCTGTTCGCGCCAGCAGGTTTCACAGAGAAGCCCTTGCTCTTCATTTCGGCTGCCGAGGAGGATGCAGATCTCCATGTGGGGTCATGTGGAGGACGCGGTTAATAAGTCCGATCAGGTCATCTTGCGTGCAGACTGACGACTTGGGAACAAGGAACGGGTTCAGGGTGTCACAGTTGCAGTGGAGTGGGGGTTAACGGGCAAACCAGGGTGCAATCTTATGGATAGTACGAGCACATATGTAGGCAGTGAAGACGTGACATGTCGGGAGCGAATCGGCAAGGCCGCGCACGGACGGACGGATTCAAGACAACATGGCAAGATGGGATTTTGCGAGAAAGCCGATGCGGGCGAGTCAACGAATTGGGGCCTCGGCCGTGTTTCGGGCCGCCAGGGTCTCGGGCAGGGCCGCGCTAAAGCCTGGCGCCACAGGCGGTCTGGGCTTCGCTGCTCGTCCTCACGTCGTCCATCTCGTGCGACTGGTCAGCGGCTCGACGGGCCTTGTGCTAGCTCTAGGCCGCTCTGCCCTACGCCTCTCGCAGGCCTGGAGCCATGTGCGACCTTACGCCACGCAATCTAGTTTTCACAGATCGTCTGATTCTTTATACCGGCGTGTGCACTGTGCAGCTCCACCTACTCGTAGGCAGTTGCAGATAGCAGCCACTCACCATGTCTCCGAGATTGTCGCTCCAATTCTGCCCTGTCTCGGGACGCCATTTCGTCATGGCCCGCCGTGGCTGGAGATTTCACGCGGCTCGGAGCGTGCATGCTAAAAAGTCTTGGATCTACCGTAATTACCTGCAACGTGACAGATGCTACAAGGCTTTCACACCATTCGTCGCCTCATGTATATGAAAGCAGCATGAGGGCAAATGCATCCCTGAACCTGCAGGAAGAAAAAATGGCGCCAGAAGTAGTGATATCTTTCTGAAACAAAACGCCCGAGCGATGCATTGACTGGACTATAATGATGTGCAACGCAAAACGAAGTGGAAGTTCTCGACGAACAAAACCATGAAAAGCAATGTCAGAGCGGCATGCGTATCGGCTGGGCCGGCATATGCATCATTGGGACCATTGGGGGACCGGCCGTCGAGGGACCCAATCGGTGGAACATCTGGATGAGCCGCTTGCCCACGGATGTCTCAAGCTCCGTACCGTCTCTTGCAATCTTGACCTCTCTATTGGCGTTCCATGGATTGCGTAGCCCTCTCGTCCGGTAGAACGGAAGCCTGTTGGTCGAGAGCCATTCAACTTTGAAAGGCTTACCCCAAGCCTGAGAAGGGTTTGATGCATCGGAGGTCACTGACTGTGCTACGCCGTCAACTTTGTCTGCATCTTCTTCATCAGACTGGTCTGCCTCCCAAAAGATAGTCCCACGGGCAGAATCATCAATGACTCGCCCTTTCGGCGCGTACTCGGTTGCAGGAGTCGGTATGGATTTCGGGTTATCCACAGCTTCGGAAGCACGCGTTTCAGGAGTCGAGTTTTTCAAGACGGTCGCATCTTCAGCAATCGGTGATGCCATGCGCGCATATCCAAAATATTCCCCTGATTTGTTGGCAGAGAAAATTAGATAAACGTTTTCAGCAGACTGTCTGACATATTAGCCTCTTCCTGTAAAGCTCGTTGAAAATCTTGTACCTCGTAGGCTTCATTAAGGGCCTGCTCGTTATGAGCTTGCGTCGCCCAAGTTCCATTCCGAACACTCAGTTCGAGATCCTGCAGTGTTAGGCTCTTGACGATGAAAAACTTTTCAGCTACCTTCGTTACACTGTCGTGGCGCTTATCTAGGCCGTCTACGGCAGGCGGCTCTCCCCTCTCTATGCCATTTTCTTCATCCAGGTTGACAGGTGTCACTTCAGGGGAGGCATTTGACTGGCGTGGAACAGACATGGCAGAGGGACCCGTTGGTACGCCAGATGCAGGAGCCGCGCTCCGGCGAAGGCGGCAAACAAGCCGGACACCGTGAAACCGGGAATCGTGGAACCTGTGCATCGCCGCTGTGCACGAGGCTTCGGTCCGATAATTGACAAAGGCACAATTGCTTTTCGAAATCAAAAAAAGACTCTCGATATCCTTGGTGGCATCGCGCGAAAAGTGATCCTTCAGGTCCACAACGGTTGTTCCCGGTGGTAAATTTCCGACCCAGAGAGCGTGTCCAGACTGCTTTGGTTTCCTAGGGGGGCCCCGAGGTATGGCGGTAAGACTTGCATCTGAACCAAATGCATAGAGAGCTAAATTCCAAGTCAGCCTTGCGCAGGTATCGACATGCTCTTACAAATATGACTGACCAGGACCAGTTCCTAGCGCAGCGGGGGCGCCTGTGCCCGAATCTCCGACAATGCCCTGGGCAACGACACTGCCATTCATGTTGAGATAGTTCCTGGCTATCATGGAGCCATCAGTGTGATAACTGCCAGGAGCCGTTGACAGACTGGCCCTTCTTCCATCCATTTCGACCCGCGGGGCAGCATAAGCAACGGCGGATTGGGACATGGAGCCCGGATTTCCGTACGGCGGGGCATAGTACATGTATTGCGGGGGTTGATGTGAATAAGGGGCATACGGCTGCGGCAGTTGAGCAGGTCCAATGGCACGCTGCTGGCCTGGAAGGTATGTGTGGTAGGCGGTTGCAAACTGCGAAGGAGCGAAACCAGCGCCGAAAGACGGTTGAGAGGCGTAGCCCATTGCTGCCTGACCTGGATACTGCGATATTTGTTGGAGTTGGTATACAAGCGCTGGGGTAGAAGCACCTGTGACGCCGCGCTGAACCGGTTGGACAGGTGTGGGCATGGCGTGGCCGGCAATAGTGGTAGAATAGTCAGGCAAAGCACCGGCGACTGCGGTCATGTTGAATACCGGCGGACTCGGGCCTTGAGCGGAAGGTAGTGTGTAGGCGTAAGCGTTTTGCTGGCGGAAGGGGCGTTGGACTTCTAGTGATGAATTGGGGTCTGGCAACGAGCTGTATTGAGAATGGAAAGGCGCGGCGGTTGTGGGATAGGTCGAGTTGCTGGCGCAGCCAGGGCTTGGTTTGGAGAGCAAGCGAGCATCTTCGTGGGAAGGCGTAGAGTCGACGGGCGGGACGACGCCGTCAATCGACACATCGCCCATTTGTTCCTCGACTATCAATGGCACGGCAAGCCACTGTTGCACCCACACGTGGGCCATGTTAGTCCATTGGCTCGCAAGCAGAAGAGAGGACGAGATGATGAGTAAAGCAGCATTCTGAAGCAGACAGGCCTCTAGACAACATACCCAAATCTATATCCTGCGTGGCAAGTCGGGAGTACGTAGTAGAGACGATAGCCAAGCCAAGTAAGAGGGCAAGGAGGGCAGGATTTAAAAAAAGAAGCAGAGACAGAGCGGGAGACGATCACTGGCGGGCACGGCGCAAATGTACGAGTAAAAGGTCGTCTGGAGCGGGTCGAGGCTGATCAAGGTGCGCCGGGCCAGTGAGGGCGCGTGCAGGTTGGAAACGGTGACAACGGTTGACCTCTTCAGGGCCGAGGCGCGGGCCCGTCGGCGGCGGGAAGTGATGCTCACTCGATCATGTTGTGGCAAGCTAGGTCCCTTGCGCCTCGGCCTCAGGAATGGATGTTGGCAGTGCAACGCCACAGCTGCTGGGGCAAGGGATGCCGGTCGAGGGCCGGGAGTCATCTCCGCCGCATGGAATGCCACGACTGGAGGCCGATCGACGCCTCCTGATGACGATCCCGTGTGGCGACGAGTCTCGGTGAGCACGCGAGGCGCCTGCGCCCACGCACCACTGTGGCGAGCCATCCCCCCGCGGTCCGGTCTAGAGCCACCGCGTCACCTGACGACGTGTGCGCGCGTGTGTCTGCTGCCTACTGTACGGATTACCTCTCTAGGTATTGAAGCCACCTCTGCTTACCTACCTACCTACTCTACCCAACTACCACCAACAACAATGCTGTTACTTGACGTGCACGCTCTCGCCGACCCCCTCACCGACGAGCCACTCCCGCCCGCAGCCCTGCCCGGCCTCTTCCGTCGCCGCCACCAGCCTGAGCCGCCGGCAAAACGGCGGCGCATCGACCCGACAGAGGACAGCGCGTGCCTGGTGAGAGTACGCCTCCAACTGGTGCGTCTCCTTCGCTGTCCCCTGCCCGCAATCTCCTTGCACTAACCAGCCCTAGCGCTTTGCCGGAGCCTCGTTCCCTGCCGCGGCCCCAGACTCCACTGGTACTGGTAGGAGTAATGTTTTGCTCAAGTCGGCCTCCGATTTGCATTTGACTTTCTCTTCGCCCGACAAGCCTGCCACGGATGTCTGCGTCTCTTTTACGTCGCACCAGTTGTCACAACCGGCTCTGCTCCACCTGCAAGCCATCGCCAAAGTGGCTTCCCGGGACCTGTCAACCAGAAAGCCGGACCCGACGCCTCTGTGGTCCCGTGTCGTCTTGCTTCATCCGACATCCATCGAAAAAGACTTTTCCGTCACCAACGAGATCATTCTCGAAGCTCAACTTTTCTGGAAGCTCGGGCTCTTTAGCGAGAGAAAGTCTTCTAAGCGTCGGGGAGCGGACTTGGGGGCCGAGTTGCTCCGCACCTACTTTCCGCAGGAGTCGGAAGTCCAAACGTCATGGTTGGTCAAGGATTTCTACGATGTGGTTCACGTGCCGCCCATGGACTCTCAGGCCGTGCATGACATACCCGAAGGCCTCATGAGTTGTCAGTTATATCCATTTCAAGCCAGGACCGTCAATTGGTTGCTTGAACGGGAAAACTTCGATTTTGCGGACAAGAAGCCCCTGAACGTTGGTGAACGGTCTTCCCAAGAGCTCCCATTGTCATTCTATTCTGCTCGTGATTACGACGGCAGTCCATGTCTCGTTAGCCACCTCCGACGTATCGTGATCTCTGACATTACCGGCTTTCCCAAAGAAGAGGACGTCAGAGGAGGGATACTGGCAGAAGAGATGGGCTTGGGTAAAACTATTGAACTCGCCATGTTGATCTGCCTACATCGCCGAACACTGCATAAAAGGACGGTTTACGATGCTTATACTGATTCCGATGTCGCAGCGTCCGGAGCTACTCTCATAATCACTCCACCGTCCATTCTTGACCAATGGATGAACGAACTTAACCGCAATGCACCACATCTCAAGGTCCATCACTACAAGGGCATAGGAACGCTAAAGGAAGAGGATGAAGAACATGCCATCCAAGACTTACTCGGTTATGATGTTGTGTTGACGACATATAATATCCTGTCCCGCGAGATTCATTTCGCCAACACAGCACCATCCCGCGACCTTCGGTATGCAAAGGTCTACAAGCCTAGGCGCAGCCCTCTCGTCCAAATATCATGGTGGCGGTGTTGTTTGGACGAAGCCCAAATGATCGAAACCGGAGTCTCTGCAGCTGCTATAGTGGCTCGTCAGATACCCAGAATCAATGCTTGGGCCGTCTCCGGAACGCCGCTTCGAAAAAACTTGCATGATCTGTTCGGGCTTCTGATCTTTTTACGTCAAGAGCCTTTTTGTAGTAACAAGGCGCTCTGGGACTGCATTGACAAGCGCACTTTCAAAGAGCTCTTCAGCCGGATTGCTTTACGACATTCAAAGGACCAGATCCGACACGAGCTACACTTGCCACCTCAAAGGCGAATCATCATGCGCATGCCTTTTTCGGCCATAGAACAGGCCAACTACGATCAACTTCTGCAGCAGTTGCATGAGGAATGTGGATTGACCCCTGAAGGTGCTCCCGCACGTGAAGACTGCGATGTCAGTCCAGAGAGGCTTCGGCCCTGGTTAACTAGACTGCGACAAGTCTGCCTCCATCCCCAAGTAGGCGGAAGAAACAGACGAGCCTTGGGAAGAGGCAACGGACCTCTGCGCACAGTCAGAGAGGTTCTGGACGTCATGATTGAGCAGAACGACGTGCAAGTGCGAGCCGAGCAGCGCGATCATATTTTGGCGCAAGTGCAACGCGCACATATCATTTGCAACGCAAGGGATAATGTCCAGCGGAGCCAGCATGCGCTCGGTACATACATGTCAGCTTTGAATCAAGCTGAGTCAATTGTTGATGAGATCCGCCGGGAACTGGCCACGGAGGAAAGCACAACAGATGCCAAGCAATCCATTTTGGCAGGAAAGGGAGCCTCAGACAACTTCTCAGACGTTGAGGATCAGGATGACGAGCAATCAAAGCACACACGCAATGCTACATTGCGTAAGGCGCTTCGGTACGCCTTGGAAGTACAACACATATGCGCTTTTTTTGTTGCTACAGCCTACTATTTAACAAAAACGAACAAGGATCTCACTAAACCCGAAACAGAGGATTCTTTTGAGCTCTTAGAAGCTCAGTACTACGACAAGGCCAAGTCTATCCGCAAAGAACTTCTTCGGGAGAGCCATTCAAAGTCTGAAACAATCATGCGGAAAATAAGCCTTTCGAAAAACAAGGTAAGCAACTGCTTTCGTCTTGCAATTATGCATAGTATCTTCCAGAGATCAAGCCATCTGGTTGAACTGGACCTTCATTTTCTATCATGACCGGAGTCGTGGAGAATGAACAAATACATACGTTCAGATCCACTTTAAAAATCAGTCTCTACGCAAATTTGGATATGTTGTCAAGCGCTTCCAATTTCAAGACACGGCCCCTTGCAAATACCTACCTACTACCTTGGACGTTGGGGAGTTGCGACAGCTTAAGGGACCTTTGCATCTTGAGACAGCACAAGCTCTTCACAAACAGTCTTTATGCTTTTGCTTTCGAATCTGATGTCTTAATGGCACCGTTTAAAGCCCGTGTACTGAAACACTGCCAATTACTTCGGAAGACAGTCTTTGTTAACTCAGCTAACGGGCTGTCTAGGTTATAATCACTGCGATCACCGATTTTGAAGACTACGGTGGCATAGAAAGCCGCAGAGTCCTCGATAAATTGGACCATCTTGTGTCGATTATGGACAAACAAGGTCAAATGCTAGGTGATTTACGCGCGAACGTAGTTGCAACGTTGTTGCTGCCTCTTATTGATGAAGACGAAGGCAACGAGACGACTGGAGCCGAATACGAGGAATCTACGCAGGCGCAAGATAAACTACAAGTACACCTAACAGTACTTCGGGCTGTTCTTGCCGACAGAAATCTTGCACTTACAGGCCAACCGAACTACAAGATCCGTAAGGAAACTGAACACTCGCAAAATCAGGCGAAAGAGGGCAGGGGACCATGCCCAGAACTATTGTTGCGTTTATATGCTGAGCGGGACCGTCTGAAGCCGACGGTTGAGGGTGATTCTCTGCGGAGTGTCATCTCGGAGTTGAAGAGCATTGCAACTTCTCTGGATGGGTCTGCAGCAAATAAGAATACGAGAGCCATGGCAGAACTGGCTATCGTTGAAAAGCAACTCGATGAGATACAACGAGTCTCATCGCAAGAGTTGAAAAGGGTTTTGGAATTTGAGAAAGAACTGGAACTCTACCGCAATGGCATGAATGCGCGCGTGGAGTTCTATCGTCAGCTACAACACATTTCGGACACGGTTGCCCCTTACAAAGAAGACCTCGATGAGAACCTAGACCGAGCAGCGCTGGACGCGCAGGTTTTCAAGGAGAGCAAGGCTGCCGACCGAGTTGCCTCTCTCAAGACGAAGCAGAGATTTCTGCTCAATCTGAGGAAAGAGTCTGACGAACAGCAAGGGCCCCGTCTCTGCGTCATTTGCCAGTCTACCTTTGACCTTGGCGTGCTCACCGTCTGCGGACATCAGTTTTGCAAAGATTGCATAACGTTCTGGTATCGGGACCACAAAAACTGCCCGCTGTGCAAACGGAAGCTCTCCCTCAGGGATTTCTATGAAGTTTCGTTGAAAGGACAGGAGCTGCGTGCACATGAGGAATCGCAGCCGACGGCAAAGTCGAGTGTTGTTTCGGCGATGGCACATTCGTCCATTTACTCGGAAATGAGCCAGGCCGCGGTCGACGAGATCAAAGCAGTAGAGCTTGAGGCATCGTTCGGCACAAAGATCGACACGCTTTGCAAACACATTCTCTGGATCCGTGAGAGTGATCCGGGCTCTAAGTCGATAGTATTTTCGACTCATGGCGACTTCTTCACGGTGCTCCAAGACGCATTCCGGAAGTTCAAGATTGGCTTCTCAAGCGTGGGGCAAAAGGGCGGCACGGAGAGATTCAAGGCCGACGTGGCCATAGAGGCGTTCCTCTTGGACGCGAAGACGGACGCGTCGGGCCTCAACCTCACGTGCGCGACGCACGTGTTCATCTGCGAGCCGCTGATCAACACGGCAATTGAGCTGCAGGCGATAGCGCGGGTGCACCGGATCGGGCAGCAGCGGGCGACGACGGTGTACTGCTACATAGTGGCGGGGTCGGTCGAGGAGCGGATATACGCGCTGTCGGTGGAGCGGCGCACGGCGCACCTGCAACGGGTCGACGAGCGGGCGGTCGAGGCGGCTGAAGCACTGGAGCTGCAGCAGGCGCCCAACGTGCGGGCGCTGGTGGAGAAGAAGGGCGGCGGCGAGGTGGTGGGCCGCGACGACGTCTTTAGGATCCTCTTTGGCGCGTAGTTGGACTAGGCACGAGAATGCAGATTGGCGAGAGGCTTGGCGAGGCTTGTTTGTGCACCCGTCACCCGTTCTCGCCTTCCCCAGAGCCCAGAGCCCACCAACCCCTCGCACCCCCCCAAGCTTATATACGCCCCCTGCCCTCTCCCGCCCTCCTGTTCCACCGCCTCTTCTCGTCGCCTTGGCATCTGCATCAGGATCATGTGAGAGAGCATGCCTCCCACCACGGCCCGCCCCCCGTCGACGTCACTGTTCGCGCGCATCAAGTCGCCCTTTGGCCCAAAGGCCCGCAGCCTCGCCGAGTACTACATCAAGCCCGACGACCCCCACCGCCAATACTCGCCCGGCGACTGCATCACCGGCTGCGTTGTCCTCAGGGTCGTCAAGCCCATCCGCGTCACCCACATTGTCGTCTCGCTCCATGGCTTCGTCCAGGTCTACAAGGCCCCCAACTCGCCCGGCGACGGCTACCGTGCCCACTATGCCTCGATAGCATCGGGAAGGGGGAGCCGCGTTGGCGGCTATTTCGGCAACGGCTTCGCCTCGCTGTTCGAGGATGAGGTCGTCCTCTGCGGTGAGGGCCGCCTTGGCGAGGGCACCTACCAGTTCAACTTCGAACTCGTCTTCCCTAGCAAAGGCCTCCCCAGCAGCATAGACGTAGGACCATGCTCCTCTCGCCACTGCCTCCGCTAACCTGTCGACAGTTTGAGAGAGGCACCATATCCTACATGTTAACTTCCACCGTGACACGGCCCACCACCATCATGCCGACAACTTCGTGCGATAGGAAGGTCTACCTTCTCGAGAATGTCGACATCGCTCCTCTTTTCCGGCCAAAGCCACGGGTGGTCACCCTGGAGCGCGTATCACGCCGTTCAAAAGCAAAGAGCAAGGTCAAGAAAGGCGTGTCGTCGAGTACAGACCATACAGCAGCCCTGACGCCTACGGATTATTCAAGGAGCAGCCGGGTATCCGAGTTGGGCAGTACTGTTGACGATGTAGAGGCTCCAGGGAGCCCCGCGCCAAGCGACACTAGCTTCGACAGTCATTTAAGCAGTAGCGGTGCCGGCTCGTCCAACGGATCCAATGCAAAAGGTCCAGATCTTGGCACGGCTAGTGCCGGAAAACCAGCTCTGGGCGACAAGCATCCCATCACAGCGACGATAGAACTCTTGAAGGCTGGTTTTCTCCGTGGCGATACCATACCGCTCAAAATCTCTATAAAGCATACCAAGCATTTTCAGAATCTCCGCGGCATCATTGTTACACTTTATCGACAGGCGCGTGTGGACATGCACCCTGCCATTCCTGTCGTCATGAACGCCAAAGGTGAAAAAGTACAGAACGAGGACTACTACCCCAAGTCGAAGACAGGCCTAGGAGGTCTGTCTCTTTCCTCTGCTGGATCGACGCATGTCTATCGGAAAGACCTTTCCCAGTCATTTGCACCCCTCGTCGTGGACCCGCGCACACGTACTGCAGAGGTCAAGGCCGTTGTGCGCGTTCCGGACGACGCCTTTCCAACCATCACCACTGTTCCTGGGGCAATGATCAGTTTCAAATATTACGTTGAGGTGGTTGTTGATTTGCAGGGAAAGCTTACCGGCCTCGACAAATACTTCTCAAACTCGGGCATGATGCTAGGTGTACCCGCATCATATAGCAATGCTCCGGCGACCGGCCGAGCCGAGGAAGCCACTGCCAGTGTCTACGCCGCTTGGGGAGGCCACTTTCTGGACACGGAACCGCTTCGGAGAGACAAGGGAGTTGTATCTTGTGTGTTTGAAGTCATCGTCGGTACCAAAGACAGCGATCGACGTAAAGGGAAGCGTAAAGCCGATCCAGGGACTGAGTTCGAGCAAACACCCACTGAAGCAGAAATCCACGACGCACAGCCCAGTGACGAGGATAATCTAACTAGACACATTGTCTTATATTCAGACCACACACCCCAGTATGAGGCTGCGCAACGCGACAACCAGTCTGCGTACCCTCGCCCTGAGTCGGTCGACGAAGATAGCCTACCTGAAAAAGAACGCCTACGCCGTACAGAAATGCGCCTTCTACCCAGTCAGCCCCCCCAGGGCGAGGCTTCCAGTGTGGCTGCCCTGCATACACCTTCTGCGCCAATTCTAACAGAGCATGATGCACCAGCGCAGCTAGCATACCGTCTGCATGCGGCACCTGTTGCTGATGATTCGGTTGCCGCGGGTCCCTCTGCTCCTCCGTTGTCTGCACTCGACGACAATGCCGGCGAAATGCGACAGTCACATGCGCCATGCTATGAGGAACAGCAAAGCCCACAGGCAACGCATCAAGGCATGTCTTCCGCTACAGATGACAAGCATGAATTGCAACGGCGCAGATTAGAAATGGAGCGAAGTTCTCCCCAAAACGATCCTGAGGGAGACTTGGAGGCGGGGAGAGAACAGGCTAATGTTTCATCGATTGCCCTTACCCCGACCGCGCCTATATTCACAGAAGGGTATGTTTTATCTGCTGAACATTCGATTGATTTGCCGAGATACGAGCGGTGATTGGGATTGCGGCGTTCTGGCGTGTTTTTCTTGGGAAATCGATTCTTGGCGCATGATTTTGTCGGCTTTTGGAATTTAGCTGTTCTGCATGGGCTCTGGTTTGGTTTGTTGATACCCTAGCCCGGCCATGGTGGCATGGGCTTGCAATATGATTGGGGAATGACGAGAACGGAGCATATCACTAGCGTTGTGGAGTCTGCTCGGAAACTATGTACGGAGTTGCTTGTAATGGTCACAAGTCGAGTCAGTAAACTTCTCACTTGTCACTGAACTAGCTGATCCATTCATTCATCAGTGATTCGGCTGGGGGATGGCCACATCTGAACAAGAGGTGTTCTCCCGCTTCCTTGCGTTGTTTTCATCTTAGTCGACAAATCTGAAGGCCTGCAAGCACAAGGATATCTGCACTGCTGGTCCACCAATTGCAATGCTAGGTCAGTTCTTTTGCTGTCCTGACCCGTCCACATCGAAGAGGCATACGACCAGTCAAGGCCAAGCTCTCTACCCATCATCGGTCGGATTTGCGTAAATGAACTGACATATAGCTGGTACCAAGAGAAAAAGTTGGTTGGCTGTGGACATGCCTGACCAACGGCTTGATTGGAGACAATGTAGGGAGCGGGGCAGACAGACGATTGGTCAAGCGAGCCCACGGCCACGGCGCTTAGACGCACGATCTTCGCTCGTGCTAATTATGGAGCCACCGTTGTGATTCGTTAGCGGCTGTTCTGTTCTTTACTCCAACTCCATCTCGAAGCATCAGTGGAACCCCCACCCAATCCGGGAAAAGTTTGTGGGACTCAGTGATGCAGAGAGGTACTGTCATTGCATGTCCACACAGACCTTTCAAAGGGGGAAAATGCAAGAAAACAGAGCAGTAGTATTTACATCCCAACCTCTTATTGGATCCAGCTTTCTCATTCCTGGTGGCTGGGATGACAGTGAAAAAAGGAAAAGAGAAAAAAAAAAAAAAAGAGGGGAAACCCAATAGCGCCTATTTTCGCGCTCTTTTTTACACAAGTCCAATGGATTGCAGGCCGCCACCGATCCGATATCCCGTCGGCATTTCATGACACTATCGTTAAGGGCGGGGAAACGCTCGTGCTACAGAACTCCAAAATGTCCAATAAAAAAGGGAGCGCCAAGTTTCGTTCGTGAGTGCCATTAATTCGTTGTAAGCCTCCTCTAGACCCAATGAAAAACACCAAGGCTATTGCATTATGAGAAATATGGTGGTTGGCTGATAAGAAAAGAGAAGTGATCGCACCAGGTCCGGCACCGAACCCTGCCCGGAGAATGGAAAGCGTTCCTCGTGGGACGTCGGAAGTGCGTAGATCGTGTTGATCGCGAGCGCGGCGCATCGCTTTCTCGGCGAGGCATGGTTAAGCGATCGCGCAAGGCTGCATGCTGGCCATAGCAAGCGGCGGAGTAGGTGGAGAAGTGTAGCCATGCGGCGTAGCCGGGTCGTGCGTAGGCATAGGCCCAGAGAAGAGGTTCCATGTTCAGGTAATGGACCGAATAGAGGCGTGACCCGGAACTACTTGATTCGTCGCCGCTTGCCCTTGGGCGCAGGATCCAGTTGCGCAACGTTGCTTGCTTCGAGCGGGGAGCGGGAGTAGGTCACTGTCCGCGTGACGACTTGTCTAACGCTAACTGCGCGCGTCGAGCTGCCGTCCCTGGCTTTGCCGTCTAAGCTCCAGACGCCGGGGCTCAAGGCCGCGCTGTAGGGCGAGTGCAGCGAATGGGCACTCATGGGAGAGCGGAGGCCCGCAGAGAATGGGCTCTGAGGAATGCGTAGACGAGGAGTGCGGGCAGAGAGGGGCCGTGGGAAAGGCGAAGGCGGCGGGACTGTCACTCGCATGTCGCTGCGGGCAGACGAAGGGGCAGGAGCGGAAACGGGAGCGGAAACGGGAGCGGGATCGGGCTTGGAACAGCTGCTTGCCCTCGAGGAAGGCTGCGAGGTTGCGGGCGAGTCTGGCTTGTCGGCAAAGGAGAAGGAGGCGCTGGTGGACGTCGGGGCCGGGCTCATGAGGGCGAGAAAGTCGACGTAGGCCGGCGGGGGCGTAATGGGCGTCTTCTCGCCGTCATCGCGCTTGAGGAGCGAGGGGCTGCACAGCTCGGAGGGGTAGGTGGCCGAGACGGGCGTCTTCAAGGGCGGCAGGACGGGCTTTGCGGTAGAGGTGGCCATGGTGGTGGAGGAGTGGGCGAGTGAAGCATCATCATCATGGCGGGCGGTAGAGGTAGTTTATGTGTGCCGTCGCAGCTGGCGGGGCTCTGGTTGGCGCCGGTCGGGTGAAACGCGCGGGCAGCGCTGATTCGGCGGGCGTAGGCGCGCGACTAGACGCCCGCCGCTATCTACCAATCACCCCGTCGCCCACTGCGATCGTGGGGTGCTGGGCCAGCCGCGAGGCCAGGCATGCGTGCTGCCCGAAAAACACCTTGCCTGCTATCCGCCGCGTCTTCGCCAGCGTCACAAAGGGCTCCTCGTCCCGCCGCGCCGTCTGCTGGTCGATGCACACCATCTGGCAGCGGCGGCAAGCCCCCAACAGCTCCAGCTGCTGCTGGCCTATCTGCACCCCATGCCATCCGTCTTCGGCGTACGCTTGCTCGCGCCCAGGCGCCCGCTCCGCCAGCACTATGTTGGCGCGAAACACCTCCGCTGCCGCCGCCTTGCCGCCGTGCGCCTTGATCTGCTCGTTCAGCCGGTTGAGGCTCGACCGCGACACGATGAGGATTGGGCTTTCGTTCGACAGGAGAATCGGCCGCTCGACCTCCGGGAAGGCCCCTGGCATCTGGCGCTGCTGCAGATGCGCCTTCGAGTGCCGCGCAGATGCTCCTGCCGCTGGGAACCGCGCCAGTTGGCAACCAACTCCCAGCACTTGGCTGAAGAAGCCGTTGATCCTGGCCGACGAGTACCTCTGGGCGCTTACCACGTCCCCGCAGACTCGCGTCGTGGGCTGCTTGACCTGGCCGGCTTCTGGGAAATACGAAGGATCCGCCGACAGAGGCACGCTGATCTCGTCGCTGCTGCCAGCATAGCGTACTCGCAGGCAGCCCTGTTCGAGGTCGATGGTCGGTCGTAGCAGAGCCATTTTTGGATAGCGCTTTTGGCTCAGGGCTGCGCCGGTGCCTTGATGCACCAAGCACCACTCCCGGTCCCAAACAAGGCCTTCCTCGCGAACTTCCCACGCTACGCCCGAAGGCACTTTCCACCCGGCGCAGCTTTTGATGGGGTACACAGTCAAGCTCTCTACAAAGAACGGGCTGGTACGCAGCGAAACCTCGTCGACCACTGGGCTCCGTGGCATTGGTGCCACGCTCGTTTCCAAGAAGAACTCTTGCACAAAACCAACAAAGGCATCCACGTCATCAACGGTGCTGGAGGCTCCTAGACTGACGCGTATCATTCCAGTGGGCTTGCCACCCATGATGTCGTTCTCATTGCCGCATCGCTGGCCAGCAGAAAAGTTTTGCTTCATCTCCCATGGCGACAGGCTGAGAGAGGAGGCGATTCCGCCAGGGTTACACAGCCCTCCAGTCCTCAGGTGTATGTTCTTGACAGACGCCAGCTTCTCTACCTCGAAATTGCTGGTCCAGACTCCTAGACTGTTCCGAATATTAAAGGCAACAATCGGACCCTGTTTGGAAGGATCGCCATAGTCGGAAGATCGATTGGTATACAGTTCGCAGACAAGCGAACCGTTGGCATGCCGCAAGGCGGATAGACCTTCGTATAGTCTTTTCGCTAGAAATGCGGTATGGCGCGAAATTTGCTCAAGTGACCCAAAGAGCTCACGCTGTACATCCATGGCGGAGTGAAGAGCCAAGATGTTATGAATCGGCAACGTGCCATCTTCCAGTTGGTCATGAAGCGATTCCGTCTTTTTTGCATGCCACTGTTCCTTCAGACATACCACCATGTCCACGGTACCGCCCCCAAAGTAGCGTCTCTTTCCAAAAATATGCCCAGCGGCTTTTCGTATTACGAGTGCTCCGAGATCCGGAAAGCCAAAAATCTTATACAAGCTGAGGACTGTGAAGTCCGGGGCTGTCTCGGGATTGCTAAGATCCAAAGGCGATGTAGAGAGCAAGGCCGCCGCATCGAGCAGAGTGAACGCCGCCCGGGAGTCACCTCTGGTCGGAAACCGGACCATTTTACACCAATCAAGCGGCAGGCGACGTCCGTTCATGTTTGACTGGGCCGGGTAAGCGAACAGAACCGGCGAGGAAGCTGTAATCTTCAGATGTTGCTCGTGTTGTAGCCACTCATTAGCATCATCATCAGAGGCAAGGCATATATGTTCCCTTGCCACTTCGCGCACACCGACGAGACTCGTGTGGCAATCTTTATGGTAAGCGTAGGAAAACCCCCCTGGCTGTTCGCGAAATGCCTCTGCGACCAACTTGACTCCAGCAGTTGTATTCGCTACGAACACCACATCAAAGTCTTCTGGGTCTGCATGAAACATTTGTAGAAGGCGCAGCCTGGCGTCATCGATGCGGCGTGCGGAGAGCTGCGAAGGATGGGAGGCGGAATGTGGATTGCCATAGAGGTTGGAGATCAAGTCAGCAGAGAAGCGTTCAATCAACGATTTCGGATACAAAGCAGTTCCGGCATGGTCGAGGTAGATGGAACCTGAGGCGGTGGGTTAGCAGGCGGCGGCGAAGAAGGAGAGACCATTCTGACCTCCTAACATGGGATACTCTCTCCGGCGCATGTCCTCCACAGCTCTGTTATACCCACAGCTGGTATTTCCCTCCATGCTGCATACTGGCATTATCGCAAGGGCACGAATATCGCGGCGAATCAGCCGTGGTCACAGAAGAAACTCGACAAGTGCGAGGAGCAGTCCATAGATCTTGACGGCAACTGGGGGCAAGCTGGTCGGTGTTTAAGCTTGACGCCCGTCAGGGTCTCGGCGCGCTCCGATAAGCACGGCTCCACGGGTGGATCGGGATGGGTGGGGTCTGCGAACATCAAGGCAAGTCGTCGACGTCGTTGGGGTTCTCGAAGTCAGACAAGAGTGGTGGCGCCTGAGCCAAGCGTGGGGTTAAGTTACTGTATCCCTACTCGTACTTGAGCCCTCGGCCCTATCGACGCTCAGACCATGCATCATTTGCACTGCTCATCCCACCAATGCTCCATAGTAGAGTAGATTTTGTTTATCGCATACGAGCAAGCTGCTAAGCCCACGAACAGAGCCATCCTCGCAAGTCATTGTCGGACACAGCTATCTAGCTACCTTACGCCCTCTTGTCGCTCACGTCTCCACGTAGCTGTAGCTAACCCTTGTTCGCAACGTCACTATCGACTAGACGCTTTAACGCAGTCCTGCGATAGTTGTGTGGGCCATAGATGGCTGGGGTGTTATCATCATCAGTCGTCTCAACTGCTAAATCTGCGGTTCTGCTCCTAGTGGCGGGGTTGTGGCGCGACACAAGGCCGAAAGGTCGAGCTACGCGGGCAGGAGTAGAAGATGCACGCAGCGTTCCTTCATTCGAGTGAGTATAACTGCAATTGCTGCCATTCTTGCAGTAGCCTGTAGCCCAGTATCGACACGTGACTGGAGAGCGGTGGTCGCTATAGAGAGTCAGCCATCTATAAGCCACTGTAGTGAAATGAGTAAAAAGACTTTACTTACTGTTGCAATCTCATACTACCCGGACTACCACTGACAGCGGAGACAGTTGAACCGACTTCGTCTCTGGTCGCCGTGGTCTCGAGGTGTGCCTGTGCATACATATCGGAAAGTAGCGAGGTAATGGCATCTATACAGAACATTAACACAATTCGAGATAGACATAGTCTAAAGTATTTGGATTCCTCAAGAGCTCTATAAATATATATGCAGCTCGGATCTGATCCACCTTGTAGTTTAATCAAGGTGTTACTCTTGAACTGATGGCTTACCCGATCTCATAGCACCAGCTAAGCGCACAGTGACTGGCCAACCAAAGAGCCTCTCATCTTGCATCCAAGCGACAATATGGGTCGCTTCCTGGGGATCCCTGACATCGACTAAGGCGTAGCCCAGGCGACCGTTCGACCGGTTGAAAACGGTAACGCTTTCACTGTAGTACAATATAATCAGTTTGTTCTCCACCTACGCACATCCAGTCACTATAGTACTTACATTGATTTGTCATCGGTGTTTGCTTTCTTCTGAAGAAGTTCACGGATGTCTGCCTCCGTTGTAGCAGCTGGCAGGTTGCTCAGGCAGAGACGTCTATTTGCGTTGACGAAAAAACGCTTCAATTCTTCCGCGTGATCAGTACTGGATGGAGTCGACGGCATGCTCCGAACATCTGGCTGGGAGGGCTTGTGGTTCTGGTCTTGAGTGACATTGGAATTGCGACTAATGAAGGATGTTCCAGCTACTCCAGATTTAGCCGTCTCTTTGGCCTCACGAACTGGGAGCTCTTTCTCGGTCTTCGTGCCGTTTTCTTCCGTGACACGATGATGGACGCTGTCTTCGGATTCCTTGGCCATTTTGACATCTTTGGCATGGTGAGAAATATCTTCTGAAACTGGAGGAGTGCATGATTGAACTATCGGGGATGCGAGGCTTGCGGCAGGATTAGCTGAAATCGCCGAGTCGATTCCTTCTCCAGTAGGCATAGCTGAGACAATCTTAACGGCGCCACGCTTCGCTATCTTCTCTTTGGAAGGCGGCTTGTACGTTTGCCCAAGCAAAGAATTGTTAGACGCCGAGGCACGGCTCTTGCTCTGTGAGGGAACAGCAGTTGATGCGAAAAGGAGGCCTGGACCGCGGACAGTGTTGGACGCGGTAATAGATGGTGTGGTAGATTCATTCGCGCCCTTGTGCCCATGGGGTGGGTTCGGCAGCTTTGGAGCATGAACGGAGCCTCGAAGGAATCCAGCTTTCGGTCCAAGAGGAAGGTGAGGCAAGTTAGGTAATCCAGTACCTAAAAGAGTCTTTGCACCTGACTGAAGCAATTGAGTTGAAGGGTGCACAGATTGCTGCGAGCTGTTGGCATGTTCCGTATCAGGGTTCGTCCGATCGGCCTTGGGCATGGGAGAGATGGTGGTCGAGCGATTAGTGGATTCTGCTTTGGATTTTTATTAGTGACATGTAGTTAAAAAAAAAAAAAAAAAAAGGTACTTTGTCATCTTGCCGTTGACGGTAGCCACCTGAGCGGTGCTAGTAGCTTGATTTCCAACGTTTGAGGCCGCCAGACAGAGCTGGAGCCGCTGGATCTCAGTACGCATATTCACGAACTCCTTCTCCCAGTTGCTTTGTGGAAGCGACGACATTTCTTCAAGGTGTTTGGTGGTCGAAACGTGGTTTTCGGTTGAAACAGACGAGCTTGACTTCACGCAGTGCGATGTGGTATCGGCGTCGTTGGTGTTTCCCGCAAGCCCAGCACGCACGCGTGCTGGGGGACGGGAGTGATGAGGAGCTGCGACAGATGGGTCAGTAAGCGTTGGGCTACGCAGGACGCGTTGAGAAAAACCTCGCACCTGGCCTGGTGGGTTGAGGACCGGGAGAAGGCTCCAAGCCAGTAGGCACACGAGGGCGATTGCCGTGAGGGATGATTGAGCGCGGCATGCTGCCTCCACATAAACAGTGGGAGGGCAGCACTTACCGCGAGCCGCCGCAGAACTTGTCTTGTCTTGGCCGAGACAGGTTGCGATGTTCCGGTGTGCTTGGTCGAGACCTAGGGAGGAAGGAAAACAAAGGAAAAGGACTTGGAGGGCAGGTCGCGCCTTCCTCAACTGACACCAGACGCGGCTTCTTCAAGAAGCAGTCACATGCCGAGCTACCTGAAGGACGCTCTTTCCAAACTGGCAATGTCTTGTCACCCGTTTGAATCTTGTGCCCATCTACCTAGGTAGTTACCCGCATAAGCGGCCGGCCCTACTTTTGAAACAAGCAAGTGACTAAGTAGTATCATGGAAGTGACCGGGCATGTCCTAGCAACTATGCGGGACGTCGTGCTGCGAGTGGGAACCGCCATGAGCTTATCACCCGTGCTTAAGTTGTTCATAAAGAGAAGGGGACGGCGTACAGGCCAACGACACTAAATGTCGAAATGCACATGCAGTTTTACCCGGTATGTGTAAGACCGTTGGGTAGTCTGTAGTTCCCTATTCAGGGTAAGTCGCCTGCCATCAGCTCTCCATCATGTTTTTCGACCTCGTCCACCCACACCAAGTCCCCACTTCATTGTTTCTTCTTTCCTTCCTTGCCCTTCCGTTTCTCCCCCGCTACCCTATCCATTTCAGCAATCTCAGCGTCCTCTTTGCGCTGCGCATACCATTGCCCAGCTTGAAGAACAAGGACACCAACCAGGACCAAGGCGAGAATAGTGTTACTGGCTGCCAACACCCTCAGGCTGTCCTCTCGGCCGATATACTCCTCTTCAATAGCGCCGGCCTCCTTTGCTTCGCCCTCGATAATGTCACTCTGACCGTAAATGCCGGCAGTCACCACCCTCAAGCCCTTGACAATGTTGGTGATGTAGACAATCACTCCGCACATGTATAGAACCAAGCTGGCGCCATCGAACAACATGTTGGCCTCAGAGGGCTTGTACAGCTTCGAGACAAAGCCGAGAAGACCAGTGCCAATGACGATGTGCAGGATGCGGCTGATGATGGGCGGTGAAGCATGCAGGAACCGCAAATGGTTTTCAAGCAGCTTGAAATACATCTCGCGCGTGTCGGGCGGCTGAGGCGCGTGCCAAAGAACGTTGTAGTCGTAGGGAAATGAGGAGAAAAGAATGCCGAGGAAGAAGCATGTCGCTGCGCATTTTTAGTACGTGTTAACTGGAAACGTCAGAAGCAAAAGGTACATACGCCCAATGATCAGGAAGGTCGCGAAAGAGTTCGGCTTTGCGCCCATGTTTCCGTTTCCGAGTGATCAATTTGATACTGATAGATACACTTTTTCCTCGCAGCGCAAACTGCACTCGACGGATGCAACCTGTCGGGTTTAGGTCGCGCTTGGTAAAGAAGCTCTGAAGTACTGGACAGTCTCCGCGCTAGGTGGGTAAGTGACGCGCTGTTGGATGGGAGATGATGCGAATGGCATCGAGCGACGTTGGTGTACTGGTGATAAGCTGCGGAGATCTCCGGTGGAGCGGCTTGGCTCGAGCGTACAGGGTGTAGGCACCGTGGCACGTCGGATGGAACGGGGCCGCTGTGGGGTAAGAAATCTCGTTGCCGCAGGTCTTCATACTTGTAGAGGCAACGATTACTACGACTCAGATGCCTAGACACTGAAGTAGGGCGGACGTTACTGTGTACGTACTCCTCTATATAGTCATATCCCCATCTGAGCTTCGCATGAAAAGTATGAAGTACAAGATTACTACTGACGTCCGTTACCGTAAAGCGAGATTCACCACCTAACGAGATATTAACGCTTATAATGTCCTTCGAAGCTGGCTATTTAGATTCCATTTAGATTATACCACGTAGGCCTCCTGGTCTAGATAAATTAAACTAATAAGCTAACTTCGCTAAATGGTAAACTTCGCTTATAGGTAAGATATATTATCGGCTATTTACTGAGATACACATATTTCTTCGAATTTTTTCTGAGATACACATACTTAAAAAGTCTCTCTGAGATACACATATTTTTATATATTTCGCTTGTAAATAAATATATTATAGTATATTATAAAAAACATGTCTATCTTAGAAAAAAAATTTAAAAAATATGTGTATCTTAGAAATATATTTAAGAAGATATATATATCTCAGAAATTATTTCGAAAAAAA